TCAAAGATTTAAAATATACGATGTACCTTTTTTAGCTCTTGATTTGGCAGCTTTTTTCGCACCAGCTTGCCTATGCTTTGCCAAGCAGGACAAGTGGTCCACCCACATCTGGACTTCTTCCTTGCTAAGGAGAGTTGTTTTGGCTAAGGTTAGTATTGTGTTCTCATCCATCAGCTGGCCCTGCCTTGCTCTTTTACTGAACGCGGACTTGATAACTTCACTTGGTGGAGAGAACTGACAGTCTCCTGTTCCGTGTTTTGCCACATGTTGAATATTATCTTCTGGGGAAAGGAAATGCCCACTACAAACAGACTGACATTCAGTACAATCTTCACTGCCCCATGGTCGTTTCTGGTCAGGAATGGGGAATGGAATATTTCTCAGGGGAGGGCCATTCTCATACCAAAGTCTGTCTTTTTCTGGTTTACCCTTTCCACAAAGTTCATGACTGCAGTCGTGTTTGTAGCATGGTAGAAGTACAAACACATACTGGCAGGGTAGTCCTTTCACCATGTGGCTATTCCTTACTTTCCACACTTCCTCAAAATAAGTATATAATGTAGATTGTTCTTTCTTTAACACTGCTTTTTGCTTCTTACTTCCTTTCAAGAATACCAAAAGGTGATCGCGTCTGCTTTGGTTGTAAATTGCCTGAGCATCACTTGCGCCTTTTGTGAAATAAATTTCTTTCCCATTGAACGTTGAACCAGAAACACGGTCAATGTAGACATCAGTTGCAATGTCCTGGTTTAGTTTCACTTTCTCGTCATCAATTGAGCCTTCATCTGTATAGCATGGTCCATTCAGCGTTGATGGTATGAAAACATTAGAATGACCTACAGAAATACATCCATTCAGGAGTTCGACTTTGTTAAGGTAACTGCCACCACTGTGCCTTGTAGTAACAATCGTACATGCTTTGCTCATTGACAAATGTCTCTCAGTCCAATAAAATTGGACTTCTTCATGCCCTGGCCCCTCATCAGAGGCCCCATCAACCCTGATACATTCTATATCTTTTGCCAAAGATTCCTTAAATGATGGATTAGTTTGTTGCAGCATTGTGAGATCAGACAAGTGTTGTGCTGCATTCTTTCTAAAAAGGGCTTGGCCTTTAACAACAGCTGCACACACATCTGATGTGTTTTCAGTTTCCATGATTAAATAGGATGAAACTTGTAGAATAGAGGAATACTTGTTGACAAAGTCTGTGCGGGTCGTTACCTCTGGTGATGCTGAAATAGAGAGGACTTTGTTCTGTTTGTGGGTGTAGGTTGTATCTAACCGGAAACCCGCTGCATCATCTCGATTAAGGACACACTTGTCAGTACCATCTTGCAGTTGGATTTTATCTAGGCCTTTGTATAATGAACAGCTCCAGTGTGCATCGGGATTAAATCGCAGGGAGAAACCTTTCCTTGCTCTTCTACAGGTTATGCGAGCAACACCTTTATACCGCTTTGCACTTAATCTTCTCTTGTTCTTCACAACAGATAGCTGCACAATCGTACCATAACTAAAGGTAGTGTTGTATTTCTCTTCTAGATGCTGTTTTATTCTTTTGTACGTTACCTTCTGGCCCTGTTTCACGTTTCCATCAAAAGTCAAAATCCCTGTTCGTCGCCAAGCGTCAGCACCTACTCTTTTAGATTGAACAAAATTTTCAATTTCTTTTCCAATGTCAGGGAAGTCTCTAAGAACACGTCCTACACGCTTAGGAATTTTTCGTCTCAGAAGGCATTCCTCTGCAACACGCTTGGCAGCTTGCCGCTTTGCTTTTTGCCTGATCCTTCTTCTTTCTTTCCGGATCAACTTTTTCCCAGCCTCAGTTCTTAAATCAACATCTATCCACTCATCTGGATTGTCTGATTCTGAATCAGAGCACACATTTCCCTCAAGCATATCAATCTCACGCTCCTCTATCTTTTTCTCTCTGTAGTATAGCAGAAATGACTGTCGTGAATGTTCCACTTCTCTCTCTTCATCGTCGCTCAAGTCACTTACAGGCAAGTAGTGGGCAAAGTCAATCAAGACCTGGTTCATTGCCTCAGCAGAGAGGCCGCGAATAGTTGACTTTATTTCTTCAACAAACGAAAACCAATTCAGATTATTTTGTCGCAAAATGAACACTAAATGATCAAATGATGGCACATCAGAAACAAGTGGTGTACTTTCCTTTTGTACTCTGTCAGGATCAAGGTTGTACTCTTCAGAATGTTTGTCTAATCGGCAGTCTGCCATTTCTCTTTCACTGTTAGTTTGACCACCCTCTGATTCTTCCTCTGAATCGCTTTCTTTCTCACTGTCCCAATCACAGGATTCTCCAGATTCTCTGGAGATAAGGCTCTCATTGTCACTTTCAATTTCAATGCCATAACTTCTGAGAACAGTCTTTTCTTCTAAGCAAGCTAGCTCATTTACTGCTTCCCTTATTTCTTTACTCCTTTCTAGAGAACTTTCTATTTCATCCTTTTGCCTGTTCCAGTTAGAAAGTCCATACTTCTTGGCTTTTTTGTTCGATAAATCTCCACACATAGCGTATTTTATAAGTTTTCTATCTTTCTCAGAAGATGCCAATTCACACAAGGCCTTAAGTTTCTCTTTGTTAATGCTATTTGAAGAATAGCTAGTGTCTATAGAACCACTAGCAGACCTGAGTAACTCAACGTATTTAATGTAATCAACTCCAGGATGTCGTTCTATCATGTACAGTGTTTGTGTTCCTTTACTGGCGTCACCTAACTCAAAAATAACGACTGGAAGGCTCATAAACTTTCGAACTGCCTTTTCACTTGAGTACGTATTTCCACTGAAATACTTCTTGAATGTCTCACTAACTTTGACCATTCCTTTTTCTTGAATTTCCTTTGCGACACTGACAAGACCACAACACTTACTGCATACAGATATGCCTCCATTCACATTATGTAATTTGTTACAGTTCTGCTCTTTGCATATTATGTAATCTGCTACTGATAATTCTGGTAGCTGTGAAACATAAAGGCCATTTGAAATTTTGTACAGTTCCTTGTTTCCCAACCCTCCTGATGTTGTATATTTTAAGTACTTGCTATATGTTTCCATGCCATTTCCACTCTGTTGTGTTTCTGTAGTCAGTGCCGCGTTTGTTACAAAAAATGGTCTTTCTTCTCTTTCTCCTCTTGCACAGTTGTTTCATTCTGTTTTTCAGTTTCCTCTCCCATAGCATTTTCACTCTTTTCCTGGGTTTCTTTAGGATTGAGATATTTTGCTATGGAGTTGTCGTTCTTTTTCACAGCGTGTTCCTCATCTGCTGTTTTTGCAGTTTTCTTTCCTTTTTCTCCCTGTAGTGCGAGTTTTCTTTTTATTGCCTTTGATTCTTTTTGTTCCAAGGCTGCTAGCTTTTTAACAAGTTGTCCTTTCTCCTTTCTTGCAGAGCTACTTCTGTCCAGGATATGAGATGCTGCTCCAAATTGGTTCATATTGACTAATTTACACTTCTCTCTTTCCAGCATTGCAAGCTTTTCGCTTTGTTCTTTGATTGATTCTTTTGTTTCTTCTATTAGAATTCTTCGCTCATCTGAATCAAGTTTTGCCCGTTTTACTTTGCTGTCTCCTGTGGATACCGCTCCGAACTTTTTGGAACGAGACTTGCCTTTTTTGTAGTTGAATCCATCGTTAGCAACTTTTTCTCTGGCTTTTTCCAGAAGCTTACCCCTATTCAAAGTGAGTGATGGGGTTCCCATACAAAGAGCAAAAGCAGCTTCATTCATTTTCTTTTGCCATTCAGTCAGACCATCATCACTTGTAGAATTTTTTCCAAACAATTTAGTTTCCTCTCTAAATCTCTCAACATTAACCGGAATTTCAGTAACATTGTGGCTCTTTGCTTCCTCCTCAGCTGACTTGATTGGAACACATGGGCCAAGTTTGCCATTTTGTCCAATTGTGCGCTGTTTTGAAAAAGGCAAAGATGCTTGACCTGTCTCCTTAATTGTATGCTTCACTTCACTCTCCTCAGATTTAGCTGATGACCTCTGTTCATTTCTAACACAAACAGCCCTCAGCTTAGATTTATTTTCAATTGAATCCAGTGGATCAATGTCTACCCATTCCTCGAAATCCTTATCCCACTTTTGGAAAACCACTTTTTCCTCAGCTGTAACCAAGTCATCAAACACTTTCTTGAATTCTATTTTTATATTGTCATAATCTGACAAAGTTGCATCAGGTAAACTTATGTTCCATGAAATCTTTCTATTACTTGCACCAAATGAAACTAGACAAACTTTGGATGCCTCAGAATCTGCCATCTGTAGAGTGAGTTAAAACAGCCCTTGTAAGCTTACTGGGTTTAAACACAGAAGTGCAGATTAAGATTAATCAAAAACGTTCATGATGAATTAACCATTTTTATTGGTATATTTTATATGATTCTTGAAATATCCATAACCCCTTTCCAAGGACAGGGTTTCAGATATGACCCCCACCTCTCTGGAATTTCCAAACTCATATAATATTAAATGTTATCATGATCATATACTGTGATTAAATGTAATCAGAAAATTCAACTGTTACACAGATTCACACAACAAATACTTGACAATAAGTAAACATAATGACTCCTACCCACTTATAAAAAAGTCAGGGTACAAAATATAATGGATGATGGAGTAGAACAAATAATTTATATTAAAAGGAAATCTGTACCATCTCCATTGAAAGTAATTGCTGCAATGATAAGTTTAATTGAAAATAGCAGCCAACATACTTTAACTTTCACAAGCTGGTGTTATAAATAGACTGCATAAAATAGTTCCTAGGAGCTATATTTTATATTTTGACTTAAAGAATGAGGAAATATAGAACTTCAGAAACCACATGGGTTTAACACTAGACGTTAAACGAGCTGTGTCACAAAATTTACCAAAATGTAGGCTGTGGGAACTGCCACCAAATCGAGTGAAACATAAAAATAACCGCTTAAGACATTAAAAGATGGTATAAATGACTCAGCAAATACAAAAGAAGGTACAGATGGGAAAACATGAAGAAGATTAAAACGGATTGAAATTGTGGTTTTTGAAAACTTGTTTTTCAAAGTTCAGTGTTTTTGTTCGTAACGCTTGATATGCTTGGGAGAAACATCTGTTTGAAACGAAGCTTTGATTTCTTCATTTCTTTGCCAACGTAACACTCAAAAGCGAATAGGGACCACGTAACTGGCAATATTAACAAAATGAACCAAATAGCCGTGACGCAGCACCTTTTATAATAAGTAGAGGAGCATGTATCTGCATTGTTTGAAGAAGTTTTGAATAACAATAACAATTTCCAGTCAACGAACCATGAAAGCCCAAGGCAAAATCGCAAAGGATTAATCTGAGTAAAGAAATGAAAGGAAAAACAATTAGGAAACTTACCTTTCAAAGCCAGCAAGCCAGATAACTCCAAAGCATGTACACATCAAAATACCAGTGATCACGTGAAGAAATTACCGTGAGGAAACTAGGCACGAGTCAAATCCCCACCTCGCTCCCCGACGTCCATGAATATGCTAAGCAAATCCTGAGAAATCCCCCACCCCCACGGGCTAACCATGCCTTCAAATACCATAAAAATCCCCCACATTGCCCCACATAGGCCCGGGGTGGGGGGTCGGGGTTTCAATTGATAAGTGCATTATTCGCAGGCAAAGTAAACATGAACATGTAATTTACGGTGCCGCAGAAATCCAAAATTCAAGTAAGACAAATTAACCTACCCGTCAACCGAACTTTAATTTTGCGTCTTCATCCACAGCAAGAAAGCGGAAACTTCGTCATATGAAAGAATGCTAATCAGTAAATCACGATGTCTTTCATTACTTTTTTTCTCGACGAAATATTTCATCATTTTCGGAAAAGTCGGGGACCAAGGGCATCGCGGACTTGCGCGGACCAAGGACCACATACTGTACACGTGATAAATGCAGCCACTCAATACTCATCGGTGTGCTCATTGAGACGCGTGACTGATTCTTAAGCACTCCAAACCTGCTTCCACTGCTTCCGATTATTAGCAAGATTTCCATATAATTCAATTTTTTGAGGAACAGGGACGTTACTGGTAAATATCGGTGCTTGAACAGCTTGTACGGGTTGTCGTCCCTCATTCGGTGGATTGGCGGGTATGCTTCAATCGCTTTCTAAACTCGCTGTTGACCAGGGTTGACGTTCAAATGACGTTGTTAAACAAAAGAAAGCGAGAATTAGAACCGCTTTCTGACACCATGTAACGTTGTGGCTTTGTACAGCAACAAAAGCGTTCTTGTAAACATAAACAAACAATACTTTTAATCCATAAGTCGGTTCACTGAAGAATCCTGTACAAGATCGAGAGCACATGTAAAATCTGGCATCCTATTGGATAACAACAATCACGCGACGTTACATGTTTTCTTCAAGCTCAGTATCAGGAATGTATCAGGTTCTGCCTCGTACCCAGACGTCTCTCTTTTGATGAAAAAGTGCCCTCAAAAGAAGGCGGGAAGGAGACTGCTGTCTGTACCCTTCCCATGGTCCCTTGCGGTTCATCACCAGTCACTCGCTTCGCGCACGCCTCTGCCATGCGAAAAACGAAGCGCCTGAGGAGGAGGCTGTATCAGGTTGTTGTTCCGCAGCCATGTAGAGATATTCTGGAGGTTAGAATTCATTTTGAGAACTGCGGTTTCGAGGGTAGGACTCGAATGATGACTACAACGTGTCGTCAGCGTAAAGAAACACGGAGCTCTCGGGTGTTGTTGACACTACACGGTTGATGTGTATACAAAAAATGGTTGGGCCTAGTACGGATCCTTGGGGGACTCCATGGGTGACAGTTCTCTCATTTGAGTTAACCCCGTTACATTGGACAAAATGCGTTCTGTTGGTAAGGTAGCTACGAAACCATGCATGCTCAGAACCAGAGGTTCCGTTTGCTGTGAGTTTTTGGCGTAATAATGAGTGATCAATGACATCAAAGGCCTTCCGTAAGTGTAAGAACACGGCTGTAGTGATCACCCTTTATACTTTGCCCATTTCTATTCGTCAACCACTTTAAGTAACGCGGCAATGGTTGAAGAGCTCTTCGAATAGCAAATTGTTCTTTTGTAATAATCCCGTTTTCTCAAGCATATAATTCCAAATAATTGGGCAGTAGTTGAGGCAAGAGAGAAGAAAGGCATCATGCAAGCGTTTCTTAGCACAAGTAGAAATAAGATGTTTATGGCGCAGAATTTGAGTATTTGTTTATATAAACAAAAATCCAACCTTTCACTGAGGATTACTTTGACTCTGATGACTGACTATCAAGTTTAGACAGACTCTTTTCACTAAAGCAGTTTTAGGGTTTGTTGAGCCTCACATTACCAGAAAGAGCAGGACTCTAACTTCCTAGGGTTAGTTATGGTTCTTACAAAGTTGAGATTAAATGTACCGCAGCAAGATTTGGCTTACAGATTTGATGTGAGCCAGTCAACAGTCTCAAGGATGTTTTTTTATCATGGATTACTGTGATGGATGTGAGACTGACACCATTAATTGTTTGGCCAGAAAGAGAGGAGGTGCTGAGAACCATGCCAAGGTGTTTCCAATATTCCTTTGGAAAGAACACTACTATAATTATTGACTGCTTTGAAATATGTATCGAACGCCTTTCAAATCTCCTTGCAAGAGCCTAAACCTTCAGTAGCTATAAACACCATAATACAGTAAAGGTACTCATTGGAATCACACCTCAGGGTTCCATTCGCTTTATGTCAAGAGCATGGGGAGGACGTACCTCGGATAAGTATTTGACTGAACATTATGCTTTACTGAAAAATCTGAAGCCTGGGGACCGTGTATTAGCAGATCGTGCTTTCACGATTCAAGAAAGACTTGTCTTTTATCAAACACAACTGGCAGTTTTTCAGTTTTTTTCGTTAGTTCAATAACCACACCTCAGGTGGCCCAAGCGTAATATGCTAGACAAGATAGGACAGAACTGCTCGATCGACCTTCAGAGTTGCTCAGAATCAGCTCCAAATTTCAAGCGAAAAAACAAACACTTTTCGGTGGTTTGGATTGGGGGTACAATTTTCTGAGAGGCTTGATTTTGGGGTCAATTTTGAAAATGCACAGAATGTGCGGAGGGCCGAAAGATTTTAAAAGACACAGGACAGGACTGGCGCTCCATGTAAAAGTTGTCAAACTATATCCTGATCGAAGTAAATCCACGTTTCCTTCCAAAGTAGACAAAACAAATACACTTTGGCCGTTCTTTGTCGGCAACAAAATGTTACCCGTATAAAGCTCTGCCCAGATAAGCTAAGCTGAAATCTGGAAAAAAATACATAGATTTTTTCATTTCCTGAAAGCATTTTCATGATTAAATAGGGATAAATATTTCGCATTATATTGGTGTTTTTGTGTTAGGATTTCCTTTTACTTATTAAGTGAAGTGAAATGAATCCGAATGTGACGCACAGACCTTGATTGAGACTTTTGACCAAGCCAACTCCAATTCTATCCCGGAGTATATGTCACGGCTCTCAATTTGTTAACTTATCCCGTGTCCTCATACACACCTGAGCGTAGCCTCAGCGGTATGAAGAGACTGCAAACTCCTTTACGAAGGATCATGACAGACGAGAGATTGAACTCTCTTGCAATTCTGTATATGAGCACAAGGACGTAATTGATATTGATGGCATTATAACAGAGTTTGCCCGTCTGAAGGGTACACATCTCACCCTTTGCTTAAAATCTCCTTGATGGCGTCACTGTTTTACCCTTTTTTAACGTAAACACTGTACCTTACGGATAGCACCAGAGATGGGTAAAATAAACAATTAATTACTGCATTTTCCTTCGTCCTTATTTACTGAAAATGCCCTTCAGAAAACGCAGGAGATGGCATTTCCGAGGCCCTTAATTGAAAAATTTTTCTGGGGGAGCATGCCAAGTTTCGCATTGATCGGCCCACTTTTCATACATTTCCTCGAGAAAAGTGACATATCTTAAGCAATTTTGTTACTGAACAGTCCTTGTCTTTGAAGTAATTTTGCCCAAATAAACAGTTGAAACATTTGAAACTCACAACTGTCCGCGCGAAACAATCCCCAGCATACATTCATCAAAATGTACCAAACTGGTTCTTGTAATCTTCCATTTCTTTTTTTTTTTTCCACCCTAACTACCTGGTACCAAAATAAGGCTAAAGGAAGAAACAAAAAACCAAACATGGCCCTAAATAGTAATCAGCGGTTTATCTAACAGAGATAATGATATTTTATGGTTATAATTCCTGTTACCACACAATTCACTGATTTCCGCGGGATAAAATGAAAACACGAATTGAATTGTTTGTGCTCTCAGGAAATGACAACACTCACCATATCTAGAGACCTTTACTAAAAGCTGTCATCATTCTGCTGAATTTTTCCTTTCTTGTAATAACATTAACAATATATTCGGTCTTTGGGTAGGCAATTTTAATTTCAAAGTGGCCATTTTTGTCTCGTTCGGTAGTTAGTGAGAGCTTTAACGTTCAACTTTTATACTCTGAAAACTAAACTACATTCACTACATTCATATTAATGCTGCCTTAGTAGACACCAGTAGGATTATTCAAATAGAAAAATTAAAGTAGTTTTTCCACTCTATTGCAAATAATATGTATATCGGTGGGATAACATGTGACAGAAAAGTAAAGACTTCATACACACTCTCTCATTTACACACCACTATTTATCTACATCGTTGATTTTATTCTAGAACTTCCAAGGTCAGAGAAAGTGCTCTCGAACAACGCTGCCGTCTTGTAATTTTGTGCAAGGCTGCTGCTATGTTCCGTACTTTTTTCGATAGAGCGGCGGGGGTAACTTTTCCACTATTGACTTCCATGGCCTCTCAACCACAACTAAAGAGCTGTCCTTTGCATAACCTGCGTAAAGTATCGGCTGCAAAAGAATAGTATAATATATGGATTTAGCCAGGGCTAAAAGCGAAGCTCTCTTTAATACCTATAGTTTACTCAAACAAAGTATAAAATCGTGTAATGCCAGATGGCGAAGGCAACAACTTGACACAGACCCCTCCCCCGCCCGCTCAGTGGGTATAGCTTGTATGTTTTGTTTTGCCAATATAGGTCATGTGATAATACTCTAGACTTCAAATTTCGTTTTATTCACGTGCATGTCTACGCATAACTTATGAAAAGAAAAAGGGTCAAGTTCCCTTGGGGCCTCTATTGGGAAAACAAAACATACAAGCTAAAGTTCTAAAGAGGTTTGTTAGCAAAAAAAAAACTTTGGACGTGCAGCACACCTTTTTTACATTTCGTTGCCGTTGTTTTGCACGACCACAACGTGAAACTTCCAGAAACTTCTTAGTTACACGTCTTATGGAGGAAATGTGGTATGTGTTCCTGTTCACGTTTTTTTCGTTGTCGCTCATTAGGGAGCTTAAGCAACTACGACGACAACAACTTCAAAAAGCAATAGGTTTAATGATCAAAACAACAGCTCTGCACGTGCATCACGCTTTTTAGTACGTTTCTTTGACGTCCACTGCACGACTACGACGTGAAACCTCCTAATTTGACGTTTTATGGAGGACGTGGACATAAAACGACGAATTTTCCTTCCTCTTTTTTAACTTGAATAAAATGCTTAAGAATTCAACTCCAGGAAAAGTCGCTTGCATTTGACATATTGAGCGGGTCCAAATAGACGCGATGAAGTTTGAAAGAACGCAAATTCATTTTTTTACCGACGTTTTCACTGCCGTCGTCGTTGCTTAAGGTCCCTATTTTCACCTTGGTGGCCGCTAAAATTGTCATGTTTTTCTTCCAATGAAATTGAACATTATGTCGAAAGAAAGAATCAGCTTTGTTACACTAGAGAAACTCCATCGGCTGCCTCTAGGTAAACTTCCACCATCTTGATAATCTTTCGCCGAGACAACGCAGGCTGCATTGCTTGGATTCCCCGTCTCTCTTGCAGAGTCTACTTAATACTTAAAACCCCCACTCCCCCACCACCACCACCAAAGAGTGTACGGGCGTACGTTCAAGTGACTACCAAACTTTCTTGGATGGATAGATAACCAAATTTTCTTAACAATGTGGCTCCGCGAAGCGCGCGCGTCTAGCTCCGCTAAAAAGGAAAATAACAAGACACTTCAGCGTCATGGTTGTGGAACTGATTAATGCGGAGGAATAGTAAGAAATGAAATATGGTAAGAGTAAGGTGTTAATTTGTAAAACTATGGGATTTGTCAGGATATTCTGAAAAGAGCAACATCCAAGAGGCCTATTTGCCAAAAACTAGCATTTCGGGACAAATTATCTCTCAGCTATGCTCTGATGACTCCATACAAATCCTTCTAAATTTGACTTGGGCCTAAACGTTTAGACCTAGGTCAAATATGAGGTTACTGGCGGTGAATAACAAGTCTAACAAAAGTGAAAAAAGAATTCTCTATTTTTCTTAGTCACATCAGGCTTCTAAAACAGCATAGCAGTCTCATGTACTGATTACTAATACTAAAACACTAAATACCAAAACAGCATAGCAGTCTCATGTACTGATCACTAATATGTAAGGCATGGGTAAGGAGTCAATTACGTTGAGCGTGGTATTGGCTAAAAGTCAATGTCACGAGTTCGAATGTTTTGAGGATAATTATTCACTGACTATCAGCACGGGGGGATGTCGGATTAACACAAGGAAGTTTAATATCAAAGGAACATAGCCTTTACAGAGCTTTAAAACACAGCATCCGCCAACACAAACTTGACTTGAACTTAAGGAAAAGTAAACAGCCTCTGCCAATAACTAGTAATAGTTGACACTTTGGCTGCCCCCGCTCTGTGTATTGTCGGTCAATAGTATTCTTGCTCGTTGAGTAGCTCTTTCAAATATACCCGTCCGATTCATGATGAAGATTTTCACACATATTCCATACAATAGGTGAGATAAAACTGAACAGGAAACGCAAGGTTCCATGCACAGTTTCTGTTCGATTTACACAGCTTTGATCAAAACATTCTCAGCTTCGAGAATAGTCTATTCACGTTGGGCCTTACATTCAGTTCATTTTTGCCAGAAAGTAAGCCTTAGAAATTAAAAGGACATTTGGTCAATTCACGCTCGCGCATTCTAGTCTTATTTAAACTTTATAGCGGAAGGACATCTGTGAGCAGGGAATATAAAGTCAGCACAGAATTTGATTGTCGGCGAATTTCTGTAATCGTCCATCGTTCTGCTAGTGATAAGCTAGGCGTTGATCTGTTCGCCTTGCTTGTTTGGGCTTGAGTCTTATTTCGGTCAAAGAGAGAGAAAGAGTGTCTGGCAAGGTTTCCAATCAAAGATTTGTGAACTCGTGTCTGGCAAACTCTCCAAGTGTTTATATATATACACAGTTTCGCACCTTATAACTTCATTTGCGCTTAACGAGTGTCTTTTGGTCCATAACTTTGAAAAATACTGCTCCACAGAATGTCACTGATAACACGTAACGCAAAAGATTATCGAAGTATGACTGCATAATAAACTGTCACAAAATCTACCTGACGTAACACTCAACAAAGACAAAATGTCTTTGTACAGCATTTTGTAACTTTAAATTCATCATAAAATAGTTCGAATGGAGGGCTCACTCGTGAAATGTTTTTGAATACTCGAAGAGAAATTTCGTGTCTCTGCGCGGCCACGTAATATCCTCTATTTATTCCTCGAGTAAATTAAAGGCTAAGCTCGAAGTGATCTCAAGATATTACGAAGTAGTCCGGTCTCACTTCGTTAAATAGCCGAAATAAGCCGAAAAGTCACGAACTTGCACGCCCAATCTTGTCCCCATACTAGTGCATTATTTCATAACTACTTTTCATAGCCCGAACTACCCTGGGTCGCAGTACCGCAATCTGCTGATCCCTCAACTTAGATTCTCCTCTGATCTGACGGGTCACACAGGTTAGCCGGTTCAAACCCCGGGAAAGCCAAAATAATAATTCTTTCTCCCTCGAAAAAGTTAAAGAATAAATCAAAGAAATCGAAGTGATCTCGAGATATCGCGAACTAATTCGGCTCTCACTTCGTCAAATAGCCGAATAAAACCGGAAACCTACAGACTTTGTGTGCCCAATCTTGCCAAAAAAAGTCAACTTTAATACATTCCTGAGCGTCGCAAATCCTTTACTTCGCGCTCCGCCGAAGTAACAGCCGTGGTTTTGAGATGAAGGGGACATAAAACACGAGGGACAAATAAAGATAACAGCAAACTAAACGCACCACAACCTGGTTGTTTGCTTAGCATTGCGGCTTTGTGGAAGTTTAATCGTGGTTGTGAGTCAATTCATCGTTTAGGGAATTGATGATACCGCGCTTGTTTGCTGGGTGCGTCCTGACCAGTTAGCGACTTGATTTGCTGCCACCATTTTTTAGCGCTGCTTTGAGCAAGGTCGTTGATTTTATTGTTGTAATAAAGGGATTTTTCAAGTTTGATATCACGTTGGGCCTTGTTCTTCCAAAATTTGTAGACAAGAGAGTCCTTCCCGTGCCTAATAAACGCAGACTGACGCTTCGAGATTAATAGCTTGATGTTATTCGTAAGCCATAGCTTGTCACTTATGTGTTTCCTAACAGACTTCAAAGGAAAATAAGTGTCCATGGCGGAGTTATGTTCTTGTGATAAGATCTCGAATTTTGTGCACAGGAAGGGGCAGAGAAAATCTCCGACCCGTCTTTCCCTGTCATCCAACTGCCAAAGTCTCCCCAGTTATTAGCTCAACACTGCCTAATCCTGATCCTACGGATAGAATCCTGTTTGGGCGGGGATATTTCCGTTAGGCGAGATAGTATTGTGTAATGATCGGATGCTGCCACTTTGGGAATCTTCTAGAGATGGAAGAGGTGAGGCCTATTAGTGCAGAATCAATCCAGTATGCCTGATGCAACAAGCTGTTTGAGGTGGTTTGGGATGCTGACGGATTTAGGGTCCAATCCAGTCGAGGTTGCATTAAAATCTCCGGTTGCTATCACCATAGCGTTAGGATGCTTCATAAGGAAATTATCGATATTCGACTGGATGTGTTCTCATAAAATAACATTTTCCAATTCCCTGTTGGCGGTGGACTGGTATACCACTCCTAGAAGAATAGTAGAGACGCTCCTAGGTATCACATGAGGTCTCATATTGATCCAAACTGACTCTACTTCGCTCTGTTCGTATTCTTTGAGTAGATACATACGCCACTACCCGTTTGAAGATTAAAAGATTAAAACAATAGTACATGATGAAAAAAGCGGAAAGGCTAATCTTCACAATATAACAAAGGTGTACATGAAAGGTAAGTAAATTTAGGCCATCAGCCCGTAATTCTTTGGGTAACTCGTTCCAATCCTTTAAAATTTAAAAGTAAACTGGCCAATATTAGATTTTATTTTAGGCAGACGAATTTCTGGTCTATCTCTTAAGGTCCTACCAGGGTATTGAGATCTCCAGGTCTTTTAAAAAACTCTGAAGTTACACAGGAAAACGCTGATGGTAAACAATTTTGAACACTAGCTGAAAATGCAGAAATCTTCGTCTGCTAGATAGCGTTAGAAGTCCAAGTTTGTCTCTCATCATTTGTGAGCAAGTCAGTGGTTTGCCTTATAGCTTTGTTTTGTAACTGTTCTAACTAAAAGTCAGAGTTTTTCTTGGAGCAGGATCCCCATACAGTAAAACCGCAACCTAAAATGGGTAAAATTGTCAGTTTATAAATCTTCAGAGGGCTAGTTGGATCCAGAAAAGACGAAATTCTATTCAGCAGCTTACGTTCAGGGTAGGCGCAAGGCGACACAAATGATATGTGACTGTTCCAACATAACAAATCATCTAATATCACACCGAGGTACTTGAAGGATCTCTTCTGATCCAGAATCGAATCACTGTAAGAAATATGAACGCAGGGGGGGCTGGCAGCGAGGTCTGGAACCGAGTTTACATGATCGCCCCAGTTAAGAAATTCGGCCGAGTGAGACTGAGTACAAGTTTTCCTTGAAAACAAATATGGCGGAGAATGCAGACATGGAAGGACGATGAGTTTTTACTCAGTTTTAAGTTTTCCCGCGTACAAATATCAAGAAAAGGTTTCTATGAACTTTTTTTAATGGACTTTTTGGACATCAGGAGGCGTGTATGAACAGTTCATGGGTGACTTCACTTATCGTGATTCGGGATCTCGGCAAGTTGAGTTATAATTTTCGAGCGACCATCTTGCTCTATTTCTTATATTTTTCTACTTACAGTGGTATTAAGACTCTCTTCCTTATCTTAAACACATGCTACGAGCACAATACACACAAGTATTGCAACAGTCATATGTGAATTTTCATTAAACCACTGATTTTCTACTTCGCTGTTCGTAAGTTTGTTTGTGTACACCGGGAGGTACAACAAATATTTATGGGCGTAAATACAGAATACAGGGCCAATTTAGTGAAAACCAGGGTAAATATTCCAATCACTTTGCTTCACATATACTGGGTCTGTCAGTATAAGCTATTTTTAATATCAGAAGGCTGGGAGGGGTTTACTGAACCTTCAAAACCTTCACTGGAATGTCATTGGAGTGATAATCAATAAATTTCCAACAGTAAAACCGTATTTAGTAGTTTTGTATTAGATAGTGACTTCGGTTTCAAGTATTTCCTTGAAATTGTTGGTACAAAAATTACCCTTTAGTTATGAATTATACTTGAAATGATTATAGTGGTTTAGTGTAAGAACAAGAGGCTAATTCAGTTGCTAATAAGAGTGAGTACATTAGGAAAGAGTATGCGTTGAGAACATCCCTTAAAGGACTGAAGTACAAGAAACAGAAAAAAGAAAACTGAATGTTTTGCAAAGTTTATAAAGAGAATCAGAAGAGGCTTGAAAAATACACAACTTAAGTTTATTGTTTGTGTAAGTTATGAATCTGATTTACAGCTAAATTATACAAGGTAAAATTGATTTTTTATCAACCATCAAAAGAAGTTATTGTCGGGCTTGAGCCCTATCCTCTCAGCATTTCTTTCTATGATACTACCCTTGGTGTATTTGGTCTAGATGGGTATGTGCTGCTGATTTAGGGTGGTGACCATTTCACCCTCTAGAGTTTTGAACAAGGTGTCTGTTTGGGTTGTGAAGGTTGAAGAAGCAGCGGTCTATAGGGTACAGTCTGTTGGTACTACCATTTCCCCCCCAAGTTTTGCCATGTTTCTAAGTTTAAAAGCTACCTTAATTCTGTATGCTAAAGGAAATGAATCAGGATTATAAATAAGGTCTCTTGGCTTAAAAAGGGTAGGGAAATGCACAATGTGTCCTACTACCCATACTTTCTTTCAGTGTAAGCCCAGGGAGGTGATCTCACAATTTCAATACCCTTTTACCACTTGTTGTAACAACAAAGTCAGTGAAGGTTTATGGTCTCTGAAAAATATTTTTGCCAGCCTCAACACAAGTTTCTAACTGTTATTGTCGACTGCAAATAATATTACCTTAATAATCATTTTACATTTTTTTTCCAAGGCATCCTATGGTGTTTTCAATATCCACTAGTACAAGGCAATTTTTAAGTTGAGAGGGTTTACTTTGATTTCATTAACAGTAAACTGCATTTTTACACAGACACAAACTAACCTGGCAGGCTGATGTCCAAAGGTGTAAACATTACATGCAATTATATTGCAAAAACTGATCACAGTGGCCAAAGGAAAGGCAAAAATACAAATGTCATCTTTTTGTAAATTTTATAAATTCCCTTTGAAGCATATTTAGCCAGATGTAGTCCTTGTCAAAACATGCAAACTTGAACATTTATTTTTACAATTTTTCCCTCTTTGTTAGCAACAAAACAAAACACAATTGAATGAGGACTCAAACTGAAGGCAGGGTAGTAACTGCTGTCATGAAAAGAGAATTCCAAACACACAAAATAATGACCCTTTCATTTGCCTATATCTATTTCTTAGAAACTACGGTAAAGTTTAAATTATGTCACACGAAGATAAGAACTTAAGCATATCAAGAGTGAAATCAATGATCTCTTGGCAAAATTTATTTAGCTTCTTGTACATAACAAAATACATGAACTACGAGATTTGACCATCAGCCACTCAATCATCCAAGGCAACTCTGCCAGGATAAGTTCACAATCAAGGATGAAGAATTAAGAATCTCAATCATAATTTCTTTTCGTCTTAAAGGTGTAATGAAACCGTAAACAACTCTGACAACTCTTCTACTTGACCACGGCCACCGCGCTTTTTTTAATATCACAAAGGATTAATTTTTGGCCTTTTACTTGAAAATATAAACTCTTCTACATACGCATTGGAGGGTTGGCCCTTCTTCTAGTCTTGTGGGTCTTCTAAACAGAAACACAGCTTGAAAGCCTGTAGTGAGCCAAAAGGCCGGGCATCGAGGAACATGTACAATGACTGTTCACTGGTCTCATTCTTGGCGTAGTAAATCGCATGTAATGATAAACTCAAGACGAGAAGAAAGGAAAACGTAAGCTCCACATTACTGCGGAAAAAATCGGTTACAGCAAAGAAAGCAATGACCAACAGGACCAAAAGCGAATTCACTTCATCACACTGTCGAGTCGCTTGCGAAGACGAACTTCTTGATGTTGTTGTTGTTCCCAGCCCGTTTCGCGCATGCTCGCTACAGTTCTCGAATGATTGACAGATTTCTTAACTGGGGCGATCATGGAAAGCAGAAAAGCGGCAAGATCAAAGGCCGTTGCCAGCCCCCCCTGTATGAACGTCTCTGGCAAGTTTGACATCCCTGTGTGATGCAATAACCATTGCCACCGTCTTTTTCGTGTTGCAAATAAGACGGTTACCACAGAACTACTGGTTAATTCTGTACTCAGCCGCGCAAACGGACGTCAATATTTCAGTTTAGGTTTGGTACGCTCTTTGTGACGAAGAATACTCTTTTTTGGTGTGCTGTAAAAGAACTATCCATAACCCATCTCTCGAAACTACAGAGAAAATAAGCTTTCCACTCGCATACAAGTGAGTAAACAGAATTCGAGGTTCTTGTTACCGAGTCGGTCCCCAAGTCTATGTTGTTGATTTTTCTTTGAGATTACCCTGGCTGCGATCCCTTTCAGAATCAACTTAATTAAGGAGGGTTTGTGAAAATTACGGATAAGAAAGCATACTCACCGAATATTTGAGACAAGCCTTAAATGACTGCTGTCCTTGATCTGTTTGTTCAGCGGAATCAGATGCTGGCTGCTTTCTTTTTCGTCGAACTAATTTTGGCTCGTACAGCAGGGCATCTACGTCTGGTAACGGCTTAAAGGTAAGTTTATAACAGTCAAGGTGGAGAGTTAAAATACTTTTAAAAACTACCTAGAAATTTCGAATCGTACTTTAACTCTTTCACTCCCAGAGTAATTATTGTGTCTTCAAAGCCGATTGTAACCGACTTTCAAGTCTTGGAATAAAATCTTGTGGTGCACCATTCCCATGGATCCTCTTTGGCAGTACTTTCACATGGTGCTAATTGTTTTTCTGCATTTTACAAAATGAAATTTGGAAATTTTTGTTGAATTTTCACTTTGTCACTTTTAGGGGGTGAAAGCGTTAATACTATGTGTGTGTTTTTGGACAGCTGTATTCTCAAAAGAGATGGTGGAAGTAAAAACATTACGTATACGATAACAGAAAGTAGGTATTACCTCTGACAGATCCACAATTGTAAACATTTGGTGGTCCTGCAGCAGCATAAGCTGGTAATTATCGGGATGAAACTGGATATTTATGACTTTAGAATGACGTCCAATCCATTGTTTCGGTAGACCCTGTTCAAAGGCCTGTCTTGACCAATCTGTTAACTTACCAGACGTAGGTTTAAAAATGGATATCTACGGGAAAAGGAGAATAGCTCTTCTTCAACAACAACATCACAATTATTTAGCCAGACCAACTTTTTGTATGATAACAAGACGCTGTGGGAGCGTATATTTGGGCGTGTTCGTACTACGGGTACGATACTTTGAACATGCCTTATTGCAGCTAAAGAACTGTCATCATATCTTACCAGAGAAGACAAATCCTTTACTCCACTTGTTTGCTGAACCACACAGCTTAAACAGTATGTCCCAATCCACAACAAAAACAGTGTCATTTCATGACAATGTTTGAAAATATGCACATCTTCAATGCAGACATGCTTGGAGCCAAATTGCAACATACGACATAAGTGGTTACAGCCCGGAGAATGGAATTTCCGGCGTTTGAGTGGATACGAATTAGCCGGAAACGAAATATTTCTGCGGCACGGGAGCAGTGGGGACTGGGGCAGTTGAAGTGCAGTATGGGTAGAATGGAGCGCTATAAAAGGGATGCTTATCACGTGGGAAAGCATTCTAGGCCGACACCTCGTCTAGCTCATGTTATTTTTATTTACTTACTTATTTATTTATTTTAGGATATATTTGATTTACTAGTGGCAGTTCGATTTTTCCAGTGGTTTCTTAGCTTGTTTGCGTTTCCTTAAATTATTTAGAGTTTGCCGTCCTTTGTTGGAATACTTGTTTTGTAAATAAGGGCAAAGTCCTTCCAGCCGTGTAGCCTTCGTAGGATGGGCTTTTCAGAGCATGAGCCATGGATCCTACCCAGATTTCCTGCCGAGTTTTTTTCCTTACTGAGGTTTTTTTCCGGCAGGTTTTTTCTGGCCTCTGTTCTGACAGTATTCTGTGTAAACTGTCGCTCAGCTCTGTTCTAGTTCTTACACCACATATTTGAATGTAATAGAAGATGTTGTATAATGTATTGTTATATCTGCGGTGCTCGGCCGAAACAGCCAAAATAAACCTAATGGTTTTTCTATTCATGTTGTACTGCGTAGTGGAGCCGAAATGTAAGGTTATCTCAGCTCCACTGATACTGACAGATGTGTTTTCACACCCTTCATATTGTACAGTGTATTCCGGTTACTAACAAGGGCAAATAAAGTTCCTTAAGTCCAGTATCCACAAGAACTAACAAGAGAGTAACACATTGCATAAACTGCTATAGCGCAGCAATGTTTACAGGCACATTGTTAACTATTAACATTTGATATACTACAATGTTCAACATTGCTTCAGAAAAGATGAGGTTCAAAGGTCCCAATATGCCAGGGGCGGATCCAGGATTTTTTTAGGATGGGGTGCACTCGTCTCTTGCTCTATTTCAACACCAATAAACCTCATAGTTTTTTTTTTGCAGCATACCAGTTGAAAACCGCAGGTCATCTCAGGGGCGGGGGTTTGGTGCGTATATATATATATATATATCTATATAAACAAATCCAGGCAATTCACCGTTGGATCCAGAACAGTGCTCTACAATTAAGGAGCGGTTTAACAGTCAATAGACTACTCAGTATGAGCACATATGGATTTTAATACAGGTCTGTTTCGTAGACCAACAAAAAGTTGATCCACTCATCAGTTTTGGATGGTATTTCCAACAATACACATGTTGCCTTACTATGACTGTAATGATACATATCTCTAGCTTAAAAATCAAATACATTTTGTTATATTCCTAGACTTTCATTCAACTAAACAGGGGCTGTCATTGGTTGATTCCTGGTCACGTGGCCTTGACTAAAATGTATCCCGATCGTGATACATCACGCAATGTACCCCGCTCGGGATACATTACAGCACGTGATCAAAGCATGGTGCAAAGTGGCGTGATTGAGAGCGGGAATTTTAACTTTTGTGAATGAACGCAGCAAAACAAAAAATATGGAGCCTGAACCTGTAAGAAAACGATTCAAACAGCTCACAAATGAAGAGATACAGCAACTGGTTGAGGCCAAGGATTCCGAAAATACAAGGAGAGCGACTAAAAATGCCGTTGCTACTTTTCTAGCATTCTGTAATGAAGTTACGCCTGAAGAACCCGTGAAAAACACAGAGTCCCTGGAGAAAATGTCGAAGAACGAACTGAATGAACTTCTAACGAATTTCTGGCCGAATGCCCGGAAAAAGAATGGAGAAAACTACAAAAAGACTGCCTTGATGGGACTACGATTTGGTCTGCAAAGGCACTTTCTACTGAAAAGAGATTTTGACATCATTAATGACGGCGAGTTTTCCAAATCAAATCAAGTTTATGAGACGGCAGTTGTCGAGTTAAGGCGGCAAGGATTTGGCAGAGTTGATCACCACAGGCCGATATCAAAGGAAGATCTAGAAAAAATTCAGTCTTGCTACAATCCATCCTCTCCAGATCCTAAATCCCTCCAGCAAGTGGTTTGGTTTAATCTCATGTTCCACCTAATTCGCCGCGGGAGAGAAAATCTCCGTCTTCTTACAAAACAGACGTTTGCCGTGCAGGCTGATGCAACTGGTAAGAAGTATGTATATCAAGCACTTGATGAACTGGACAAAAATCACAGGGGAAAGGATCAACCAGATTTTTTTTTTATTTTATTTTATTTTTTTTTTATTAACAGAGATCTTTATTACCACTACATCACTTACAACACTTTCACTACAAAATTTAAGGTTACAAAAAATTACAATTAAGAATTAAGATTCCAACGATTAATACAACATACACTGCAACCAGGCTTGCTTCACGCATACGTAGATTAGATTATAATCATTTACAGTAAGGAGAGGAGAGGCTTCCATTGTGAAAGAAATTTTGCTTTTTGTCCTTTGGAATAAAAAATCGATCTTTGCACAATTAACTTGTCTTTAACGAATTCAAGAAAGTGATCAAAGCTTGGGGGTTTAATTTCGCTCCTTTGCAGGAAGATATGTCTCTTGCCAAGAAGGATATAATAGTTAAGGATTTGCCTTTTAGGATCTTCGGGATTATAGCCATACATTATACTTAAGTCATCAAATAGCAAACATTCACCACTGTGAGTTTTCCACCAGCTAATTACTTCAAACCAAAACTTTTGAATTACTATACAGTTAACTAGCATATGGGAGAGCGTTTCTAGGGAATCACAATGTATGCAGAGAGGAGAGTTTACGATTTTCATTCTGTGTAACAGAACCCCATGTGGAAGAATATTATGAACAATCTTATATTGAAATATGCTTAATTTTGTTTCTTTAGTTATTTTAAATGGAAGCATATAAATAGAACTAAGTTTGGAACTGTCCAATCCTTGCCTGCATAGTCGAAGGCTAGCCAACGGTTCTACAAATTTCCTTTGAACAAGTATATTGCGAACCTTCTTGCTAGTAACCACGTTAATTTCCTTAGTTGTATTTTTGTTCCATATCTTGATTGTTCATGATAAATCCCGGTCTCAAAGCGCACTTCCATCTATAAGGTATAGCTGATATTAAACCAAAAACTTAGTGAAAGGCGCCTTGAGGCCAGTTTTTTAAAAGAAACTTATTAAGTGTGAGGAATCTGTTTTTTTTTCATCTAGTAGGTCTTTAATTCTAAGTATACCAGCTTCATGCCATTCTTTCCAATATACTGATTTACCGTCTATTAAAATATGCTTATTATTCCATAAGATTACATTCTCAACACAGATTTCATTGTCCGAAGTTTGCTCTCGGACTTCCGCCCAAGTGTTAAGAACATCAGCGTAAAATATTGGTAAGTTGTTTAGGCCTAGAAATTTTACATCATAATCACAATCAAAAATAAGTGGCCCTCCAACATTTTTCAAATAAAATAAAGGAATTAACATCCACTGATCCTCTACACCATTCTTCATTCTTTGAACCCAAGCACTTTGTAACGACTTGGATATAGTCTCAAATTCTGGTAAATCCAGCCCTCCTCTTTCTTTTGGACCTATAAGAGTATCCCTTTTTATCTTTGGTTTCTTGTTATTCCAGACAAAATCTGTAATCAATCTATTAGTGATATCTATATAATGAGGCGGTGTATGTATGCACGAACTTATAAAGATAAGTTTCGATAGCCCTAATGTTTTGGCGATTGTTATCTTGCCATAAAGTGAGAGATCTCTTTGAGACCATATATTAAACAGCTTTTGAATTTTACATATCTTTTGTGAAAAATTTTCCTGTTCGCAAAGTTTTAGATTGTAAGAGAATGATATCCCTAAGGCGGAGATAGGCCTTTGTGGCCACTGAACTCCAAATAGTGTATCAGTCCTATTTGCGTTTTTTCCAAGCCACATTGCTTCAGATTTACTTTGGTTAAGCTTTAAACCGCTGCAATCTTTAAATAGGTCTAATAACTCTAACAGTTTCCCAAGCGACTCTTTATCTTTGCAAAAGGAGGTGGTGTCATCGGCATATTGAGATAATTTTATTTCTTTGTTTAGGACTCGAATTCCCTTTATATGTTCATCAGCTCTTATTGAGCAAGACAGTAATTCTGCGGCTAAAATGAACAACAAGCCAGACAAAGGACAGCCTTGTCTTACTCCTCTCTTTAAAGTAAATGACTCGGAGGCGAAGCCGTTGTTTATTATGCAGCTAGAAATGTTTGTGTACAGAGTTTTCACCCAAGTCTTAAAGTCGGGTCCAAATTGAAAGGTATCTAGAGCTTTAAATAGGTACTCCCATTCTAAACTATCGAATGCTTTTTCAAAATCGATGAATAAAGCAATTCCCTCTATGTCCTGGTCAACGGTGAAATTGAGGATGTCGCTTATAAGTCTGATGTTTTCACCGATAAATCTTCCCTCTACGTAACCAGTTTGTGTGTTATTTATAACTGCCGATAGAACCTTTTTTAGTCTGAGAGCTAAAGCTTTAGAGGTAATCTTATAATCCACATTTAAAAGTGAAATAGGTCTCCAATTTTTAAGATACAATAAATTTTTGTTCTTTTTTGGAATAAGACGTATGATGCTTTGTCTTTGAGAAATTGACAGCTCACCTTTATGGAATCCATAATTAAAACTGTTTACCATTATCTTGCCTAATTGACTCCAGAAAAAGCTGTAATATTCGGCAGTAAAACCGTCATTGCCAGGGGATTTGTTTTTTTGGAAACACTTTAAAGCATTCCAGCACTCATTCTCCGTCAGCAAGCCTTCGCAGTTCTTTCTTTGTTCATCATTCAGCTTTTCTACCTTGTCATTATCGAAGAACACTTTGAATTTACGATCGTTTACTTGAGGATTTTGCGAGGAATATAAGGATTGATAAAATCTTTTTTGTTCTTTTAGGATTTCCTTTGGGTCCGTGATACTGCTTCCGTTTTCTTGTATAAGGCTGGTAATGCATTAATTTTCATAATTTCGTCTCTCAAGATTAAGAAAATATTTCGAACTTCGTTCGCCGAACTCATGCCAACGGGCCTTGGAGCGCACACATGCTCCTCTTGCCCGGTCGTAGGAAATCTTATCCAATTCGTTCTTAACTTTAATGTATCTCTGGACGGCTTCTGCTGATGGGCAGTTTTCACCCATATTTCCCAGTCTTGAGACTTCCTGTACGAGATCTTTTTCATAATCTTTTTTCATTTTAGCTTTTTGTTTTGAATAACTAATTGTGAACGCCCTTATTTTCATTTTAATCAACTCCCATAAGAGTCCGTGATCTTCAAGATCCTGATACTTGTTTATAAAGTGCGGAATTTTAAACATTAATTTTTCTGCATATTCATCATCTTCTAAGAGAGAGGAATTGAATTTCCAGAATCCAGGTCCTCTTGGGTATTTCTCATTAATTGGCAATTCCAACGTCACTAAAGAGTGATCGCAATGTGCAGCGTGCTTGATTTCACATTTCTGCAAGGGGGAATTTTGTAATAGTTGACGGGCTATTAGCCAATAATCTAATCTGCATTTTATTTTCAAGTCAGATGTTCGCCAAGTAAATTGTTTTTCTTCTGGATGTAGCGTTCTCCATACGTCGTCTAAATCTAAAATACACATCAGTTGCTCGATCTCACTGGCGACATTCCTTCTTGACGAAACATCACGTCCTCCTTCTTTATCGGTTTTGGAAAGAGGGCAATTAAAATCGCCACCTACTATAATGTTGTCGTTGGGAAACTGTTCAAGTAAAGATCTGAGTTGTTTAAAAAATATAATTTGCGCGTTATCATTATTGGGTGCGTAAATATTGGCACAAATAAATTTCTGATCATCTATAGAAAACTGCAGGATAAGAATCCTGCCGTTTTCACAACAAATTTCATTTTCTACTAGCACTTTGAGTCGAGGATTAAACAGAATTGCTACTCCTTTGCGGTGTTTACTTCCATGACAGAAGTACACTTTACTACCCACTCGTTACTCCATAATTTTTCTTGGTCAGTAGAGTTATATGTCTCTTGCAAGAAAATTATTGAGTACTTGTTAACGTGCAGTTGCCGAAAAATAGCTCTTCGTTTTCTTGAACTATTTAAACCCCTAACATTTAACGTAATAAAAGTTAACTTATTCATATTAACGAATAAATATCGATATCTTAATAGTTTCACAATACAGAAGCCTTCTTAAGCTAAAGCCTGGAGAAAACATTGCATCACTTACAACATAAAAGCGAAAATTACCTTTTATGAAACAAATTAAAGGCATTGCCTGTGAAGTTCTTTTAACTCCAACAATGGGTAGAATGTGAGATTAAAGTTGTTGTTGGTCAGTATCACTCCGACGGCGTTGCTAGGTTAACTCTTTGCCTCTTCCATTTCATGGCGTAGTTTTGCTAGTTCTTCTGTTCCTACGATTCTGTGACGGCCATTGGCATCGACATATTTGAGTATTGCAGGATATGTGATGTAGACTTTCCGGTCGTCTCCGAGTTTCTTCTTTAGAAACTTTCTGTAGGGCACGAGCTCTTGCCTCCGCCGTTGGGTTTTTTTGGCGAAATCCTCACTTATACCGATGGCATTTCCGTTTAACGGGTTATCCTTTAGACGAGCGGCGGCATTCCTTAGTACCTTCATCTTATCCGTGTATCGAAGAAAAGCGACGTGCATTGGTCTGGGACCCTTTTCACCAGCAGAAGACGTTTTACTTGGCGTGCGGTGTGCCCTCTCCAGCTCAACATGGCCACATAACGTTTCAAGGCCCATATGCTGCGTAATAAAATCCTGTACAAAAGAGATGCAATCTCCTTTTTCGGCTTTCTCTGGTATATTGTAGAAGACTAAGTTGTTCCTTCTTGACCTGTTTTGTAATTCTTCGATTTCATCCTTCAGCGCATCGACAGTGGCGTTATCTGCTTTTGAGTCTAAATCCGTTTTTACCTTCTGCAGTTCTGCTGTCAACCAGATGATTCTCCAGGTGAAGGCCGTATGTATGAAAGACCGAATAGTCCGTACTGTCCAGTAAAAACTTTTGAACTGTATTTATCAAAGCTTAATCCTAGTTTGTCGTGTTTGTGGCAAAGGCCGAAGGTGCGTGAAAGTTTTAGCGAAAGTGATGAAGTTTGGTATTGTAATGCTCCTCTCGGAAAAAATACGCTAGCTACGTTAATGAGTTCCATTTCAAAGGAAATACAATTGTCTTATCAGTACACCAATCATTGTATTAGGGAAACTGCCGTATCGTTATTAGACGAGTGTAATTTTGAGGCCCGCCATATAATGCGTGTTTCTGGCCACAAGTCTGAGAGCAGCATTCGCTCTTATTCAAGGCGCCTTTCTGAGGTTAAACAAAACGAAATTTCCCATTCACTCAGTACTGCATGTTTTGAAAGTTTAGAGAGGCAAGAGCAAACTGCAGAGGCAGATTGTCCTTTAGTCGGAAACACAGTGCCAAGATCACCCATCACGATGCAAAATTTCGCATCGCAAAGCCAGGAAACGGTTAACTTTAACGCAGGCGCATTTTCAGGAGCAACCGTTACTATAAACTTTTATCAAGGTAATTCCAAGTGATTCTCTTTGAGCTTATCTCAATATTGAGCTTTTAAGTCCAGAAACTACTTGTTCATATACTTTGTGCTAAGTAATTCATTTACAGATTTGAATTAAATGTGCCCTTTGAAGTACTAACATTATTTCCATTCGTTCTTACTTCTTTGTCACTGTTGAAGTAAAAGTCTGGGAATATAACAAAACACTTAATGTCAGTTCCCTCGGGAAACAGTTAGTTTTGTTTTCCCTCGACTTCGTCTCGGAAAACATCAGGACTCTCAGGAAAACAAAACTAACTGTTTCCCTCGGGAACTGACATTAAGTGTATAATATCCCCCAGCCTCAATGCTGTAGATACCAACACCAATAATTGCCACCGTTAAAACGAATGAGTTGTAGTTCAGTGCCAACAGTGTTTCAAATGCAGTACTCTGTGAGTGGCATGTACAGTAGTGATGGATGTTACAAGTATAACTGCCACTGTATTCAAGGTGGAAAAATTGCTCAAACACCGTAACCATTCCTGCAATTCTGTAACATTAACATAGATTGTCTTGCAAGCAGTAACAGACGAGAATATAATTGAATACCAACAATTATTATTTGAGCCATATCATCATCTTACTGTAAATTAAAGCGGACAGACTCATTGCGACACATTGTTGTCCAGCATTTTCCCCAAATACTGTAACATTTCCTTGACAGTATGGAGCATTAATTGTTTTTGTAGCATCTCCATAAACTGAAGGTCCTGGATTCTTCTCTATATCAGCACAAAGCTTAAACTGGCCAAAATTAACCCGGTGATTCAAACTCTTGTAAGCACTATAAAATGGATAATTGCATGTACAGAGGGGCAAATTCTTACTTAAAAGCCTATTTGGATGTCTCATTCCTCCTAAATCGCCTGTGCTTTGATGCTTAGACGACAGATATACCTTCCCTCGTTTACGAACTAGTTTTGGAGTTGCCCCTTAAGTAAAAACCTCACATTGTTACAGTTACTTCTGTTCCTGTTTAAGTGTAAACCCTTTCTATTTCTAACGTAACAATGAATTTCAGACGACAATGGTGTATTTTTCCGAATACTCTTCCATACAAAAAGTGTCACTTTCCGTGTTTTCTGTAACAAAGATTTTAATTTGTTCATCAGTAGGCTGCTAAGTGCACATGACGATAACCGGTCATTTCGTTCCATGGTCAGATCGTTCCATAATATAGTCAGTTCGTTCCACTAAAAAGTCAGTTCGTTCCACATATGAAAAGTCAAGTAAATCTTTCTAAATTTGTTGAATGAACTTCATCGTAAGAAAAACGTTTCGTTCGTACCACAAGCTGATAAAATAAGAATCGATCCAAAGTCGATTTGATCCATCCTAAATCGTTTGAAAACAAACAAGAGACGATTTCAACTAGCCACGGGCTTTAACATTTAAACCGCGGCTTTGAGAGTTTTTGAGCAAGAATCGATCGATGGTTTTTAAAGATATAGCACAACAAGTAAAAGCTATGCCGTTTTAAAGGTACACTGTTTCGAAGCGCTTGTAACCTAAATATTTCTTTGCAGCGCCTGATTTACGCAAATTTTGAAAACAATGCGAGTTTCCAATTACATCTCGATTTTATGGTAATTTGTCTTGCCGAAAATATAATTGACTAACCAGATTGAAACCAACGGAATTGTAAGTTCTGTTATAAATAAATTTTCCACGACGAGATCTCAATTCAACCTCTTTTATTTCCTCCACAACAATATTTTCCTTCTGTACAACTAGCTCATTACCTTCTCTTGCCGTCACCTCGCTGCCATCAAAACACTCTAACACAAAACTTGCTGATAATGCAAAATCCCGACGCACAGCATCGTACATGTACCGCGTCACAATATACACAATTAGATGAAAAAACACAACACGCAGGGTGACGGTTAATGTACTTGTTTTTGTGTTGCTAAACAAAATTGAAATAACACAAAGAAGTGTTGCAGTTATCACAGTAGTTCCAAAAGAAGCCTCAGTCTCTTTTGGTTTCAATTGTTGACAATCGTCTCTTCCTTCATCGGAACAGATTTTTATCACAGGCAACTCGTGTTCCGCAATGCAAAACTCAAAATCACTATTGTCACACTGATAACCAGCTACACAAATCTTGCGACTCTCAAACTTGTTAGACATTCCTCTGTTCAAACTCTTATCCATTTTACACCTACACTCCTGATATTCCGATGTGTTATTACGTCTATGGGGTCCACGAGTCTTTGATGTCATTGAATGTCTAGATAATTTCCTTTGTTTTTCTTTGAGTTCGCTGACCAGGCCATTCCGAAAACACTTAGTGTTATTTTTTAGTGTGGGCCTACCGCGAACACATTTGTAAGTTTAACCCGGGATAACATGATTGAACAATATATTAACACGTTCCTCGAAACGCCGCGGCCAAATGTTATCCAAACTGCTTCTTACTGCTGCTTCGAAAAATTTCGGATCAAACGATATCCAAATCTAGTCCAGTCAAATTGTAGTTGAACATCAAACTAATTGCAACATCATTTTTTTGACGCCATATAATTGTAGAATGACTTCTTAAAAACATACTAAAAATCCGCCAAAATCCGTTTGGTGGAAGATACGAATTTTTAGTTGTTAACAATTTCAGCTTTCACCACAGGACACCCAAGAAACCAAAAAACACAATCTGAATAAAAGCATCTGTTTATGTGATCTTTGTTGTTGAAAAGCTTAGAAATTGTCAAAATATCTTTTTTTTTGTGATTGTATTATGATATATGCCCTGAAATACTATTACGAAACCCGAATTGGTCTTCCTGTCGTGTCTCCCACAGGACACCCAACAATACAGATGTATGTCTGTATGTCGTGCAAATTAATGCAATGAACAAAATCGATCTGAGTAGCAATAAACTATTGTATCCTTGATTAAAAATTACTGATATATGAAATAAGTAACAAAATTGTGCGAGAACATACATGCCATAAATTGTTCTGCTATCGTCATACCTGAAGTTTGAATTTACTGTATTGAGTAACGTCAGAACAATCTTAAGAGAAAGGTTTCTTCAGCAAATTGAAAACGTAAAATCTTTGAAGTTCACAAAAAAATATCACTCGACATCGCATTCCAAGTCAGGTGGGGCTGAATTCACGCAGCTGTAGCCCTTGCATTCTCCACAAGCAGGTGAAGAGTCCAGACCGTTCTTCCTACACGTACATTTCTGTGTACTGCAGCCTTTTTTACAGTTACATCTTACAAACTCCAGAAGAGACTCGTCAGCTGGTGGTAATTCTGTTCTTATAGGTAGAAGCTTTCCAGAAGACAATTTCGACCCCCAGTCCTCAGGCTTCAACAATACTCCTTTCCATTGCTGTATCTGAAAGTAAACCCTCTGACTATGATAGGCGGCTCTCAGGCTGTAAGAAAGATTTTCCTGTGGCAACTTTCTGACAAAATCTTGTATAGGGCAGTGAGTTAAGGCTTTCATCAGCTGGCTTGTTGTTATACAGACAGAGCAATGCTTTCTCTCCCGCTTCAACAACCTCTACCTTAGTAGCAACGGCACGCTTAAAAACGTCGGCTTGCTCACGAAACAATGCGTCTGTTTTAATCTTGTGGAGAGCTACTCCTTTTCCAATGCCGTAGATACTAGAAGTCGTGTCGCATCCAAGCAATGCCTGAACAAACAAAGTGTTTTTGCAAACGGAGGGGCCAAGCAAGTTTTGTCTCTATGATGTTCCATACCCTCTTCGTCTTGGAACTTTGCTTGGGCTCGGGCCTGAAGAACAAATCGTGCGCATCCATTTCCGCATAGAAGCAACGTAGCACCAGGAGGTCAGTATCATCACCGACAAGAACGGTCGAAAGTGATCTCGCAGACTGAATGGCGGTCTGGGCAATGAGAAGACCTGCATCCCCTGCGGCGCGGTTAACCGTACATCCCGACTGTTGCAATCTTTCTCCTAGATGAAGAATAAACTTTTGCTTGTTCACCTTGCTAGCAAGAAATTCCTCTTTCTTTACCTTAGCAACCATGCTACTATCAAAAGCAACTGTTGGCGTGGGATAAACTTGTACGCCTTTGGTGAGTACAATCATTGGTGGATGCCCCATTCTTATATCCATCGAATACGACCGTGGCCTTTCCATACCTTTGGATAACGCACTGAATATAAACGGAATAAATGGCGTCGTATGTAAAAATGCGATGCCATGAGACACGATGAATAAGGGCACCTCCATCAAGAACAAAACGAACGTTTCCTGTAACTTCAGTGGACGTATTTTAACATCAGTCCAGATGGCATCTACTAAGACTGGTTTGTTCGCTTTTCTGGGTAGTAGAGACGTATCGAATAGGGCATGCGCGTAGCTGCACATCTCGTACTTAAATAGTGACTTAGGATTGTCGAACCGTCCTCCAGTGGCAATAATACTAAGTCTCTGAAACAATAGCTGAGGGTCCACCTGGATTTTGCCATCATCAAACTTCACAGCTGCTTTTGAGGCCATTGTAACTACCTGATCTTTTCTTCGAAAGGAATGATCATAAACATTCTTGCCTCTTAACGAACTTAGTATTTTCTCTCCAACTTCCTTCGCTTTATCAGCGTTAACGTTATCCTCTGCTACAATGCCGGTCGTGATGCTGCGTAATGATGGATCTGCTCTGAACCGATTTCTCAGAGAGAGAAAAGTAACGATCTCATGAGCATCTTTATGGCCGCGTTCCTGTCTCGCTTTCGTTGCTTCCTTGTGCTGCTCACTTGTATTGTTTACAATGTCAGTTGGATTTTGCATGGCACTGTTAACCTCTGCACACGCAGGCATGGACATCACCCAAGCCAAACGTTGTGCTTCGGTCATCCCTCGACCTCGGGTAAGCCCACCACTTGCCTTTAAACTACGCATAAGGACCTGCTCTATAACCAAGTCAGTAGAAAGGCGAGACCAGTAACGATCACTTTTGCGCACAACATGCAGGCCATCTTGAAAACTCTTATGCACATCGGGGTGTGTTTTGTGGAGGTCACACTTAAGTTGTAAATAAAGGTATGCGGATTTCACGTAATTATACACACACACACACACACACTATACTTTATTTCATGCACATCATTTTGCCATCTCCACCCGCAAATAGCAAAAGCTAGACGAGGCGGGCGGAGAGGAAAGGTTACAGCAGTCATAACAGATAATATAATAATTGTAAAGTAACTAAATAAACTATGTCGATAAATAAGAATTACAGAAAAACAAGCTAAAGTTACAAAGTATATAGTCTTACAGAATGATATTACAATCAAAGTTACTACTAACAGAAACCTATCGATTATTAGTATATTGAGTCGAGGATGCAGAATTTGGCATTTTTTGTAGAATGGGCACTTCAACATAATCGTCCTCTGCTTCCATTATCGAGAGCAAAAAGTCATGAAATTTTTTTTAAAAGCTCCTCTGGAGAGTTGACGAAATTCGTTAGGAATTGCGTTCAAAAGTTTAGCTCCTAACCTGGAAAAAGAATCTTGATTTGATTGTGACCTGCAGCTGCAAAATAGAGCAGCATTTCGCGGACTGTTTGGAGATGAAGATTCCAATTGCCTGTCCGTTCAGCTTTAATAAAGGTGCGCAATGTGTCTACCATATTCATGTATTGGATCCACATAGTGGCTGTCCGCTGATTGTGCATGGAGACTCTCTTGCTTTCTAGCTTTTCTGCAACCTTTAGAAGAACTTCAGTGGATCCAACCTGCTTTGCCTTCGTAGTGTCCTTGACGAGTTCTTTGTACAATTCCTCTACCTTTTTGAGGTCCTGATCAGCAGCTTGTACATCAGACGCATTCAGTTCTCCTTCTTTATCCCCAAGATTAACACCTGTTTCAGTGTCTAGTCCTATAGTCGCTGGTAAGGGACTACCAAACGTTATATTCACTAACAATGCATTAAGAACGGAATCAACTAAAATGTGACCTCTGACTGCTCTGGCCAATGCTTTACCACTTAGCATATGACCCACTGCATTCGTTGCGTACACTAATTCAAGAACCTCTTTCAAACCAGAACCCGACATTACGTGCCCAATACAGCCAAGAAAGCTCATTTCAATATGCAGACCTCCTAACCTCAGAACAGCCAACTTAAGGTCACTAGTTTCAGGCTCATTTGTGACGATGATCATTGCCTTCCACCAAAGGGGCTGATCAAATGTTACAATTGGTGTCACACTGTAACGCTTTGCGTGGTCACATATGAATGAAAGTGTGGAATACACGCACGTCATAACGGTGGGTTGCAAGTCTATCACTGAAAGAAAAGCGATCTTTGACTGGCCAGGGTAATGCCCTTCACAAACCATTTGCATGAACCCCAACCAGCCAGGAGTCATCTTCCAAATAAGGTCGAGATTTGCTGAGGCATCTTCTATTCTCAAATCCTTCAACTCTTTGTAAAACAGCGGTGTGGTGTGTCCTGCTTGATTTCTGTAATGACAAATATTTGTTTCTCCGGCTGCAGCCAATTCCTCGGGAGACACATCTTTCTTTGGTACTAACTTGCTTATTCTTCCACCAGGAGTAATTGTTGCAATGATACCCCTTCCATGAAATGTTCCTTTTCCGTCCAAAGGTCTTGTGTTGTGGTCTACGTTATCCGCTACGTACTGAATGAACTGATCTGAGATATGACCTGGCAAGTCCGTACCTTGAGCTACGGCTGCATTTCGCTCGTATTGCAATACCGTGGCATACGACGAGCAGAATCCATGGGCATGAAGTGAATCGATTAGGAATTTAGATCCGAAATGATGATGCATCTGTATACCGAGTCCAAGATGAAGAGGTGCTAATAGTACTCTTGGTCTAACTGCTTGCATAATCGCTTGGCCAATTGAAGCAACCTTTCAGTCAACATCCTTGCCTACAAAAAGAGTTCTCAAGAAAAGCTCCAGGAGATCAAGGCCAAAGTCTAAAGCTGACTGAATAGAAGACATCTTGACACTGGATGGATAATTTTCACTTGTGACATCTATTTTTTTAAAATCACTCTTCATTAGATTTGCTGCAGCTTTAATGATTTTGGTCTTCTCTGCCTCACAATCTTCCTTTTTTGGTTGGGAATAGAACTCGTTGATTATTGAAGACGCTCTACTTTGGAGAGTGACTATATTAGCCTGCTTCTTTGTTGTAGTCATCACAATTCTATCACCAAAATGATCTCGCAACTTCTTTTTCATGTACACACCACTATAAGCTTGTTCCTCTGAATTTTGGAGAAATTCTTCCATCTTCTCATCATTTTCCTCGACAAAATGAGCAACTTTCAAAAATGCTGTGTTTTTAGCAACGTCTTCTGGCCTTCCTTTCGGTAACCTCTTTGTTTTGTTGGGAGTGTTGTTAGCGACATATTTATGCGGGATCTGTTTTCCAGTGCGAAAGTTAACGCTACATGCCTGATGGTGCATGGCATCCGCGCCACAAAGATCAGAGCATACTCGATTCGGCCTAACACTGTTATCCACCATTCGTCATTTCTTGCTTTGCAGACCTGAGCTATTGAATTTTGAAACTCTTGAGTTTTTATTGTAATAACATCAAAGCCTCTCTTTTTCCCGTCGTATTTTGCTGTCAAGCCACAGAAAACGCAATTCTCTTTGTAGTCAAAAGCCGTAGTAACAAAACGTCGACTGATAACAGGTGCATTCTTTTTAACAACAGTTGCCTTCTTACGTGACGTGGCATTCTTCTTCATGGGTCGACACAAATCTTTACGACATTTTTGACGAACAGCTTCTCCCGGTTCTACTGCAATGAGTCGTTTAGCGTTTATACTATCGCTACCCTTTTTGGTTAAAACAGCAGCTTTTCCCCCATCATGTATGGCTTCGAGACAGATGCAACATGTTTCCATTGTCAAAACAGGACCAATTTAATGTGACCACACCGAACATTTAGCAAAAACAAGAAATCACACATTACCCATGATTTACATTTTTATTGTTTTTCACTTTGTTTTCGGTGCGTGTAAAGGTGGCAAAACTGTGAAAAAGATTTATTCAAGGCTATCAAGTACATGCGAGATGATGCGCCATACCTGTAACTGTTCAAATTCCTAGACACATTCACAATTTGGGTGAGTCTTTTTTGTTTTCACCTCAAAACACGAATGGTCTACAAATAAGTAAAGGTATTTTACTCTTCCCTAAAATTTATTATATTCTTTTATCAACCTTAAGAATGATTGCTATTTTCGCGATTAACATAAGCGTGCCTCTGCTCCCTTTATCTACATGGCGTTCCTGTGCAAGGACATTGAATCCCGGTTTATTTATATCTGGTTGGTAATATTCTTGAAACAAGCGAGTTATTTGAGTTATTTTTTATCTTTTTGCTTGCAAGAGTATGAACATAGTAATTTGCCTTTTTTTGCTAAGAAAACACTTTTTTCCAAACCTGGGTGTTCTGTGCTAAAAGCTATAACAGTTACTGCGATTAATTTTCACATCTTGCACCAAACGGATTCTGACGGATTCTTAGTATATTGCTATTTAGTATATACACAATCAGTGATCTTGGTGATTTAAGCAATCTGATTGGTTCGCTATCTCGGACTATTAAAAAATATTCACCTCCTAGCGAGTGGATAATGTGTGAGCTCGGTTTTTTCACATTTTCTTAGTGAAAGATCTTTTAAAAGTCAACAAAATCCTAGGGTTGACTTTTTTCCAGGCAAGAAAAGACTTCGAAGGATTCAAAACAGCGTTTTTCCATTTACTGTTGTTGAGTTTTGTGGTCGATGGATTGTTTACAACTCCCGTTTATTCGCCAAGAAGAGGCCGTTTCGTGAACTCAGCGTTTCCTAACAAGAAAAATTTGGCCCCAAAACGAAGTTTATTTATGACAAACAAATTTGAAAGCGCATGTTTGCAGAAATTCTACGTTTCAAGTAAACACCAGAAAGAATGCTACATGAAGACGACGTCTTACCTCGAGGAAGCGAATCGCCATTTTTGTCAGCACTTCATGCGAAGAACGACAAAACAAACCTTTTCGGCTATAAACTTGGCGAGTCAACAGAAAAGAACAAAGCTCTTCTTTTCTCCTCAGGTAAGGAAACAATTCAACCTTTTAGCGGTTCCATTTACGTCATTACGCTGTTGTTTGCGAAGTGATAAACTTGTGAATTGCCATGTTTGAAAATTCTACAAGGATCTATTTTTAAACTGTCGCGTGTCTAGCTGACCTGATCTGTCAATCAAATCGTACTTTTTAATGGTTTCTTCTCTGATTTTGTTGAGATCATTTCGTGTATATATACTAAAACAATTATTCTTTTCAATCTCGGTGAATAGTGGCTTTAGGAATATTTACCTCGCCACTATTCACCTCGATTTCAAAGAATAATTGTTAATTAGACTACCCGTGACTGAATAACGGTGAAATTTCTTCTGTTGCAATTAGTTTGATGTTGACCCTCTAAATTTCATAGATTGACTGGACTAATCGTCCCTCATTGGATTATCCACTCGACCTAACAAAATCGACCAATCAAAATAAAATGGACATAAAATAAACAAAACAGCAAATTCGGATGACCTCTTAGGAAACATGCAATTAAAACTGTCTTTCTACGATTGGTGCATTTCGATCCTTTCGTCAAAAAAATGTCAGACGCCAATCATCTTAGCGGACCTCTTAGGAAACGAAAGTTTTCTTCAACGGGTTCAAAAGGTCATTGTTTGTAATTTGTGATTGGTCGATTTCGATCCGGTTTGTGAGTTTCTGTGTTTCAAGGTTCGTTGCTTGTGATCTTATTGTGTCCAAAACGTGACGTTAATATTCCAAATATTTTTGACAGATTTCATCCCTGGACTTCAGACTTCAAAATTTCGATGAGGCAAAAATACTGAAGATTCAGATTAACTTTTGAGATCGTAAAAGTGCGATAAAGTGCCGTGTACTAGAAGAGCTTTCTTTCCTACATGCCTCTTACCTTGTACAAGACGTTCGCATGGCAGACATTCGCCTCGCTTCGCTTGTTTACTTGCCTTGTTTACGTTAGCACGTATTGCGTGCCTATTGCACATTTGCGTCAAAACAAGCCGTTTCCATTACTCTATTTGGGCCACGCCCAAATAATAAGTGTTTCTATATGGTCATTTTCTTCTACTAAAATATCTAGGAGAAGTCGGCGAATTTCTCTTTTAAATTCCTTCTTTGGGTAGGTTTCGCAAGCTACACGGTATCTTATTCCACAGTTTACGCCAAATCTGGAAAAAGAACGCTTATGTATCTCTAACCTAGTGCTTTGTACGTAAAAATTGCCGCAGGTGGATGATCGTGTATTGTATGTATGCATGCTGGAGGTTTTTTGAAATAATTTCAAGATATTTAGAGGAGCGTTATTATTATTGATGTCATGCATAAAGTTGGAGACAAACTCATAATATAGAAACGACAGAGGCAGAATATTGGCATCAACTAAGAAAGGAATTGCATGATCGCGTCTATCAGCGAAAAATATCATACGAGGGGCTCTTTTTTGAAGAATTAAAATTTTATTAAGATGCGTCTTCAGAGGAAGCAAGTCCGTAAGTTAAGTAAGGATAGATTAACGACTGATAAATATTTAAAAGTATACATCGTGTATTGAAGTGGCGTAGTTTGGCAATCAGGCCAACAGTTTTACTAATTTTACTGGCAATAGTATCAATATGGAATTTCCAGGAAAGATGTTTATGAAGGAAACCGCCAAGATGTTTAATATAATCTTTTGATTCAAGTCTTGCATTTCCATTTTTCTGACTAACGTCAGAAATAATATTACCGCTAACAAGACGATGCAAACAATCAATGTAAACCGTTTGCATAGAGTGCAAGACTATGTATTGCGAATAAAGACTATATATACTTCCAGACTATATAAAGCGAATAAAAAGGACAAAATGTCGTCTAGCTAATCTGATTTTAAAAGAATATGGTGGAACCGCTGTTCAGGGCACACCCTCTGGACCGAGGCAAGTGTCCGCTGAATAGATGTTGGGCTGGGATGTGTTAATAATTAACCAACGAAGAAATTTTGCCTCGGAATCTGCTGCAATCATTATTTCAAGAAGTTGGACTGACGTTATCTCTGCGATATTGTTTGTGTAATACATCGCTTAAGTGAGAAAATTCATCATTGTGATTAAGGCTTAAACTTATCAACCCTCTTTGTGGATAGCTACGTTTTATTTGAGTACTTAAGTGTCCCCTGAATAGTTCTGAATAGAGGTAACAGACACATTTTCCGGGACCAATTTTTTTCCCTGAATTTTGGTGTCCCAATGGAGAGGTTCGAATGTATGTAGGATTTCAGTTTTATCCACTAATTGACGCCCTTTGGACATACATACATATATATGCATACATAATTACTTATTAATTGCATAAAGAATATTAGAAGTTACGGTAAAATAGCAGCAATACTGTTTTAAGAAATTGCCATGACAGACCCTGACAGAGTGTCGAAGAGAGTCTAATTTCCATAAATAGTCATCAGTTAGGATATTCCATGATAGCGCCGCGCTGCAACCAAGGCCACGCTTCCCTTAGAGAGAGTGGCTTGGACAAGTCTCGCTTGACAGGGTGAACTGCGCATGCTAAATAAATTTTCCAAGAATAAATGGAATGGCCTTTAATTTATTGTTTTAAACATTAGGCAAGAGGAGAAATTGTTCCCGCGGTGGGGCCTATGTTAGCTTATTTACAGTATGTACGAGGATAAGTGGCACTTGTGCTGTCACTGGACCTGCTAATCAACCTAGTAGCCCAATTTTGACGCACTTGTAGTTTATCACTCAAGATAAAGTTAATTTCATCCCAAACAGTATTGCAACAGTCAGTGTGGATTTGACGAGCAGTGCTTTGCGACGTAAAAGATTATATGTGCCTTTTAGGGCGACTATGTACTATAAGTGGAGGGATTTCGTTTTCTTACAGGACTTAAATATTGAACGTTTTTTTAAGAACTCTCATTAACCTGTGGTGATAGAATTGGACTGTGCAATTCACAACAAAAAGGAGCCATGGTTATTGTTTGCCAAAAAATAATAAAAATAACATCAGTGTTAACTAACAAAATTCATGCTAATACCTGCTTATTGCAGCACACCACAGCCAGATGATTTGATTCTGGTTGGAAAGCCATAGCAGATAACTGAGACTCCAAACGGGGAAGTGTGGTTTTCAGCTGTTAAATAAAACAAAAAAAATTTGGTTGTCCGTTTGTTGGTATTGTTCACTAGCTTGCACTGGTTGTGTGGCATCATGCTTATAATCGGTGCAGGACGTTTTGTATGTACTAAAGGAAAGGAGGAGTAGCGGATACTACAGCTGATATTGATGAGAAATTCGTTCATCAACATCATTCACTGACAAAATTATTATTGATTCTGTTAGCTTTCAACTAAGAACAAACGCACACACAAGATAGACGTACAAAATGTATGATAAACATCATTGTGCACAGTTAGAAGCTTGTGACAGTTGAACGTGTATTAATGAGTACCTTGCCAAACCAATTCGTGTTAAGATGAAAACCTGATCTCTATTTAGTGGTCACTTAAGCTTTAAGCATTATAAGAGTTCGCGGGTCCTTTTTCCTAAATACCAACCATTTCTTTTTTTTTCTCTGTGAAGAGGTACCATATCATTTGGACTGGATACGTTTTGTGTGTGGCCCGTAAAAGTTACTCATTTTCTTGAAACATAACCCGCAGTCTTGTGATTACAACCTCCATGTTACCATCTCCTTTACTTGATTTACTTTTAGCTTGGTCGTACCTGTATTTATTAAACGATAAGTACCCATTTTGACTACCGCATAATACAAGTTTAGCTGTAGCTTCAAACTGTTGTATTTACAAACCTTCATTTTTTTCAAGCTAAATATGTGCACTGTTTGAGTAGAGTCTGAACAAGCTAACCAGTGTAAATCATCGCTAACAGCAACAAGACGAATGGCACAGGAATCTGACAATAAGAAATAAAGAGTACACTAAAATTTTGAATAAACAAATCATATTGAAATAAATTTAATATCAGTGCGTTCGATTCCTCTAACAGTTCTGGACAGTTTGCAGGAGCCCTAAGTGGTGTTTGTGCGGCCAACAAGGGATACATGGTCATATCAGTTTCACGAGAAGCCAACTTTAACTCATCAACGAACCGCAAGCATATCATACAAACCATCGTCCAATATAACTCCACGTCTACCACTTCATAAACCAACCCTTAACAATACAGAACACTACTGTGTTACTCAAAATCCCTCGCACACATTAAAAACTCCGCCTTTTCCTATTACTGTTACATTATTATTCACCAGCGCATGGACAAAAAAATATTTTCCTCAACAACCTTACCTAAGCTTTGGGGCTGAATGTTTAAAGTATTACTCAACAGGACCAAATCACTGAGGTCTAGGATCTAAAGAAAGAATAACAATAACTGAAACATTTTTACCTAATTGTAAAGGCAAGTTCTTTAGATACCACACAACAGAGACTGGAAGAAAATAGCACCCTTGGTGTCAGATGCTGTTTATGCAAGCGTTGTTTTTGCTTTCGGTCACGACTTAAAGCTACGTACAACTCCCAACAATGTTGGGAGTTGTTGGCCAACAGAGCACGGGACTTAACGTTTGACTGGTTTCAAACTACTTTGCGCCACAATATGCAAAGGGGTGCGCAAACGGACGCAACATTTAACATTCAACAATAAAGGGAGTTGTTGGCCAACAAAGTTGCGTCCCTTTGCACGGGGCTTTAATAGTGACAAGCGCGAATAATCTCTTGACCAGAGCGCTATTTGCTTGAAAAGCAAAAAACAAGCAAACTTATGTGAAAACATTGATAGAATTTAGTGATACTGGTATTGTAAGTTACATATGGGGTATTCAGTTCCACATTAATAGAAGATATTACATGGCCGCGCGGAGACACGTAATTTTTCTTCGAAAAATATTTCACGAGTGAGCGCAGCGAACAAGTGAAATATTTTTTCAACACGAGAAGTGAAATTTCGTATCTCCAAGCGGCCATGTAATATTCTATTTATTATATAAACACCAATGAACTACCAAACCATTTCACTTTAATAGTTTTTTGGTGTGAAAGGCGCGATTATTATGTAGCCATAGCAACAGTGATATTTTCACATGAGAAGATAACATGTTATTTGCACACGTGAAGATACCAAGTTTTCGCGCGAAAGCTCACCTGGTATTTCATTGGTGTTTATATAATAAAAAATGTTACAACATTCACTAGTTATCATTACAAATTAGAGGAGTGAGGGGTGTTGGAGCAAAGTGGTTTGTAAGCGAGAGTGGGTTTAAAAGGCCAGCGGAGACCGTTTTTCATTCTCTGAATATTTGATGTCTGGTTTCATATAATACATGCATACTTACATACATACACACTTTATTAACGTGACTAACACTTACCTATAAAGCTAGTTTACAGGTCAGTAACAAAACTAAAAACAAGCCTAAAAACTATATAAAAGAGTTTAAAATGATATATAAAATTATAAAATTGTTAAAACTTATGTACTAAGAAAACCAGGTTAAATTGTGAATAAAGGTCAATAAACTTACAACTATATAAAAGTGTTTAAAATGACATAGTACATAAAAACTGCAATAAGATTATAGAAACTATATAATACTTATATACTAAGAAAAGCTGAGTTAAATTGCGAAAGCGACCATAAACTTGCAAGGTCGAGCTCCTTGAGTCCACGTTTAAAACTGCGGTAACTATCAGTGTTTGTTAAATTATTTCGAATATTGTTCCATAGTCGGGCAGCCTGGTATCTCCATGACTTGATCCCATACTTTGTTGAATTTACTTTATGTAATTTTAAAATAGCATCACCAGTACGTAAATTATAATTGGAATTACGTGCCGTCAATAACTCGGAAATACTTGTAGGTACGTTTCCATTCCCAATTGCTCCAAACACTGTATTTAACATTTTTGCAAGTCTTTGATTAGCGAATGTGCTATATCCATTTTTAACAACTAGTGCCTCATAAGTAGAGATTTTGTCCTGATAAACGAAGCGGAGTGCCTGCTCGTTCAGTTTATTCAGTTTTCTTCTATTTTCTTATGGAAAAATAACAGTCATAATTTCACACGGTAAATGAATGGTAATGTTCCAGTTGATGAAACAGTACCCGCCTGCTAAATCAACCAAATAAAAATAGTTTTCAGAGGTCAATAATAACCGCCGGTCAATTAATCATGGGCTTTACTCAATAACTGACGTTCTAAAGGCATTGATCAGTGTTAGCTCTCCCACTTCACGAGAACGCAAAACTCACGCATTTTGCAGCAAAAATGTCACAGTATCCTATACATTAAAATATATTTGGCGTAGTATATTTGCCTGCAGGATAGACAATAAATTTCAAGGTGCAGTATGGCTGAAAATTATAGCAAAGTGAAATTAGTTCTTCAACAACCTTGTACCAATTCATTAATTAAGGTTAATCAGGTAATTACAGTAATCATGTCATGTACTTTTGGACTCACCTGAATGGAACCCTGTCGTGTTGAACAAATCAGCTTTGAACTGTCAGATGTAAAAACCAGTTGGCTGGCAGGCAATAGCTCAGCAGGTAAAGGTGAAATCTAAGGACAGAACATCCAGTTAAATCTTTGTCCGCCTCGGATCTTAAGTTATGTTACCCCAGTTTAAGGTACAGTAAAACGTGCAACAAAAAACATGCAGCTAGTTTTGCAACGTTGCTGCAAAACGAGATGAATAGCGATGTTGCGCGTTTTACCAGCCACAAATCAAGCCTGTCTTGTGTCAAGTCAGGTTGTTGCAGGTTAGGAAGTAGAGAGTAGTTTTACCGTAGTTAAATACAGCCACTCACTTTTATCACCTGAGATCGTCCAGTTGTCGCCTAATAGTGAAGAAATAAATCAACAGCGAGTTACGAAACACGTGGAAAAGAATACACCTTCAGTTCCAACTGCTGGGTAAGCTTAAAACAACTGTACCGGTTGTGTTTACAAAACACAGCCCTCAACTTTAATCGGAGGGTAAACTTTGACAAAGTCTACATGCATAACATATTATTCTCTTCAACTGCAACCGTTTCCTTAACTCAAAAATGCTATGGGAGTTCTCACTATGAGTCATTTTTGTACTTCATCTTCAATCTGATGAATCCAAAGACACGTAAAGTGCTCGTATTTTACACTTGACAACTTCACTCTGGTCTCTTACCAAGCCACATGACTACACTCATTCACGCATTCATTGCAACAGGTGAACTGCAAGTGTTGTAAGGGGGCAAAGTTATTGAACTGATTATTACTACTCACTAAAGTTCACTTCCAAAAACGCTTTCTTATCAGACTTTATATAAGGATCAAAAGACATAGAATCATACTTTGGAACCCCGATATTGCTCGTCCCATTATGACAAACGAGATTCATCACCTCAGCCATAGTTAAATGTATAGGAGAGGAGCCAGATCCGAACCTTCGTTACAATGAATACCCATCAATACACTCACCAAATTTAACTTGAACAAGCTCACATGACACACATCAGAAAACGCTGCCCAGCGTCCACATGTTGAAATAGCACTGCAGACAATGTGGTGATCGCCCTATTATGTTAACAAATGCTACAGTCATTGTCTGAAATCATACCTTCAGTATTAGTTGTGATTTATTTAAGTATTTATCGACACGATTTCTGTAACACGCCGATCTCTAAAGTGGAGCGCCACATATCGCATATGTATTCATACTTTACCGGATAGATTGTCGTGTCGGCACGAAAAGCTATCCAGTACGGACTTGGAGAGAGTAACAACAAATTTACAGTACCTTCTTCTTAATCTGTACGAGAAGAGCCGGTGATCTCTGCGAAGCTGAGCTTTTGCTGTCTACCAATAAAAAAAAATGTATAAGTAATAGCATGATTTGTAGTGATATTTGGTATAAATACCACGAGTGATATTTCGAAAAATTTGAGATAATTTTGAAATATCACGAGTGGCATTTATGCCAAATAACACATACAAATCATGCTACTATTTGTTTATACTACCACCCACAAAAGGTTTGAAATTTTCACATGTAGGTATTTCAAATTAAGCTGAAAAACCACTGCTCTAAGCCAATCAAATTGCAAGAATTTTTCATGAAGTGGTATAAACAAAAAAATACTCATAATTTTGCTTTGAATGCTTTGATTCTGGTTCCTGTAGCTATGACCCACACACCGAGATGAATAAATAATTTTACATTATCAGTGATTTGCTGTGTCCATCAAATGCTGAAGGCCAGCAGTACGCGGTCAAAACATCGCCATCAAGAATAAAGGTCGCTCAAAAGGAACAATCTATAAGTTTGCTTTTAAGCGAAAGCTTTGCCTACATACTTTGTAGAGAAAACTCATCACCTGTTTGTTCAAGTCTCCACAACTGCAGGCCGGTTGAAGTCTGATACATAAGAATATTTGCTGCTGATGCCAATGATATAAATGAAGTCTACAAATACAGTAATAAGAGCAGTGTGGTTAGGACTTTACAGAAGAAGGTACTCGTTTTTCCTCCACAGCTAAACAGATACAGAAGGAAATAGCGTACGTAAAATGCAGAAGTTAACGTAATTTGGAAGACTTTTCTCAGTCAAACAGCAGTTCTTACGATTAAAATCCTAAAGAAAGTCCTGAGCACTTTTGAATAAAATCAAAAGCGCTGGTTTGGAATTTAAAAATGCTTGACCGCAGGTTTATTGGAAGGGTTCTGTCACTGCATTTACGATGCTCATAACAATCAACAATGACGAGAATAACATAAAGACACTGTCTATGCTGTTTTTCTGTTTTGCTACGAATTGTTTTTGAGCAGTTAGTAACGTATCAAACAAAGAGACACCTGACGCAATAGAAAATTATCAACTTGCAATACTTACAAGAGTGTACCGAACCTGAACGTTAAAATTAAGGTTCACTCTGCAGTGTGACATGTTTTATCTACTCGGTAAGAACAATTCCATGCCTGTCTGGAACTGTGACACAATTTACTTTACAAACGGATGGGTATTTAAGAGAACTGTTTATCTTACAGGAACGTTTGACTTGAAGAAGTGATTTTATTCTCCAAGTTTACTTTTAAAATAAACAAGAATGGAAGAGCTGAATACATCACGACCACTATGGAAAGTTCTACAGAAACAAACTACTGATGGATCAAATACATTAATTACTTACATGAGGAAATGGGGGAATCTTTTTGTTGCTAGACCTGCCAAACTCTTTGATGGAATACAAAAGAATGCAAGCATCTAGACCTGATCAATATGGAGGATATTAATTTAATGTAACTTTTCTTTGAGGGGTGGGGGGGGGGGGGGGGGGTGGAATACAGCTTCAAGAGGCTCTGATAAACTGCTTATTCCTGAGAAGTGTGACCTCACTTTACCAAGGTTGCAACATTTTTGGATGACAACAACAGGGAGTTTAAATTTACAAATAGGCCATAAACATGCGGAACTAATGTCACTGGCAGTACGTGTTTTTGAACAGGATAAGAGTTTGCACGAGAACATTTCCATCCTGGTTAACCAGATATTCAATCATAAAACACAATCTGTGCGTGTGAATGGGTATATGGCTTAAATACCAGTCCCGAACAGACACAGAACACTGTATTTGCCCTTGATACCTAGATAAAAGTTTATCATCAAGATGACATATAACTTCTCAAACTCATTCCCAGGGCTTTCTCTCTTCCTTTCTCAAGGGACGAAAAGAGAGAAACCTAGAAACAAGGCTGTTAACTTCAAGATATGACGTACAACAGTTTACTTGTTGTAAGACGTTAATTTCAGCAAAACACTTATTGTTGTAAACAAGAACGCTCTTACAGCGGCGTTCAGTCTCGCTTGATTGGAGATTACATCGAGAAATGAGGAGGCGATTAATTCTGCTCGAAACAGGATTCACTCGCTAACGGTTTTTTACCTTCTATTTTATCGACGTCGAGTATTCTTCAGGATATTTACTTTTTGTTTGTTTTTGAATTGATTTAATACGCGTGTTAGCGACGACCGGAAAGACGTGTGCGGTCGCAGGCTATACGCATGTATAAATACACGAAAATTCAAGGGCCTCGATTCCAGAGAAATAACATCATAGCCAGAGATCAAAAAAGTGATTTACATTTCAATCATCGCCGAAAATAAACCGAATGCTCATTACAACACCAACTGCATACAATAAAAGTTTACAACACCCGACCATAGCAGTTTTGCTAATAAAGATTCTTATTTTTTTTCGACCACTCAGTAGTGTTCACTTGTTCCAAAGTAATCAACTCTTTCATGCGATAGAATTAGTGGACCGATACGTTTCGGAAAAGCTTTAAATTTTATCTTTCCTTAGCTTTCTTGGCAAAACATGCGTGGCTTCGATCACGCAACGATTCTTAGTCCCAGTTTCCAAGGTCTACGCAAGGAACGCCTGGCACAATCACCCCCTTTTGTGTCCTAAATACGACGAAAACGCGTGGCAGATTATGAGTTTCGCTGTTTACGCAAGCGAGACTAAAAAGCACATCCGACTCATTTTTTACTCCATCAATGTATTTCACACTATATGAACACAACATATTCCCATCTTTGTGCAGGAAGTAACTTGTAAATTTGTACAAATTTACCTTACATTTTTCATATAGTTGTCTGCATGTGAGATTTCTCTAGAACATGCTTGACTACAATACCAACTCAATGTGCACATACATCACACAAACTTACCTCCAGAGATCAACAAATTTTGATTTTCACTCTGCAGAGTTACAAGACATCTGACATCTTGTGAAAACATACGCTCAGATGCAGTTTTCACCCAGTTTGAAACACCATCCTAAAAAGTATTCATTTTAAAGAAAGCAATGTTTAGTCACTGTTTACAGACAACAACAACTTTATTTCAGTATTCCTAAGTGAGTACATGATATTACCTACATTATTTATGTTATAAATTATAAATCAAAATAAAGGCTATAATTAAAGAACAAGTTTCTGTATATATTCCATACATGAATGTATGTAAGCAGCTGTGAGTCTGTAGATTTGAGGATCGACATTTTTAAATATGAAGAGGATTTTTTCATTGTTGTCAAAATTATACAAAAGGGGGATCTATTACTAATGTTTCTGTAAAAGTTAGATCGAAGAATATCATAAAGATTACAATTGAATAGAAAGAGTAATTCGTGCTCAACTTCATTTAAGTGGAAGTAGGGGCAAATTCGAAGATTTTCTGGAGTTTTCGGTACTGCATGTCTGCCCGTTCCAATTTGTACTGAATATTCAGATAATTTTTCAATGAATGGAAGTCTGACTCTGCATTCTCCTTTCTGAAGAATTTTAACCACAAAAATCAAAATTTAATTCTTCTAAACCCTGTTCTGAGTTCCTTTCTACTAGGCCTTCCAAGGCTTCATTTCTGTCAAAAATGCAGAAAAGCATAAAGATATTTTTTAACATTTTAGAAATTTTAGAAGGCAATTACCAATAGTACCAGTGGGTATGGTACTCTTGAGAAGGATGCACTTACTGGTCAATTTTTGTGTGTAATTCTGGTTTAATTGATACAATAACGTAACTACATCTGGGCACGTAAATACTTCTGGCTTCATTAACTCTCACAATATGCAGTTTAATGGCAGGCTAACATTATAAATATGAAACAAAGTGACAAACTTAGCAATGTACCTTATTAGTAATCTGTTGAAACTGAACAATCTTACTATCCACTCCCCCACTGAAAACCATGTTTTCTTCCTGAAAACAAAATTTAACAAAATAGCTTACAGCAAGTGGATGTGATTACAGTTTCTTTGTTTGTGTCTGCTTTGCAATTGTGATTTCATTTGTGGAAAATGTACAGTGTAACCAAATAACTATCCTTGTAAATGCAACAAGTGACAATGGAGTGAATGTCAGTGAAAACTAACGTGCTCTTAAAAATACGTGTATTCATTCTGGCAGTCACATTCATTTCTAAAGTGAGTTTTAATCAGCATGGGGGCAGCCACAACAAAAATTTAAGAATTTGTTCATGCTTAGCGTGCGTATATCGAGTTATGGATGCACGCGGGAAGTTTGGAGAGCACGAAAGATGCGTAAGAGTTGCACGGGGCGATAGCCGAGTGCAACTCTAGCTTCTTGAGTGCTCTCCAAACTTCCCGAGTGCATCCATAACTCGATATACGCACAGCTAAAAGCATGAGCAAATTCTTTTATAACATAGCTGACAAAAATGCTTGATTTTTGATTAACTGCAAAATTCTCGTAACGCGTTACACAATAACAAAGGGTTCTATTGGCTGATTACGAACACGCCACAATCGTCTAGTTTGAACGAAAATATTCTTTCTGTAAAACTGAGAAAGTAAATTTGCTTCTTTATTCGTTAACGATTAATGGAAACTAAGCAGAAACAAAAGTAAAAGAGTCTTAAAGTTCACCTAAAGTTAAAATACTAACATGTTCGTAAGAAGTCGTGGAGTATGGTTTGGATTTGCTGAAGAGATGTTTACGTTTTGCTCGGCGAAATCCAGAAAACATGTTTTTAGCGACGACGACTGTCATCCTTCTTTAAACTTATATTCATTTACGAACTTTGGCTGGTCATTACGGCTTCTTGAGGAGACCTGGCAGCAGTTGTTTTTGTGAGTAATAAATTTATGTCTTCTTGTGTAATTTGTGTTGTTATTGCGAGAGAAATTTTCCTGCTTCAGTCGGATTGTCCGGAGATAACAAAAGTGCACAACAAATTTAAAAACAACAATAAAAACGGAAATGTCACCCATAAATGTTGTTGATGACCAGTTGGTGTTCGTTCTGTTCCCAGTGAATGTCTTTCGGCCGAAATTTGCTGCAGCTGGTCTTCCGACAAATTTGCGAAACTCGCAACTTGCGAGTTTTTTTTAATTCGGCTTTATTTTTGCTGCTTGTTCGAGCAGGACCTAAAAGGTCAATGCCGATATAAAAATCGGGCAGCTCTTCGCTGGTTTCTTCCGAAGGAAAACTGCACTACAGCTTAAAAGACGAGAACTGTACTTTGCAGCCAGCTAAAAAAAAAAAATGCTCACGTCATCTTATTTACGCACGGGCGTGCGTAAATAAAGATTTTGTTCATAGCGGCTCAATAGAACTTATATAGGGCAAGCACGCGCGCTATGTTATAACTTAATTTTTCCCGATATATGTTGGTAAGCGTTGCTATTGGCAGAAGTCCTACTTTCAAGATTTAGCATGAAACACCAGTTGTTTTAACATGATGCAAATTTGCAACTTTTTAAATTGAGTGGCTACGTAAAGTGACAGTTTCATACACACATACAAAATATTTGTTACTGCTAAATACAACTCAAACAAAATGAAAAACAATTATGCTCAGTAGATTTTGTTTACATAGAACAATATTTTACTCCAACCAGGTATCACAACTGGGAGAGGCAGTCCACGTTAATTTTAGTTAGTTTTTCTAATCTTCTTTTGGCTTACTGGATTTACACATGTATGTTTACTTTGTAATGATTTCAGTGACCTGCATGTGAACTACCTGGAGCAGCTATTTACACTACAAACATAGCATTTTCATTTCAACAACACCAAAGGAACACAAACCTCATTTATGCACACTGCAAGTACATCTGCTATATGCGCCTTGAAACTCTATCAAGGGAATAATAAATATAATATTAGGCAGTATTTAGCAATACAAGTGGAACCTAGTAGATGGACTTGTTTACATCTGGAATGCCTGAAACCAGAAAAAAAAGTCATGATGCACAGCTTGTGCTAGACACCAGGAGGGGAGAAGGGGTGAGAAAATATTTCTTTCCATACACAGCAACAATTCCCCCTGGAAAGCCAGAAACACATGCAGGAATCATGTTATAAATGGCTGGTACTTGGTATCTTGTTATTCTTGTTGGCAAAATACCAATGCCATGTACAAAGAAAGCGTTTTCAAAATTACTGTAAAGGATTGTCAAAAAAGAAGCCACCTAATTATTCACATACCTTCTGTACATACGATTACCACATTGTTTCGCCTCATTCAGTCTTTTTGGCATAGAAACAGTTTGAATGGCATACTTCAACAAACACAACTGTCATTTTTTGTTTCTTTTTTTTTTTGCAGGTGTTGTAGAGTGATACAAGTCAACTAAAAGAACCATGTGAGATTAATCACCTCAATGTTGCTGGTCCAATTTAACTGGTATGGTGAACATAGAGGAGATAATGATAGGGTGTTGACAAAGAGGAGTGAAAAAAAAAAAATGTGTTCATTCCCAAAGAAGTTTGGGACGTTTCGATTTTTTTCTCTCTTGCTTTCGACTTATTCTCAAACTCCGAGCTTGCTCTTGTACACTCACCAAATTCCTCCACAAAAGACAGTGCTGGGTACCGTACACTACCTTACTTCTTAGCAGAAGTTCCTCCTATGTTAATCAATCTATGGGCTACTGGAGTGACCACAAGATTTGGCTTCACTTCTATGCAAATTTATTTACCTGTATCAGTGTACCACGATTGCCATCCCAAAACTGAGTATTTCCAAGAGAATCTCCTGTGATAATTACAAAACTCCTGATTGGGAAAAAAGAATATTATCATTCAAAGCAAATTTTTCTTTCTTTTCATTGGCCAAGAGCCCACTACGTGACCTGCAAATAACTGCCTACAAATAACGGTCAGCTCATGCGCAATGCAGTCCAACTGTGTTTGGCTGCAAATAATATTCTGCACATGCATAAAGGAAACCGTGCCTTTCTGCTTCTTGTGATCGCTCTTGTGTGAAAATGGCAGATCGCTTCGCTTAACGAGGATATTCATTAAAAAAACAAACTTGGTGATCGAATGATAAAACAATTATATATCGGTGTCTCGCAGATCAATTATTTGCCTCAGCCGCTCGCCACAGACAAATCACGATATTTTGCTCAACCTTGTCCAATAATTGTTGATTATTTGGTTGTAGAACATAGAATAATTAAACCAACATGTTTAACTTCTATTTTGATTGTGTCCTGTTATGTGCAAAACAATACAAACTTCGTACAAATACTCACTACAAGTATAAGTTATAAAATAATTGCAAAGAAAGAGTAATAAGTATAGCATTGTGAATTTTATTCACTCTTCTGAGATTTTCCTCCCTAACTTCACCTAACTGGATCAAAAATTCTTCCCAAACCCTGATGACATTTGAAGAATAGATTGCCTTGGAGATACCTCAACAAAGGCACATATTGTCTTAATTCTTTCTGGATGGTGACAGACACATTTTGTTGTTGAATTAAATGAGCTTTTGATTGCATTATATTTTCCCAAACTTATTTTGAAAGCCAAACATTTTAAGTTCATTGTCTGAACCAACTTAAGAGCAAAATGGTTCCTCGGTTTAAAGTTGAGTTGAAACAACTGGCATTGAGGTATGAATTTGAAACTATTTTGAAAGAAGTGTTACAAAACCACTTTGTGCCCATTTCCAGTTCCGGTTGAGAGCTGACTCAGTCAGGCTGCATGTGAAGTCCATTAGAATCTGTCCAGGTGTATTGGACAAGTATCACACCATCTTGTTAATGATAGAAAAGCATGCAAATTTAGTAGAAGTTCTCGCCAGAAAAAAAGGAGTGTAGGAACTTGTTTAAGCATCTCAAATTGCAGCCAGTGTAATTCCTCTTGAAAACCTACATGTATTCGAGTACGCCATTACCCTTGTCGGGAGAAATTTAAGTACTTGTGAGTTATAAGACGCAGCAAATGCAGCAATCTCTGGTGGTGGCTCAGGGGAAAAAGCATGTGTTGCTTGTGTGAAACTGGCTTGAGAAACTGAACCTGGGTTGGTCCACCAACATCAAGGTGTCTCGATCAAGTGCCTGCTGTGAAGGGAATTCTTAGCTAAAAATGGAGCCTTGTTGAAGCAGGTTATGGTTGTATCCACAGTTTAAAGCCTCCAGGTTTGTGAAGGCGTACAACTCGTAATCAAGATGGCAAGACCAGTCCCATATGCCCTTAAAGAAAAACTTCGAGCTGGAGCTTCAGAGACTGGAGGGAAAAAGAGATTATTTACGAAGTGAGCCAAGAAAGATGGTTCAATGAAAGTGTGTTGAAACTAGAAGTTGACAGTAAACAATTGCACTGATATTGACCAGTACCCTTTGAGATTTGTTCACAACATTGGATATTTAGCAAGATTTGTTCATCTCATGCCTTTCAGCAGGTTTAGTTGGATATAGATTCCCAGAAGTACCTGACCACACCCACAAGGGGTTGTACCATTACAAATGGCTACCCTTTGGAGTCTCCATTGCACCACCTATTTCTCAAAGAATTATGGATCAGCTTCTGTAGGATGTAAAGCTCACAGTGTGCCATTTAGATGACTTCCACGGTTCAGGAGGATCCGCAGAGGAACATTTGGCAATTCTAGAGGAGGTTTTTAGGTACCTAAAAGAACATGGAATCACTTTGAATCCTGCCAAGTGCACGTTATTCCAGTCAGGACTAGATGTTCTTGGACACTGGATTGTATTTGTCTCCTCCTCAGAAAATGATGTAAGCATTGATGCAAAAAGTCCTAGCTACTTAAGTCATACAGTTGAAGTCATATCTGGGGCTTCTCAACTATTGTCAGTGCCAAGTTTTGGCCAAATCTGGTGATTACATGACATGTCACCTCCATGACCTTTAGCAAAACGATTGACCTTTGAAGTGGATGGAGGGGTGTAAAAGTGTGTTTGTAAAGAGCAGGAAGCGGTTACAAAATTCTCCCTTGATGGTCCAGTATAACCTCAAGAATCCACCTCAGATGGCCTGTGATGCATCATATAATCTCCTATGTAAAGGAGAATGGTGAGGAAAAGCTAATTACTTTTGGCTCTCAAGCTCTCATGGCTAGTAAGTGTAACCATTTCCAAAATAATGGTGAGTAAGAGGCTATATCTATTATGTTTGGAGTGAAAAACTTCCATTCCAACATCACGGATCATCAACCGCTGGTCATAATTTTTAGGCTGAAGACTGGCTTACCCCTAAGCCCAGTCAAGGATGCAAAGGTGGTCTTTAATTTTAGTGGCTTACCAATACAAGACTGGGTATAAGAGTTCACTGAAAATGTGTAATTAGTACTTTTGACTCCATCTGTGGCATTTAATATAGGACGGTGTGGTGTGTGTTGTGAGGTTTCTGTGTGGTTATCCCTGCAAATTATCATCTTTGCCTGTTGGATGACTTACACCAAGAGCATCACAGGATCATTATGTTACATTACACATCCCCAGTGACAGTCCAATCAATCATTAGAAGACTATAGCTATTCCTCTTCTTGACTCCTTAGTCATCCAAATGCAAGATCGATTTTTTGATGAAGACCGCAAGGCCGGCCATTTGCTTTGACTAGTGCCATCGATTACACAAATAAATATGGCACTGAAGCTGGATAATGAAGCATTTTCGGAGACCCAGGGGCAGATAGTGGGGACGAGGGAAAGTCTAAACGGGCGGAAAAATATGACACGAAGAAAAGTAAAGATCGGCGAGAAGAGCCCCTGGGGACAATGTCTTACCAGACCAGTTCCAAACGGTCGCCGCCGTTCTGGCTTCTGATTGGTGCCAGAAAACTTGTGTTTTTCTGGCACCAATCAGAAGCCAGAACGGCGGCGACCGTTGGAACTGGTCTGGTAAGACATTGTCCCCAGGGGCTCTTCTCGCCGATCTTTACTTTTCTTCGTGTCATATTTTTCCGCCCGTTTAGACTTTCCCTCGCCCCCTTTATCTGCCCCTGGGTCTCCGAGGATGGATAATGAAGTAGAGGGTATACTTTTCTGGGAGAAAGACATTCCATTTCCCAAATCCCTTGGAAATGAGGTATGAAGATGGAAAACACTCTGGCAGTCAACAGATTGGGAACTTCCAAACAATCTTTTACTAGCACTTGTTGCTTGTGATGAACATCCATCGCCATCTAGTCATTGCCTGCACCTTACCGATCACAAGAGCAGAAGCTGAGTAATTGTTTTCACTAATAATACAAATCAAGACCTCTTCAAGGTCAGCAATGTCCGAAGAGCGATTCTCTCATCTCGCAGTGATTGCCAAACACTACTGCGAGAGATTTGAGGCAGACGATATGCCAATCCTTTGTAAAGGCTCATGCAAGAAGGCTCTTTCACGCTGTACTCTTAGTCCTTGATAATAGTGCCTCAAATTCCTCTGAAAGCAAAATGACGAAAATCTACATAACCCTAACCCTACCCCTCCCCCCTCCCCCATTTTCTTGGCCCTAGGACGTTTGCCTTGAACTCTCATACTTACAACGTCCTTTTTCAAAAAGTCCCGGATCAGCCCCTGGTTTGGAGCTGAAGATGTGGGGCTAAGAGCTGGACCAGGGTTAACCTAGACATTATTAGAGAGCAACGCCAGCAACAGAGCTAGTGAAGTCTGCAGGAAGAGCCTCAACCCCGCACATCCAGAAAATGCTGATGTTCCAAGTATTGCTTTGATTACCGACACAGTGATAGAAAACAGTAGACATGTGCACACATAACCTCTAGCGATGTATAAAATAGCCGTTCGAACGGCTCTGGCTATCCGTTTGAAAAAGAAATGTCATCCGTTCGAATGACCAAGGCTATCTGTTCGATAAAAAACTGCCATCATGATCAGTTTAAACAGCTTGGGCTATCCGCTGGAAAAAAATGCCATCCATTCAAACAGCTCAGGTTTTCCGTTCAAAAAAACTGTCATCCGTTCGAAAGGCTGGGGCTATCCAGCTCGAAATAAATTGTCATCCACTTGAACAGCTCAAGTTATCAATTCAAAACAATTGTCAGCCGCGCTACTGTTCCAAACCACTTTCAACCAAACTGTTTGCGCAAACTTGTCAAAAAATGTAAGCTTAAATAATTCTTCTAAGCGTTGTTTACCATCACCTCATGAATTTTCACCGTACATTTTCTGCTGAATAGCCATCTTTGCTTTCATAACACTTGATTATCGGTGCACATTTTATTCAAGACTCAGTTATAATATTCAAACATTTCCCGAACAAGTTATGTTTTGATCTATCAAATGCTTTTGACAGTCTAGTATCTCCAGTGGGAACACACTCCCACTGTCAATGAAATTTGCCTTAATCATGCATGTTTATTAGCATCATCTTCCTTCACCATCTCCGGGAAAATAATTAAAAGCTATTGCCACATTACAGATCTGAAAAATAAAAACGGTTCCTCGCATCTTCACAGCGACTTACATGTATATAATACACTTGAATGCACGTGCATATTTTGTCATTCGCTCGGCATCTTCAGAGTCTCACTCCTCCCTCAGCAGTGACCGAGCCATACACGCGTTTCTTTCAGGTAAACCTGAAATGTCAATGGACTCATCGACTTCCACGAAAAACAACTTACTTATTTACTGACTTTGCAGGCGAACTGTGCTAAGGAAAAACTTAATGCTGATGCGATCACAGCTGACCATTATTTTTGTTTATTTTCTGAGAAATGCTGGCAAAAGTGTTGACCAATCAGAGCATGCCATTTACAAAAGTGCGATTTCAAAACAAAAATAATTGACTGCATTGCATCAACGTTGGCAATCGGCCTTTAAAATTATGACTAGCACTCGGTTCGTTTTGTGTTATGCCTTAAGACACCAACATCTCAACCAGAAGCTTTTAAACATAAAAAAGTCAGGACAAAGAGTAACCGCTAACAGTAAAAAACTCCTTTCACCTGGTTTATTTAACATAACTGTTTTTAGTACTTTGCTTTGTTACCACTCACTTTAAAAGAGCAAAATAAAGTTGTACCTTGTTATGTACACAGCCCATATAAGAGTGCTTCTGGACTGAACTTCATCCAGTGTAATCCTTAAACTGCATTGCCCTAGTTAAATAAAATAAACTGAGAGTCATGTAAAGCTGGCAAAGAACCTTAAAATTTGACCATGGATACCCAAGCTAACAGTCTATGAATGACTGGAAAAGGAGGTTCCACACAAAAATTTAAATGTAGGTGACATCAAACACGGCAGGCAAATTCCTGGATAAGACATACACCAACTGTGTATGGGGCTCTCATTCCTTCCATTGTTAAATTTATTTTTAAATGCAGTTAAATGCAATTCAACGGAGTTAACAACAAGGAGTGCTAGTTTCACCCTGCTGTCCAGCGGTGTGTGCGAGATGCGCACGTACCAAGATTCATCATGCTCTGGAACCTGTGTGCATCTTAACATGGTCTAGTGCATATAGCGTTCAGCCATTTTGGTGTGTTCGGCAACTTTTAGCGTGCTTTATTCAGTGTTGGAGCAACGTTGTGACTTGTGCTTCTCAGTGGTTTTTTGAGTAATTTCCATGGGTAAGGCAAATGAGCCACTCCACCAACAACAGTGTAGTCGCCATGTTGGAATCACATGGGGATCCTTTGGTTTCATCACCTTCCAAAACTAGTTCTTCACCTCGTTCTGCTACAGCGACATCCTTGTCTTCCTTTATCCTGTCTCAAGCATTAGGTGAGTCTTTACCGCAAATTCTCTTGGTGACGCAGAACCATTCTACTTCTCTCAGAGTAAGGATCACCTTAAGATGATGATCAATGCTTTTGTTAAGTCATGCTTGGATTATTGTAACAGTTTATACTGTGGCTTACCCAAACGGAAATAGACAAGCCACAACGTGTTCAGAACTGTGCCGCATGCTTGGTTTCAGGAACAAGAAGATCTGACCATATAACTCCTATCATGAAAGACTTGCACTGGCTTCCTATTGGCCGGTGCACGCACCGATTTTAAAACACTGCTTTACACATTTAAAATTTCAAACGATTTAGCTCCTTACTATTTGCCTTCACTCCTTCTCAAATACCAGCCGGCTCATTTTCCCCGCTCATCTAATAGATTGCCTTTCCAAATTCCTTCTGTTAATAAGGTGACTCATGGACACTGCTCATTTTCATATTATGCACCGAAAATCTGTAACAGTCTACCGAATCATATCAAAAACTCTGAATCTGTTTCTAGTTTTAAGCAACATTTGACAACTTTTAGGAATAATTACTGTACATAGTTTCATTTACACTTTATTTACTACTGAAAGTGCATTGAGAATTCTTTAAATGCACCATAAAACCTACTATTATTATTGGACAAGAGGACTCATGAACTAGCGATGGTGGTGAAAGACATTTGTGCGTTAAGGGACTCATTCGAGCCCTGATTGGATGAAGTGCGATGGAAATTTGCATGGACCGAGATTAAAAACTCTAGTGTTAACAGATATAAGTCAGAACAGTTTAGAACTTGGAAGGACTTGGACAGAGAGACAATTTTCGTTTATTCGATTAATAGTTTTTGAATTCGCTTGGTAGTTTTTCTGTGAATTTGAATTCGGTCAAATTGTAGAATTTGTAGCTAAGAGTTTGTGTACAATTTTTGAATATAGTTCAATCTCATGAACATTTCTAGTAGCAGAGCGAGGTTTATTGCGGTCATGTCAGTGAACGGCGAAGTAGTGGATGACGGCGGTGAGGGGGCAACTAGCGGCGAAATTGAGGAGCGAATAGAGGACTTTAAACAGGACAAAGCTAGACAGAAATCATCCTTTACTCGGATAAAGAACAAATTGCTTCGCATGCTGAACGAACAAGATTATCCAAGCTGAAGAGAGATAAAAGAAATGTGTCACCAACTCAGCGATGTTCAGGAACGTGCTATGGAAACTATGCATCGTCTTTCAATGGAATACGCGCTCCTTAAGGACAGACAAAAAAGGAAAAAAGTCGTCGAAGAGATGGACAAATTGGAACTAGAATTTTTGGAGGTGAACGAGAAAGCACAAGAGTATTTAGATGGCCATAAAGATGAGTTATCGAGTCTGGAAACCGAAGCGTCAGAAAACACCGAATTACAGAAAGCGTGGCAAAGAAAAGCGCAGAACAAATTCGAAGGGACGAAACTAGGCATAAAGAGAAGTTTGATGATTACAAAGAGTCATCACGGGAATTAAATCGTCATTACAAAGAGACATTCGACTCTGGAGGTCGAAAATTTAGGAAAGAACCGTACGAAGAGCCAACGCTCTGTTGGAATATGTGGAATCAACTAAAGAGAATTTCCATTCCCGTATTTAACGGCGATAGAAGAGCTTATGAAGGATGAAAAGCAGCGTTTATGGCATGCGTTCATCAAGCACCGGCCACACCTGACTACAAATTACTTCAACTCCGGCAGCATTTATCAGGAGAAGCCCTTAAGATCGTGGAACCTTTTGGACATTGAGCTGCGGCTTACGAAGTAGCAATAGCTCCACTGGAACGCAAACTCGGCGGAGAAAGGCGAAAATTAGCATTGCATCTCGACGAATTGGAAAATATCAAATCCCTTCGCCAAGGAAACCCGGGAGACATCGAACGATTTGCAGATTTGTTGGATGTAACTGTTGTAAACCTTAAAGAGGCTAATCGTCACGACGAACTCGGAAAAAGAACGTTGTACATTAGCTTATGCAAGAAATTAAACAAGGGGATGCTTGCCCAATACCATCGTTGGATATTCAAGAATCACTGCTGGGAATCAGTTGAGACCCTCGAGGAATTCATGTTACAGGAAGCAGAATTCCAAACAGTAGCATCGGAGACCATTCGAGGAGTAACTTCGTCAAACAGGAACGTTGATTCAAGACGTAATCAGAGCGAGAAGGCATTCTTTGGGAATGCTCAGGAATCGGAAATTCAGAAATATTGCCCCTGCAAAGTGTGCAAAGGACATCACGGAGTTTGGCATTGTGACAAATTCAAAGATTTGCCAGTTCAAGAAAGATGGAATACTGCGAAACGCTTGAAACTGTGTTTTCGCTTCCTAGGAGGAGGCCACCGCGGTCACGTGTGTCAGGACTAGGGTGTGTGGAATAAACAACAATAAACAAAAAAGACAATCACAATAGACTTTTGCACGTTAGCAAAGAACAAACTCAAGCAGATCAAAGACAACCGGTTAAAACTGGACCAACAACAGACAAGAACGAGGCAGCTCACGGCATATCGAACACTAAAAGTGAAACGAAACCTGAAAATGAGAAAGTGTCATTGGTTCTTTTACCTCATCGGGAGCCTGGTGACAAGCAAGCAGAGAGATAGCACATGACTACAACAGCAGAGGGTACACAAACAGGCTTTCTTGCTCTGCAAACTGTTCCTATGCCCACTGATGTTGAACTAGAAAGTTAGAGGCAATCGATTGGAGAAAGCATGCTAACAAGTGGCCACACCTGAGAGGCATCCAGTTCCCGAAACCTGGACCACACCCCCTGGTGGATATTTTAATAGGAGTTGATCACGTCGATCTGCACTATTCATTCAAGGATGTCAAAGGAAGACTAGGCGAGCCAGTGGCCAGATTAACCCCCTTAGGATGGACATGCATGGGATCTGCCAGCACCCAGAGAAGCGGATGCCTGCAGACCAATTTCACTCACACGTACTTTGTTAGAGAGCAGCAAGAAAACTCAGATGAGATAAGCAACCTGCTTCGAAGATTCTGGGAGATCGAAAATTATGGGACAACAGAGTTCCACCTATTGACTACAGATGAGAAAGCTTCTCTAGAGAAACTGGAAGAATCAATTGGAAACGTTGATGGCAGATATCAAGTTGCAATTCCCTGGAAGGATGACGAGCCTGCATTACCAAACAATTACGAAATGGCACTGCGTCGAATATTAAACACTGAAAAGCGGTTGCTGAAGAATCCAGAAATAGGCGAGGCCTTTACCAACAACATTAACCAGTACCTTGAGAAGGGTTACATCCGCAGATTGGACCCCACAGAGAAGAGCCCTCTAAAGAAGTGGTACTTACCTCACTTCCCGGTTATCAGGCCAGACCAAACAACAACAAAGACTCGCATCGTATTCCGCCAAATTTGAAGGAGTCTCCTTAAATGACGCCATTTACCAAGGACCAAAGTTGCAGAGAGAATTAACAGATGTTCTACTTTGTTTTCAAAGAAACCCCGTGGCATTAATGTGTGATACTGCTGAGATGTATTTGAGAATTGAGGTCGCCCCCAAAAGATTGACCATATCAGCATTTCCTGTGGAGAACATTGAATCAAGAGAGAGCACCTGACGAGTACGAGTTCAATCGAGTTGTTTTCGGAGTTAACTCTTCACTGTTTCAAGCCCAATTTGTTGCTCAGACGCATGCAGAAAAACACAAAGACGAGTTCCCAATGGCCGCAGAGACAGTGCTGAAGTCAACTTACATGGACGATAGTATGGATTCAGTGGTAGACGAGAGTCGAGGTATCAAGCTCTACGAAGAATTAAATCAGCTCTGGTCCAAGGCAGGGGTGCAAACTCATAAGTGGCTATCAAATTCGCCCAAGGTTCTCGAGAGGATACCTGTAGAGAGCAGACCGTCAGAAGTCCACATAACGAGCGATGGACTACCGATGGTGAAAACACTTGGTGTCACGTGGTTGCCAGGAGAAGACGTTTTCACGTTCAACGCCAACCCTCCGGAGAAAGACTTTCCGCTTACTAAACAGAATTTCCTCAAGAAAATTGCCAAGTTATTCGATCCGCTTGGGTTTTTAGCACCATTTATTATTCACGCCAAAATCTTACTTCAAGAAATGTGGGCCGCTGGGATGGTGGACAAAAGACATTTCGGGTCTCGCGTCACGCAATCGCACGCGTGAGTTTTTAGTGATCAGATTTCATTTTTTTGATTGACAGTTACTCTGATTTTGTAATTCACACGCGGTCGGGTTTTTGTAGTTGTCATGAGTTGTTTTCAGAACATGTAAGTTTTAGGAGCCGTAAAATTAAAACCGTGAGTTTATTTAACCGACGAGATATCGTTTGTTGTCTTCGCAACATTTTTGGCGACCACGGCGACGGGAGAAACCGAGAGACCGTTTTGAAGAGTTACCGGAGATTCATTCACCGTCACGCAAGCACTGTGGTAAGCTTGAATTTTTGATTTGTGATTTCGCCGCTCAAGATGAATGCCGATGCAGAAGAAACTGGCAGTGAAAATGGTCCGGGAACCGAACAGACCGAAAACAAGGACGATGAAGAGAAACTGGAAAAAGAGAAAGTGTTATTGGATCTGAAAAACAAAAGAGACTACGAAAAACCGAGATGACAAAAAATTCGCCATCACATGGAGAAGCTTTGCATCACGCCGAAGGATTCGCCAAGGACGTAAGGCGCTATTGAGAAAGATATTGAGCAACTTTGGTCGCTTCTGGAAAGCACACTGGAAATACTGGATGAACTGTGTGTTGTTTATTTGAAAAATGGAGAGGAAGCAAATAAACAGGCGTCTGTGGAAGAAGGAAAAACTGGAATCGGAAATTCAAACCGCAATTGAAAAGGCACACGAGGCCGTGAAATCACACGCTCAAATTTCTGTCGCGACTGCTTCGCACAGTGAATTTGTCGCTCATTCAAGTCCGCCGATCGTTTTGCAGGGTTCGCTCAACCCAGTTTTGCCTCCAACGCCTTCCCAAAATTCACACAGCAGTCAAGGAGAAATAAACGTTCCTGAAAGCCCGCAAATCAGTCATTCCGCGAATCATCGCCTGAAGCCATTGAAAGTACCGACGTATGGTGGAGACAAGACGAAATTTGAGGAGTTTTGGGGCTTGTTTGAAAGTCTGGTGGACCAGTCCAAAGAATCAGTCAACCTAAAATGGCGAGATTGAGGCAGAGCTTGTCCGCAGCGCTGGAAGCGATTCGAGGGCTTGGGGTGTCAGAACCAGAATATGAAGAGGCAAAGGAAATCTTGATAGCCAAGTTCGGCGGTCAGCGGCGGCAACTGCAGGCCTACATGGGCCAGCTGGAAAAAATGCCCAAAATGGGAAACAACGACATTCAAGGATTTGAAAAGTTTGCAGATTTAATACGTATTACTGTGGTTAAGCTTTAGGGCCGAGGGGCGATGGAGAGCTTGGAGAAGGAACACTTCATAGCCTGTTAGTGAAGAAGCTCGCTGAAGTTCAAGTACAAAGGGTACAGCCGTTGGCTACAGAAACAGAGCCGGAGCGATCTGTTGTAAGTTTGAGGGATTGGCTTAAGGAAGAAGTACACATCCGCGTTGAAGCTAAGGAGATGGCGCATGGCTTATCGGTTACAGAGAAATCTGATGGATGGCAACATTCAAATCGAAATCAAACAATCGAAACAGGCCCAGAAATTTTCACGTCAGATCAGATTTCGCCAGGAGACCACCAGGCTCAGGCCAGCCTACCCGAAAACCGCCGTGTCCGTGCTGTGGTTCCCCGAATCATGGAGTATGGGCCTGCTTGGTTTTCCAACAGAAAAGTTACGATGACAAATGGACACTGGCTAAAGAAAACGATTGTGTTTCCGTGTTTAGGTGATGATCACCAGGGAAAGTTCTGTACGAAGTCACAAACCTGCCAAATCAACGGTTGCCGGGAAATCACCACCGTCTCTTGCATGAGAATCCGCCTGCCACGAACCCACCCATGGGGACTGCTCAACCAGTGATCAGCTCTAACAGCTACCCGTCATTTACTCCATGGGAGGGGGGCAGTCGGCCCGTTTTATCACCCGAGGGTGAGGACAGTCGTGCCTCATGAGCGATGACTACTCACAACCCGAGAAGCCCAAAAGAAGCCTACTCACTGCGTGCCGTTCCGTGTGGGTGAAGGCACAAGGAAAAAAGCTTAAAGTGAATGCAATCCTAGATGATGCCTCAAACGAGACATTCTTGAACGAAGAAGTGGCCGGAGCCCTTGGACTAAAGGAGTCTTATCAAACCGTGAAAGTTCATGTATTGAACAATTCTGTAGAGACGTTTCAGACTATGCCGTTAAAAGTAGAGATCGAAAGTGTTAATGGTCAGTTTACAAAGGAAATTGAAGTTAAGACCTGTCCCCGCAATGTCACTGGAAATTACCAAGTGGAGAATTGGAATGCGAATAAAGGCAAGTGGCCTCACCTTGCACAGTGCGACTTCGCGTCACCAGCAAAAGACGGCTTGGTAGATTTGTTGATCGGTGTTGATAATGCTGACTTGCATTACTCGTTTGCTGATGTACGTGGAAAGGTGGGTGAACCGGTGGCGCTTTGGGTCCGCTTTGGGTGGACTTGTATCGGACCTCCAGATGGTAGAGCGGAGACTGGAACAAGAACGCATACAATTCGAACACTGTTTACAAGGGATGTAGGGCGGTTAGTGTAGCAGGTGGTTGTTGTGATTTAGATGGAACGCTTAGGAGGTTTTGGGAGATCGAGAGTTATGGAACTGAGCTAAATGACCGAGTCGTGTGTACTGCAGAAGAGAGATTGGCCTTAGAAAGGGTTAGCAGCTCAGTCTGCTACAACGGTGAGAGATACAGTGTTGCTGTGCCGTGGAAAGGACAGAGGCCTCAACTTCCCGATAATCGTCAGATGGCAGAATCCCGCCTTCTCAGCACAGAGAAAAACCTAAAAAAAGAGAGAATTTGTTGAGAGAGAGTATAAGAAGACCATCGAGACTTATGTGGAGAAGGGGTACCTGCGTAAAGTCCCAGAAAATGAAGCACCGCCCCTGAAGTTTGGTACCTACCACACTTTCCGATTGTTAGGATGAGCAAGTCTACAACCAAAGTAAGGATAGTCTTTGACTGTTCCGCCAAATACAAAGGAATCGCTCTTAATGATGTTATTCATGCTGGGCGAAACTTCAGAGAGAACTCTTTGATGTTCTGATCCGCTTCCGCCGTAACCCGTTGCCCTTGTCTGTGACATTCAAGAGATGTACCTCCAAATAGAAATTGAGTCTGAAGACCGACCGTTGTTTGAATCCTGTGGCGAGACGGAGAAACAGGCCGCAACCCAGATGTGTATGAATTCTCTAGAGTTGTTTTTGGAAGAACTCAGCTCCCTTGAAGCCCAATTCATCGCCCAGGAGAATGCCAGGCGGCACCAAACCGAGTTCCCATTAGCTGCAGAAACTGTCCTTCAGTCCACCTACATGGATGATTCGTTAGACAGTGTTGAGGAGGACGAGAAAGGAGTCGACCTGTATCACCAGCTTAATGCATTGTGGGCAAAAGCAGGCATGCACGCCCGAAAATGGGTGTCGAATTCAGCAACGGTGATGGCAGCCATACCGAGGAGGACCGAGCCACAGAAGTGGACATAAAAGACAGTAAGGATACAGTAACGACAACGCTTGGCTTACAGTGGAACAGCACCGATGATTTATTGGCCGTGCCTGCAACACCCGTGACCGAGGGCTACCCAATTACTAAGAGGAGTGTTTTGAAGAAAATTGCAACTGTTTTTGACCCGCTTGGCCTGATAAGCCCTTTAAATCGCACAAGCGAAGATTATGCTCCAAGAACTGTGGAACCGTGGCTATGACTGGGATGAGGAGGTTCAGGACGAAGTGGCTAATCGTCTTCAGGTCTGGTTCTCACAGCTGTCATGCCTAGAAAAGGTCAAGATTCCACGGTGTCTGCAAAACCAGCAACCAGTCAAGTCGAAGGAGGTGGTGACCTTTGTTGATGCCTCAACACAGGCCTATGGAGCTGCCTCCTACTTACGCTGCGAGTATGAAGATGGTACCGTGTCCGCACAGCTGATAGCTTCTAAGAGTAAGGTTGCCCTGCTTACCCCCATGACTGTGCCAAGGCTGGAATTAATGGGAGCCATAGTGGGTTTAAGGTTAACCCAGTCCGTGTCCAGAGTCCTGGAACTACCCGTGAAAGCAGCGTCGTTATTTTCCGACAGTACAGACGTGCTATGGTGGATTCGTGGAAGAGGCCGAGACTTTCTACCCTTTGTGGCAAACCGTATTGGGGAGATACAGATTAGTACTGAACCGGTACAGTGGCAACATGTCTCCACCGACAAAAATCCTGCAGACCTGTGTTCCCGAGGAACGAGCCCAGCTGAGCTTGCTAAATCCGAACTATGGTGGAATGGCCCGAATGGCTGATGAAGGAGAAAAAAGTGAGTGGCCTAAGATGGAGTTAGCCGAAAGCCGAAAGTGATGCCCGAAATGAAGTCGACAACAAAACAGCAACAGGGTTCTACCACCCTCGTGACAGTGCAAGAAAACCAAGCTCAGAGGGACAAGCCAAGTCAGGGTGGCAGTGTTCCAGTCTGGAGATTGAACCCAAACGCTTCTCAAGTTGGAGCCAACTGGTGAACCTACATGCTAGAGTAAGGAGGGCGCCCACAACATGTCGAAGAGGGGTCCGCAACAGACCAGCAAAGCATTGTCACCGTGTGAAATAAGAGAAGCTGAGGCAGAGGTGGTGCAATCCTGTCAGCGCTTGAAGCATTCCCTGACGAATACAAAGCTCTAGTGACCGGGACCAATACTGACCAAGAGCCGACTAATGAAGTTGAATCCTGTGTTAGATGAAGAAGGCTGTATCCGTTCAAATGGAAGACTCCAGTTCGCAGAGTACCTGCCTTTACGATGTGCGATTTCCAATGATACTGCCTCGAGGACATTGTGTCACGAAGCTCATTGTCAAGCATTATCATGAACAGGCTAACCATACAGCAGGAACCAACTTTGTCTTGTCCCAAATCAACCAGAAGTTTTGGATCATTGCAGCCCGGAAGAGATCCGAGAGTGGGAGCGAGAGTGCAACATGTGCAAACGAATGCAGAGCAAGACCGCTACACAGATCATGGCACCGATTCCAGAGATCCGTCTTCGCTTTACCTTCCGTCCCTTTGACCAAACAGCCGTTGACTATGCTGGCCCCTTTACAACCGCATAAGGACGAGGTGTGCGCCGACAGAAGAGGTGGCTGTGTTTGTTTACTTGTCTGTCAACCCGTGCGGTCCATTTGGGTGGCTTTTGGTTTGGACACCGACAGTTTTCTGAATGCCTTTACACGCTTTACAAGCAGACGGGGAGCGCCAAAGGAAATGATAAGCGACTGTGGGACCAATTTTGTTGGAGCCGTCAACGAACTAAAAGAACTGATCAGTAAGCTGGACCAGGACAAGATTCAGCAAAGCACAGCCAATCGAGGTGTAACATGGAGATTCAACCCCCGGGCACCACACTTTGGTGGCATTCACGAGGCCATGATAAAGTCGGCCAAGAAAGCTATTTACGGAGTAATCGGAACGAGTGACGAACTGATGAAGAGTTAATTACCGCGGTGACTGGAGTGGAAGGACTGCTCAATGCACGACCGCTCACCTACCAGTCAGCCAACCCCAGGACATTGTACCGCTGACTCCAAACCACTTCTTACACGGACAGTTGGGCGGTCAATTCGCACCTGAAACCGTTGATACCACCGAGTTCAGTCCACGAAAAAACGTTGGCGAAAGGTCCAGGAGATAATTTCCCAAGTCTGGAGGAGGTGGCTTCAAGAGTACCTTCCTTTGTTAAGCAGAAGGCCAAAGTGGACCGAAGTGGTCAAGGATCTGAAGGTGGATGATGTTGTTCTCGTCCTGGATTCTAAACTGCCAAGAGGACGATGGCCTCTAGGACGCATCATCGAAACTTATACAGGAAGGGATGGCCACATCAGAGTCGCTAAGATCCAATGTGGCGCAAGCACCATCGTTAGACCAATTCATAAACTGGTGCCCTTGCACGAAAGTTAGAACACTGAACATTTCTCGTTGTTATAGTTTTCTGTTTCAATCTTTTATCGACCAATCACACTGATCCTTACCTCCCAGTGTGGGGAGGGGGAAATGGACAAAAGACATTTCGGGTCTCGCGTCACGCAATCGCACGCGTGAGTTTTTAGTGATCAGATTTCATTTTTTTGATTGACAGTTACTCTGATTTTGTAATTCACACGCGGTCGGGTTTTTGTAGTTGTCATGAGTTGTTTTCAGAACATGTAAGTTTTAGGAGCCGTAAAATTAAAACCGTGAGTTTATTTAACCGACGAGATATCGTTTGTTGTCTTCGCAACAGATGGACTGCGACGACTTATTCCTGGGAGACTTAGCCAGTAAAGCACGTAAATGGTTCAAGGAGTACCATTTAAGTTCCTCGATGTCTACGCCTAGGACAAGAGGAAGAAACGTTGTCGCAAACATAACATACTTTCGAAGACACATCACAAGACGCCTATGGAGCTGTTGTCTACTCAAGAGCAACCTATAAGAGCGCAGCAGTATCCGTAAGATTTGTTGCTGCAAAGTCAAGAGTAGCACCTCTTGCAGCTACAAGCATTCCTCGACTGGAGTTGATGGCCGCAGTTCTAGGATTGAGAATGACAGGATCCATTTCAAGAGTTTTGAACACCAGTTTGGATAAAGCAACTTTCTGGTCGGATAGCATGAATGTACTTTGGTGAATTAGAGGAAGAAGCCGATCTTTCAAACCTTTCGTAGCAAACCGTGTTGGGGAGATCCAAACTGCAACAGACCCAAAACAGTGGCGATACGTTCCAACCAACAAGAATCCAGCAGACTTACTTACGAGGGGACTTAAACTGTCAGAACTGACCAAGAACGAGAATTGGTGGACTGGAACAGACTTTTTGGCGCACGAGGAGTCGGAATGGCCAGTTAACAAAGTAGTCATAGAACAAAAAGCTGCGAAAGAAGGAGTAAAGAAGTCAAATTCAGAATTACCAGACCATTTCAATCATCTTTATGACGAGCGAGCAATGATTACTATAAACCAAGACGATCCATCATGGCGTTTAAACCCCAAACGTTTCTAAAGTTGGAAAAGATTCACGAGAGTTGTTGCGTGGGTCCGTCGTTTCGTGGATAAATGTAGAGGTCGCGCGAGACAGAATGGAGAATTAAAGCCAAGTGAAATCGAGGACAGCGAGAAGCCTTTCCTGAAGGCCGAAAGGAGCTACCGAAGAACAGTAAATTACTTGCTTTTCGACCACGATTGGATGAAGAAGGTCAGATGAGGTGTGACAGTCGACTTAAATATGCAGAGTTCTTATCTCATGATGCTTGTTCCCCGATAATTCTTCCTCACAAGCATCAAGTCACAAAATTGATTGTGAAGTACTTTCACAAAGAGGGGAATCATGCAAGTGGAATGAATCAGACGCTAGCAGTCCTATCGACTCGATTCTGGATAATATCTGAACGTGAAGAAATTCAAGAAAGGGAGAAGGAGTGTAATGAGTGCCGCAGGCGGAAGGCCAAAGCTGCAAAGCAAATTATGGCACCTCTTCCACAGATCAGACTTCGGTTATCACTCCGACCTTTTGCGCAAAAAGCTGTAGATTTTGGGGGACCTTTCGTCACAATTCAAGGAAGAAGATCTCGAAGACAAAAGCGATACTTGTGCTTATTTACTTGTTTAGCCACAAGGGCGGTTCACTTCGAGATGGCCTTTGGACTTCACACTGATTCGTTCCTAAATGCCTTCTATAGGATGGTCAATCAAAGAGGACTACCCAGAGAGATATCTGACAATGGTACGAACTTTACGGCGGCCGAGAGAGAATTGTACGAATCGGTTGAGGCGCTGGATCAAAGCAAAACTGCCCAGTCAACAGCAAACAAGGGAGTAATGTGGCACTTCAATCTGCCACTAGCACCACACTTCGGGGTGTACACGAGACGATGATTAAAGCTGCAAAGCCGGCTGTGAATGCAGTATTGGGCAATGCAGACGTAACAGATGAAGAATTAACAACAGCATTCACAGGAGCAGAAGCGTTATTGAATTCAAGGCCCCTCACGTACCAATCAGCAAACCCTGAAGATGATATACCACTGACAACGAACCACTTTCTGATAGGTCATATTGGAGGTCAATTCGCGCCAGAATCCGTAGACAAAACCACTTACAGTCTCAAGAAAAGATGGAGAAGAGTCCAAGAGCTAGTTAGACATTTCTGGCATCGTTGGCTCAGAGAATGGATCCCAAGCCTCAGCAACAGAAGAAAATGCCTGAAAGAGGAACGAGACCTTGGCATTGGCCTCTAGGAAGAATCGTTGAAGTATATCAAGGAAAAGATGGTCATGTAAGAGTCGCGAAAGTCCAAGTGGGAAAGAGCCAACTGACCAGACCTATTTTGAAATTGTGTCCGTTGGAATTGCGAGCTGGAAGATGATTTACATGAATGAGAGAGCAAGACGTTCGTTAATGAACTTTGGTGACCATGTCATCAACATCGATTTGGATTTTTTTGTATTTATATTAATTTAGTGCGCCTAGAGACATTTTCCCCTTCTTTCGTATAGATAAAGTTGATATGCTGTGTCATATCAAGGAGGGAGAAAAGGACAAGAGGACTAATGAACTAGCGATGGTGGTGAAAGACATTTGTGCGTTAAGGGACTCATTCGAGCCCTGATTGGATGAAGTGTGATGGAAATTTGCATGGACCGAGATTAAAAACTCTAGTGTTAAAAAATATAAGTCAGAACAGTTTAGAACTTGGAAGGACTTGGACAGAGAGATAATTTTCGTTTATTCGATTAACAGTTTTTGAATTCGCTTGGTAGTTTTTTTGTGAATTTGAATTCGGTCAAATTGTAAAATTCGCAGCTAAGAGTTTGTGTACAATTTTTGAATATAGTTCATTCTCGTGAACAATTATTATTATTATTATTATTATTATTATTATTATATCCACTACTCCCACTCGGCTACCCCAACTTGGAGTAAGCACCAGCGGCGTTAACATGGTGACCATCCCTCACAGTGGCAATTGTCAAAAGGACCTTGTAGTCAGGTCTCTTAGGGTCAGGATCGTTACAGAGTTGACAAAAGCACCAAACTTTGCCCAGCGATAGCTTATTGCAGTACCATGAATATTAGAGGGGGTGCCCACTGCAAATATGCCACTGAAGCGTGCTAAACAGGATTTAATTATTGCAAATTTCACCTGCTGGGGGCCCTGTGGTCTTTTGATTAAAAATTGTTATTTAATAACTTAAATCACTCTGAATTCTATTCTCAGGTTGTAAACAACAATTTCACTCAAACATCTGGCATTCCCATCCATTTTTGCTTATTGATTGTATAATTAAGGTGGCTCGACTGGATTTTTTGGGGTTGATACCTCCCAGCTTTGAGCATTAATTACGTCGGCATGAGTAAAGATATGGAAAAAAGGTTACCACAACTGTATTATATAAAGATGAAAATTTCTTATGACCTGGGTTTTATTGCAATCGGAGTCACCATGGCAACGTAATGACGCCATTACGTTTTTCATTTATCTTTGTGTTTCTCTGTTCGAGGAGTTTTTTGATGAAATCGCTTAAGGGAGTATGTACCTGCTATAATTGCCTCCATTATGGCGTAGTTTCAACAAATTCTATGAGAGCGTTTTCGAAACATTTTGAAATGTAGTTTTAAGAATGATAAAAACAGTGAAATAGCATGCTAGCCACACAATTCGCTAATATTTTAAGAAAATGATAAGCTTTGGGAACGAGGCTTCATCTCATAGTGGTTTGACTCCATTGGAAACTGCATCCAAAAAAAGAGGTGAATTGCTCTGGGCGATCGCGAGTAAGAAGAATTTCATTAACTTGCATTCAGCCGCTTTTGATACAGTTTTTGGACGTAATTTGGTCAATGCCTAAGAATTTCGCATTTTTCCAAAAACCGCCCGATAAATTTTTTTATAAATTCGACAATCCCGAGATCAATCGTCAAGAAATATTCCCTGCAAGTTTCAAGAACATTGAAAATAGGGAAGGCTTTTAAATAGGGCCTCAAATATAACCAATTTTCCCCCCAGATTTTGTGTTTACAAGTGAGCGTCCTCATTATCCACTGGCATTGTTTTCAAGTTTCATATGCACGTGCACAACCAGCAAAAGATATAAATTTGCATAAAAAAGAACTCTCGATCACTTTCCGAAGAAATATCAGGAATATGCTAATAGTTGGTTTGTCGTCACAGAAAGCAGTGAGAGCCGAAACGGTGAACGTCACGGCTCATCACGTAGGATGGAATACTTAATTATCTTACTCGGGTTATAACAGAAACTATCACAAAGAGTTGCTTTGATGTTATAATGTGTCATTAATCTCTTTACCCGGTAATTAGCATATCCCGAAGATTTAACCGATGGTCCTTTCTGATGTAAATTCTATCTTTTTGCTAAATGTGCACGTGTATATGAAACTTGAAAACAATGCCAGTGAATAATGAGGACGCTCACTTGTAAACACAAAATCTGGGGGGAAAATTGGTTATATTTGAGGCCCTATTTAAAAAAAAGCCTTCCCTATTTTCAATGTTCTTAAAACTGGCAGGGATATTTCTTGACGATTGATCTCGGGATTGTCGAATTTATAAAAAAATTTATCGAGCGGTTTTTGGAAAAATGCGAAATTTTTAGGGATGGACCAAATTACGTCCAAAAACTGTATCAAAAGCAGCTAAATGCAAGTTAATAAAATTCTTCTTACTCGCGATCGCCCAGAGCAATTCCCCTCTTTTTTCGTATGCAGTTTTCAATGGAGTCAAACCACTATGAGATGAAGCTTCGTTCCCAAAGCTTATCATTTTCTTAAAATATTAGGGAATTGTGTAGGTAGCATGCCATTTCACTGTTTTTATCATTCTTAAAACTACATTTCAAAATATTTCAAAACGCCTCATAGAATTTGTTCAAACTTTACCATAATGGAGGCAATTATAGCAGGTACATACTCCTTAAGCGATTTCATCAAAAACTCCTGGAACAGAGAAACACAAAGATACATGAAAACGTAATTACGTCATTACGTTGCCATGGCGACTCCGATTGCAATAAAACCCAGATCATAAGAAATTTTCATCTTTATACAATACAGTTGTGGTAACCTTTTTTCCATATCTTTACTCATGCCGACGTAGTTAATGCTCAAAGTTGGAAGGTATCAACCCCAAAAAATCCAGTTGAGCCACCTTAAGTTGATTATTACTGTGCCCTTAAAGCAAGTCCACAGTCCGCCCACATTTTCATAAGTCATTTCTAAGGTGGCCTCGTCTTAGCTTCATAACTTGCATGTACTCAGCTTCTGGGGTCTCTTCTCCTTTTTTAATGTATTTCAATTAGAGAAGGCCTTAATGTGTGGCTTAAGCCTTATTTATCAAGTATTACTTGTCATTACATGTCACTTTAAACTGAAGAAAGCGTATGGCATAGCGATTCACACACAAAATTTCAGAAAAAAGAAATTGTCAAAGAGTCTGTTGTATCACATATTATCAGGGATTTATGACAGCTATTCATGAAGAGCAAATAACGAAATGACAGAACCCAAAATAGTTCTTTCCTAGGGAGGTAATTAATTTTTCAGCTTAACATAGGCCTGGATGCCTTTCAGTCTCTCTTTATCCAGTTATCTGCTGGACGCAAGTGCATGTTTTGACAGAGAAGCAAGCACCGTGGCACAAGTCATATCATTTACAATTTCCGCAGTTTATCTAAGCTTTACAAAGCAAAAACAAGCAAAAAAGAATCTGGTCTCATAAACGAAAAAAAGAAACAAGTTAGCCCAAGCTTCAAAAAACAGCACAGTTTATCATGAAGCCTCTACATTTGGCACTGAAGCACTCATGTCCAAAAATAATAACAGCTTATCAAGTCGTAAAAGTGAGACTCAAGTAGTACAAGATTGACTCAAATGATAAATGGTGAATGGTTTAACTGCTGAAACTGTAGAAAGGGGGCCGGGCTAACTTTTAGGGCCTGTTTACATGGAAGAGGGGGACCCCAGGTAGGAATGGTAACCCACTTAGGTGGGGTAACCCGCTTGTCCATATAATCTCTCATTTTAATTTGATCACGTTTACATGATAGGTGGGGTCACCCTTCAAGGTGGGTAGCCCGGTCTGCCACACCAGGTAACCCTCTCAGCTGAGGTCAAATTTTGCCATGTCAACATTTCAAGGTGAGGAAACCCAGGCTAGTCGGGGTCGGATTCGTGATACATCAAATTCGTGCAAAATTCACTTTGGCGCTGGGTGGCTTCACATAATTATTAAAGGTAGCAATAGAAAGCCACAACACTAAAGGTTGCAGCAAGAGCAGCAATTGAGCGTAGACGTGGTTTGCCATCATTTTTCTTGTTTACATGCATAGCGACCATTCAATAATCTTGAGAAAATGCACCCCAGGATGGCGGGGTTGTAAGACTGCATGTAAAGAAGGGTTATTTTTTTACCCCACCTAAGCAGGTTACCTCACCTACCTGGGGTCCCCCACCTTTATGTTAACAGGCCCTAAGTCTCAGGAACCGTGAAACTGGTAATAAACGGTATACCTAACCCGGGACGAGCTGTGATACTACCGGCCATCTTCAAGAATGTCAGCATAGCAGCCAAAGAAGCCATTATATCGGTGTAAAACGAATATTAGATTGCGGTTGTTTCATGCGTCTCGTTTTGTGACTTTTTCTGTGTTCATTTTTGTCACCATCTCTAAATATCAATCATGTTCAAAACACCCCTACTAACAAAATATTTCGTAAAGCTCTTTAGAATGATATTCAGCAATAAAAACAAGGTGTGACCAGGAGCCGATTTCTAGGCTCCTGGTGTGGCAACATAGGCATGAGTGAATGCAAAGTTTTGCAGTATGTAATCTGTCAAAAATCTGTTTGAGTGGTCAAAGTTGGGGCTGATGGGCTTCTTTATCATGACCACTCCATTATTATAAGGGACCAGGCCACAATTATTGTTCACCCTTGCTTTTTTCATATTTTCTGTAATTTTCCACAGCATTATTTTGTGAAAAGTTGGTAACTGAATTGCTGTTGAGGAATTCATGATCGTAAGATTTCGTAGCCACGGGGTATTCGCCTAATTGCATCAAACAAATTACATTCATTTTCATAAATGATGCATCATTGGTTTGCTAAAAGAGGCCTTGTTCCTGTAAATTTCAGCTCTTCTGAAGTTAGATTGTTTGTAAATTGTAACGCACGCGACGACCTTCCTTTTTTTTGAAAGATCGTATAGACCTACCATTAACACTCTGGTCCAAGGGCTCTGAAGTGAATGAGCCGCTTACAGGTGTCTAGGCATGCAGGGACCTCATACACTTCTTTTTAAGGTCTCGCTAAATTAAAATTTTAGTACATTGCTCGATTTTGGTTTTTTTGGATTTTTGGCATGAGGGAGTCCTAAATTTTATTTTGGCAGAAAAAGAAAATCAGAAAGTGCTTTTTAACCCTTCTAAAATGAGCCTTTTCTGAGCTAACCAGCCAAGCGTGGACCTCGCGCTAAATCTTTAGAGCTGATTTTCCCTCACTCTATTTTAGACGCAAAAATCAAAATTCTCCGACCTCCAGTCGGGACAGGTTTTAAGCAATAGCTTTGAAACTTTCAGATATGATGGATAATGATAATGTTTTAATCATTATCTCAAGGACAGGGTTACCAACGAAGCAAATTATAATCTAATCTTAGCTGCACAATTACAAAGTGGGCGTGTTGTCAGTTACGGTTCATGAGGTCGTTCATGTGGCATGTCAAACTTTAACGATTCTGTCGTTTAGGATGTGATACATTTGCGTTTTATGTTATTGTATGACATCTTTGAAAGCTGGCTTTGTGATCTGTTTAAATTGATATGTAATGATATTATCACTGGCAAGTCTTAGCACTGACAATGATAGCCGCACAGTCCGCACAATGAACATGGCCACACTTACCGTGTGGAGACTGGGCACTAGTCAGTATTATGTACATGTAAAACTATTTTGAATAGTGTAACAACTAAACATTACCAAATTAAAAACTTAAAAATTTGCAACAAATGTTTTTTAGCCAAATCAAACTAGAAGAGTACTCACCACAGGGCACCCAATCTGCTATTATAGGTGAAAGTTAACCCCCCCCCCCTTTTATCTGTAATTTGGATCATTTGTAACGGGCACCCCCTCCAGTATTAATCAGTAGGTGCTAAGGAAGCTCTGTGCCAGATTTGACACTTTTGTCACGTCTGTAACGATCCGGCCTATATTTTGCACTAAGAGACCTGACTATTTGTACATAGTGTAAATACGTAATGTCCTGTTCTGTCTGAAGACAGTTTGTTCACCGTTTCTGATAACGTTTCTCTTTCTGTTACTGATTTACCCGCCACGTGCCAGTTCACGTCTGTACATATTGTAAATACGTCACATTCAGTTCAGGCTTCAAATGGTCGGGAAACTTGTTTGGCTAAATTTGCTGTAGAAAGTGCATATCATATCATTCTTTTCCATTCTCATCACCGTTACCTATTAGGCATGAAATGGTGGGGGGAATACTTCATCGATTTGGCCCTACCCTTCAGTTTACGTTTTGCTCCTTTCATATTCTCTTCCTTTGCTGACCTGCTTGAGTGGATTCTAAAACACAATTATGAAGTACAATTTCTATTTCATTACTTGGATGAATTCCATACCTTGGGCCCTCCTGACTCTCCTGTCTGCCAACAAAACCTGGATATCTGTGTTTGTCTGTTTTCAGAGTGGGGTATTCCCTTCCACCCTGGTAAGCTTGAGGGCCCTTCTACGTGCGTGACTGTCCTGGGCATCGAGTTGGACTCGATGGCCTATTGGCTAGCCTCCCTCAGGAGAAGTTTGATTGTACTGCTGCTCTTTTGGACACCTGCAGGTCTTTCAAACAGCACTGCACGAGAAAGGAACTGGAATATCTAATGGGCCATCTCCAACATGCTTGTAAAGTGATTCCCTGGCAATAAGAGGGGGTGGTAGGCCTACACGACTTTTACCTCAAGCCAAAATGCTGCTTATTCCAATAAAGTTGTTTTTATCTGCTAGGTAGATTATGCTCTGGAAGGTTCTGCATTTATACTGAGCAAACGTGATTTTAGCCGCATGTTTCACACTGAGAGGTCATGACATACATATCGATTGACTGTAGTTATTGTTTTCTGGTCGGCAGGATTTGCCCTCTGATACAACCGCATTTTCTTTGACCTCTTTTGAAGCGTAAAGCTTTTTTATTACGGCTGAATAAGGGTTCCAATTTTCTCCAAGGTGCCTTCTGGATCTGAACAACTAAGCGATTTTCTTTAGTCCGTGAGTGTAATGTTTTTCTGCAATGCTGTACCACGCTGGACCCAGCTTGTCAGTTTTCTTTGCGGAATGTTAAACTATCACGGATAGTGACTTACAGATCCAAAATTATAAGAGTGAAGTGCAGCTTAAACTGAAGCTACATAAACTTACTATTGAGAATTGAATTGTGACTCAGTAAACTCCAGCTTAGTGTTTTTCTAAAGATAGTGTGAGTCTTTTGACTGGAGCGGGGAGTTCCTCCCTTGGTAATAGCTTTGAATAAGCCGTTAACAGTCCTTAAACTGTTTTGTTATTGCCACAGTTTGTGATCAGGCAAGACCATGGTTTCGGTTCTCCACACGAACCTCATCAGTTGTCACCGGGTTGGCTTTGTGCTTAGTTGCTTTTGCAAGAGCAACTTTAGTTGTACTTTGTTGTGGCGAGAACGGTACAGCCGTTCTGTCTATTGAGCTTTGAACTTAAACATAAATACCCACGTGGCGGAATGAAATTCTTGTTTTCTTTCTTTTGCGTCGAATGATTAATTTGCCTTTTGGCGGGATGACCACCCGATCAGGCTGAACCATGAGTTTCGTTTCGACCTTACCTGGTGGAGAGAATTTTTCCATTCCTGGGATGGTTTCAGTTTTCTACTTTTAATGCAGTGGGTACCTCTTCCTGACTTTCACATGTCTTCAGATGCTGCTGGTGTACGGGGTTATGGGGCCATTTTTAATGACCAGTGGTTTGTTGGTGAATGGTCCTCTGCTCAACAACCTTTGTCTATCGCATAAAAGGAATTAGTAAAATCCAACTAGTGGTCTATTATCAATGCTGCGTTCTGACAACGTTATACTATGGGCTGCCTGTTGTGTTGGCTTCTTTGGCTTCCTCAGAGGTGGTGAATTTAGAGTCAATAGTCCTTTTGATCCTTCTCTGCATTTGACTCTTGATGACATACAGGTTGATGCCCCTTTGAACCCTAAAAGTGTTTGCTTGTTTATCAAGTGCTTCAAGATAGACCCTTTGCGAAAGGGCTGCTTCGTCCTTCTTGGTCATGGTTCCACCCCTCTAAGCCCTGTGGTTTCCTTGGTAAATTACCCTCACCTTCATGGACTGAGCCCTGGACCTCTATTTCTTTATCAAGATAGCACTCCTCTTTCTAGATCGAAGCTCTCTGCCTTCTTAAAATCTACACTACAGTCAAATTTCTCTGGTCATAGCTTTCGAGTTGGGACCGCTACTACTGCCGCCAGCCGAGGAATTCCTGACTATCTTAATAAAACTATGGGTTGCTGGTCAAGCAAAACTTATTTGCTGTATGTGCAGACTCCAGCAGACACGATTCTCTCAGTGGCTGGATGGCTCGCTTAACAGGTATGGCAGTTATATACCCCTTTATGAGACTTGGTTGGGTGCCGTTGGATTTGGGCATTCTTGTTGGGGCTCAGATTTTCCCCCAGCCGTAAGCCCCTTGTTCTCCAGGCCTTTTAAGTTTGGCCTGGAGGTCCTCTGGCTTGGCGTGGAGGCTCATGGCTGGGACCGGTCTCCATCCAGGAGCTGGGTGCCAATAGTGGAGGCTCCTGGGTATCACAGGCACCCAGCCTCCACTTACATGTAGCAACACAGTTGTTAAATGCAGTTAAATGCAATTCAGTGGAGTTAACAACAAGGAACGCTTGTTTCACCCTGCTGGCCAGTAGTGTGTGAGAGAGGCGCATGTACCAAGATCCATCATGCTGCAGGACCTTTGTGCATCTTAGCAGGGTTGAGTGCATTTAGCGATCAGGCCCCAGTTGTTCAAAAGCTGGATAGCACTATCGATTGGATAAATCACTATCCAGTGGAAAAGTATTAGGGAAACCAATTGCGTTATGCACTGGGTAGAGATTTATCTGGTGGATAGCATTATCCACCTTTTGAACAACTGGCCCCAGCCATTTTGGTGTGTGCGGCAACTTTTATGCGCTTTATTCAGCATGGGTGTATCACAAACATTGTGACTCAGTTTAAAACGGGTTCCCCCCCTCCCTTTCCACTGATGTTCTCAGTGTGATGGGTGCCTGCTTTCTTCCCTGCCTCGTGGGGACTCAGGGAGCGGTCTCCATCTAGGAGCTGGCTGCCAATAGTGGAAGCTCCTGGGTATCACAGGCACCAGACCTCAACTTAGCAACGCAGTTGTTAATAAATGTGTGTGGTTAATAACTGGTGCATGCGCCTTATCACCAACAATGAAGAAGAGATTGTCCCTGAAATTTGTTTTTTTTTTTAACCATTGTTTAGGCACTCTTAAATAATTCTTTAAACTATGACATTGATGTGATTGGCGAGCAGCTAACAACACTTGAATGGTAACTGTAAAGGACTTCCATGTGGCTTATTGTAGTTTGCAAAACAAAACGAAACGAAACAAAATGGAACGAAACGAAATGAAAATCTGTAGTTTGCGAAATGAGAATCTGTAGTTTGCGAAATGAGAATCTGTAGTTTGTGAAATGAAAATCTGCAGTTCGTGAAATTTGGATTTTTGGCGCAGTAGCAAATGTAAGAACAATAGAGGAAAACTATCCCCTCAGTCGCCATTCAGAAACTCATACCAAGGTTGTTATGAAGTTGTTTGAAGCCGCCAGCTGCTTTTGCTGAACTAGAGAAGACGCTATACTTACGCCTGGATTGCTGTAATAGTCCATGGGCCAAGTGGCTTTTCATTACCACTCGGGGGGACAAAGGCTACTATATATCAAATTAAAGCTTATCATGTGTAGATTTCAAAAATATATGATGGAAATGTTGTAAGAGTAGCTTAAGGGAGTCACGTGACCTTGAATTTTGCATAATTAGCATAAATTGATAATATACTAAAATGCGGCTTTTAGCAAGTAAGGCTGTAGATTCTGTATAAAATAAAGCAGGCATAGACAAGATATAATGTCTGTAAAGTATTTAGTAAATTAAGGATAAATAGTCACGTGGCAGTGACGTCACTTCCGGTCACGGTAAAAAAAACACTCAATTTTTGTCTATATTTTTACTTTTTCCCCTTTTTTCTTTTATGTGATTCAAAAATACAATTTAGAGTGTTTTTACCATAAAAAGCACTAAAAGATATAGCAATTAGCATTATTCTAAATGTATGTTCAAATAAGAATTAAACTGGGTACCCTGTGTTCTTAGCATGATAAGTGTTTCTCATGGGTAGGTGATATGTTGAAAATGTTACACCCACACTCAAGAGACTTCAGTCAAAGTCAACGTGCTCTTCATCCAGGTCTACCTGGATGTCCTCCTCTTCATCTGGCTGGTTAGAACAAGTTATTAGGCGGCAAAGGTCGGAGCACTTTAAGCCATTTCGAATGTAGTCACAAGAATCATCGTTACAGGCCTTCTTGCACATACATGACATAAGCTCTATTACAGCTGTTGGTGGCGGGAGTCCACTCATCCAGTCTATCACCAATCTCTCTTGAGCTCCGTCATTTACAAGAGACCAGCCATGACCAACTGGGGATGGAATGTCGTTGTTTCGTAGAGAATTTTTCCATATCGCTGCTTGATAGTTGGCTCGCCGGCAATGCTTGTACAAGCTGTCTTGGCATGGAGGCAGCTGATGGGATTCCGCTTCACCTGAATGAATATATGAATATATATCATAGGTACGGGGCGGGAAAACATTTACATTAGATATTTTACATTTATCGCTGAATTTATTTCTTTGTTATTGTGATCTAATTTCTTAATATTATGCAGATAGCTAGGTGTCTCCGATTAGCGAACTTCATATGACACTTTAATAAAGTTTATTATTATTATTATTAATGTTATTACCTTCCTTTGCACAGAAGACCGAATATCTGCATTGATTCACGTCTGAGATACCGTTGTTTGAGCCATACATATCACAGACAAATGCCTCTAACTGCATCAGAAGATCTTCAGACATCAACCAGTTTTCTCCAAGTTGCTGGAACGTGCGTTGGTATTCCTTTTTCCTCAGTAACCTCTTCAGGGGCTTCACTTTCCCAATCCCTGCAAAGGCACTCACTGCATCACAACCCGTAAATGCGTGCAAACCTGGTAGTGCTTTGCACGCATCCTGGCCAATGACGTGGGCTATTTTTCCAATGTCCACATACCGAGCGTTCAGTTGAGAAACACAACGCTGATAAATCGGTACATCAATGGAAAATGAAAACGCTAGGCACAGGATTCTAACGTCTGTGTCTTCCGAGGATACAATGATTGACCTATATCGCTGCTCATTTGCTGCATGTTGCACATGTAGGAGAAGTCGTGTATCAGCCTCCTCTTGTTCGGATCTTAGCTCTTCTTCTTCCTCTACTCTCTCGGCAGTGATCTTGTAGCATCGGTTTCCACATGTTACATACAGCTCCTTGTCTTCCAGTCTCTTGCGGCCCGGTGTTTTTTGCCAGTGTTCCACAACAAATCTGATAAGACTTGTTTTGTTGTCACCATTGGGTAAAAAATTCTTGAATTGCTTGACCTTCGGGCCAGGCGCAAGGTTCTTGAAAGTTATTGCATCACTTTCACCTCTGAGTTCTCTTTCTGCTGATTTAATGGAAATGTCTCTGTACACGTCAAATACGACATCCACTCTATCGCTACCCTCCACCTCACGCAACACTCTAGACAAAATATTGTCTGTGATCTCACCAAATGTGAGATAATCTACCTTCAGCTTTTGGACCAGAGCCATCCCATCTATTAGGTAAGCTGACGGCCTTGTTACTTCTACCGTTGGCTGTATCAGTTTCTCTAATTCTTTGCCAAGTTGTGCCTTATTGGTCTTGCGGAGAAAGCCATTGTTGCAGGCCAGGGAAGCAGGAAGAGGGCCTAATGGGTGCTTTAACACATCTTGCATTTGCAGATTGCGGCTTTCAGCAATTATGATCATCCGCGCAAACAAATTTCGATCAGCGCGCAGAACAGTTTCTGTGTCTTTGCCCTTTGCCACTGTCTTGGTCTTCAATAAAGCACTGAAGGTTTTCAGCTTTTGCTTCTTCAATTTGTCATTGAACCTTACCGTTGGGGGCTGTGATTCGAGACGGGTCTTCTTGAAATCAGCGTAGGCTGCCTCTCCAACTTTATAGGCGGTCGCAAGGTCCTCTGCTATAGCAGTAGTGGCAAGAGCTCCTGTTGAGATGCTTGACAGTTGCATATGACCTGCAAATGGATCTGTCCAGTTCTTGATTAAATCAACCATTGCGGCAACATCTTTCTCATCTTGGGCAATGCGAGACGAGTGAAGGTCAGCATGGCCGTGCTTCCCTTTGGCATAGCCAACCATTTCGCGCAAACTGCGCAGGAACAAAGTTCTGAATTCTGCCGTCAAGTAGTACCTTTGTACGGCTCCAGGTTTCAAACTAAAGCCCTTAGTACCCCCAGGTGTTTGGGTATCTCTATTTACGGTTTCTTCAAGAGTCTGGTCAACGGGAATTCTTCCAAATGTATTGTCGTTGCTCAACTGAACTGAAAATCCACCATTTCTCATGATCTCGTGTACCTCAGGATGCTCATCTGGTAGACTTGTCATATCGCTATAATAAGCTGACATGTATCTTGCGTAGTTGATAGCATCGTAGGAAAAGCACCATGGGAGCATCTGACGGACACAGGAGAGATGGAGTTCCCAATTCCCTTCTCTAGAAGCACAGATCATGTGAAGAAGTAGCTCGATCATGTCTATATAGGATATCCAGAATTCTGAAAGGGGGCCACTGGTATTCCGAAGATGAAGAGTGTATTCAGCAAAAAGGTCAGAAAAACGCTGGAAAACTCGGCTCTTGAAAACATCATCGTGTCTTTCTTTAGACAGTTCATCAGCCAGGGTACCAATTTCATCAAGACATGTTTGTACTTGACGACTGTCCGCTGGGTGTGACTCGTCAAGCCAAGGATAAAATCCTTCCAATGCCACCCTCATGAATGCTTCGTAAGCCAGTTTGTGCACACGAACACCCCTGTTATAGTTTCGGCCCTCCAGAACTGCAGACACGGATCCCTCAGCCACTACCCCAGCTTCAATAAATAAGTCATTTAGACCAGCATGCAGAAACCTTTTACCGATGATAAAGATCAATGTACCAAGGGTATGAAAAGTTCCAAGACGTAGAACTATGGGCTTGAACTTCTCATACTCCTTGCACTTCACCTCAAACGCCTTGGCATAGATGGCCTGATCGAAAACACATATGATACTTGTGAGATGGAGCGAGCGCATGATAGTGAGTGATCGGTTGAGGGCTTCGTTGAAGGTGGAAACATCAGTGGCTGGTACATTAATGGTCGGCAAATAGCCTACATTATTGGGAATGATGGCGTCTTTGTCGTGAACCATGATGTTAAACCCAGTCCAGCTGCTGACCTTTTGTTGGTGGGCTGCATAATGTAGACGAGCAAGGATGAACAGCAGATTCTTCTTTGTAAATTCTTTAAGAATTGTTTCGCCATCAACCTCCCTCACTTTTCTTGGTGGGGGCCCAACTCGCTTGCCGACATTGTAGATGGGAAGAGGCTCTTCTGGGGCAGAGAATGATCTTTTCTTTGTCTTGTCCACCTTGGGGACCACTATTTTCTGATTAGGGCCGTAAGTAACAGGCTGAACGGCGATACCATTAACACGATGCGATGTCCCACCCCCGGACAGGGTTCCTTCGAGCCTATTAATGTTGTCAAAGGCGAGGACAGTATTTGTACCTGGGTATATGTTGCTTGGAAGAGGGACGCCATCTTCAGGTGTCATGGCAAGTTTTTGTAGGCACAGGGCTGTATCAACCTCTTCGAGTTGAGAATATGATATACCGTGCCCAAGTACGGTATAGAATTTGTGTAAGCTCAACATTACCTGAAATAGATTGAAAGTTTAATCCTGAATAAATTGCAGCCACTTGTAAAAACATTTATAATAAATTTTATAATAATGAAATACCCGTTAGCGATTTGACTGCTGAGGGTAACAGAATGTGTTTTGCAGGCTTGTATCGACCACGGGTTATACCAAACATAAGGTCTTGACCAACAGGACTGCTAAGCCAGGACATGCATTCACCGAGCTCTTGATCATCGCTACCCAGAACGTACCGAAGAAAGGTTGTCACTAGAGTTGGAGCGTCACTGTTTTCCTGGGTGATATTGGAGGGATCTGGGGGCCACTCTTGTTTAGCGCAGTGTTGCTTTACAGACTGCCTAATCTCACTAGCTACATCTTTTAAACTTTCGCCAATGTGTGAACGAGAGGCCCTTAAAACGTTTACTTCCTTTTGTAGGCGATGGTTTGATAAGACTAGCTGATCCCGTGTGAGGCTATCTGGGTAGAAGATAACTTTGTTAGATTCATTTTGAATCAAGTGGAAGGAATCTCCAAATTCAACACTAAGTTTTGTTCTTAAGTGAGTTATTGTTGATTGGTTGATTTCTATTACTTCAGATTCCAACATCCACCCTCTAAGCATATCACTTAATTGTGCAAGCTCTATTATATTATTGCTCTGAAATAATTCATTCCTTATATAATCACATAATCTATCAGGAAGTTCTTCAGTATCTGTTGTATTAACAGATTTGCTGTTTGTCCTTGTATAATTCTTGTAGCAGGAATGGTGCCAGTGAGCTTCGGCTGCAACCAGCTCTCGGCTTGCCAGGGCCAGGATTCTCTTGTCATGCTTTATTTCTGCAGCTTTTCTCACTGTATCATCGACTCTGAGTTGTCTGGCTTGTGTTAAGCCCTCCCTTGATTTTGAACCTTTAACAAAGTTCTCTTTCTTTTCACAAAAGATGCACTGTTTCTCGCACACCCGGGAGCTGGAAGTACTTGGCTTTCCTTAAATAAATTGATGTTTTGATAATTTTATTAAGAATTTTACTTTTCATAGCAGAATACAAACAAGATATTAATATAGATAACTATAACTATAACTAAAATTCTGCAATACTGAAACGTTTCTTTCCATACACAACTACTCTATGATTATCTTATTTCTTTAAGATTCTTTCTTTTTATTTAGCCGAACAAGCATCCTACCTTGTCTTATAGATGATCTCCTCTCTAGATGACTCGTCTCCACCTCCACCTCCTTCCCTTTTTCATCATTCTTACTCTTTGTAATTCGATCTAAGTCATGTTTGTGTGTAAACGTGCTTCGACATTTGCGATGGTAAAATACTCCATTCGGGATTTGGTCATCGGCAACCTGTACACTAAGAATGCCTTCGTGATCTCGGATTTGACCAGCTTTTTGCAACGTTTTCCATGAGTCAAGAGAATTTGGACTGATTAACGTTGTGTTGTCATCAGTACAATGTATTATGCAATAAGGCTCAGTTCTTTGTCTTTTACGAGGTATGCTTGAATCCATATTTGTTCACATCTTTGAGGACTGTAATTACCACAAAAACAAGATGGCTTCCTTGTACCATACCGGTGAAAAATCGCTCGATGATTAATCATGCATCTGAAATACCACTACTTACATTATCTTTTACTGCTTTTCATATGTTATAAAATGTACTTTTGAATCACATAACAGGAAGAAGCAAAAAAAAAACAAAAATAGGAAAAATATACAAAAAATGGAGGGTTTTTTACTGCGACCGGAAGTGACGTCACTGTCACGTGACTTTTTATCCTTAAAAGTGACAAAATACTTTACAGACATTATATCTTATCTATGCCTGCTTTATTTTATGCAGAATCTACAGAATTACTTGCTACAGCCGCATTTTAGTATATCATCAATTTATGCTAATTATGCAAAATTCAAGGTCACGTGACTCCTTTAAGCTACTCTTACAACATTTCCATCATATATTTTGGAAATCTACACACGATAAGCTTTAATTTGATGTATGGTGGCCTTCGTCCCCCCCAAGTGGTAACGATCCGCCATTTTTAGCCACTTGGCCCATGGACTATAATGAATGGCTCCTTCGCCTGTATTTGTTGCTAGTTACTTGTGATATTCTTTATGTCGGATAAACAGGCTGCAGTTATCTATCAGCGAATAGCTTTGCGATCAAGAAGAAACAATGACTTTCCTCCAAAGGGAATTCCTGCTGTCAAATGACACTTAAACAACAAAAACTTCTGCTGGAAATACTTTTTTTCCTGCATTTGTTTATCTATACAAAACGTTAAAGCCACCATGTTCGAAAGTAAACAACAAAGCCAAAATGATGTATTTTATCGGTTCGTTTGAATATCTCGTGACGTTTCTGGTTAAGATAAGGCGTTTCAACGACCTCCGGAAGTGGACTTGGGCAGTGGTTCTTGGGCAAATTTTCCGGCAGATCGTCTCTATAAGAGTAATGACACTTATCAATATAAATGTGGTGGCGTCAAGGCATATAAAAAGGGAAGAGGAGTTGCTTCCAGTTGCTGTCCGTCGCTCAAAAATGCCTGAGCTCAGAGGCAACGAAAACGTCACGCATTCCGCGCAATCTGAATTTTCTGGGCAAACGGCTTTTTGGGGGGAATTTTCTATTTAGAATATCCGAGTTGATGCAGCGAGAAAGTAAATTGTCATTTCCCTAAAGTACAGATTGTCATTTCCCAAACTGCAGACTTTCATTTCGCAAACTACAGATTTTCATTTCGCAAACTATAGTTTTTCATTTCGCAAACTACAGATTTTCATTTCGTTTCGTTCCATTTCATTTCGTTTTGCTCCACTTCGTTTCGCAAACTACCGTAAGCCCTTCCATGTGTGTATGTGTATGTCTTACAAAGTGAATGGCCATGCTTATGATCTTGCAGCCAACCAAAATAATTAAGTAGAGATTTCAGGTAACAAAAAAAATCATAATAAACTATGTCTTTTACATGTAGTTGGTTTTTAAACAATAACATCTCATTACTTATACATTGTAATTTAAAGGTCTTTTTTACCAGAGCCAATATTGTAGACTCTAACTGTACTATCAGATGATCCAGTCACCATACTCTGGTCGCTCTGATGCCAACTGAGGCACAGGACTCTACCTACACAGTGAATAAGACACCAAATTTACATGAAGGTGTTAAGGCATAATATTATTTCTAAACTAGGGAATGTTTTCTGTTGCTCAACTCAGTTTTTTTTCTTTTAGGTTTTGAGACTTGCTCATTTTGCAGATTTGGCTCTTGCATTGATGAGCAATACTGAACTGTCATGTAAGTTTGCACTTTCAAATTCAATCAGTCAATCAATCGATCACATTCAGTCAATTATTTGTTATTCACCCTGGAGGCTTATTCACACTGTGCAAGATATTTTTATTAAAGAATTCTTCTAGTGTCTTTGTCGAGCAGGTGGTGCAGTTAGAGTAGTTGGTTTAGTTGCTGACTCAGTAAATTTGGCATCTTTTGTAATAGCTAAGGCCAAACACTTTTACATGTATTCTGAATTGTTAAATCATCCATTCAAAGTACCCAAAATAACAATTTCATGTTAAAATAAGATAAACACTGAAAGAATATGAAGAAAAACTGAATGATCAAAACAAAACCCACTTGTCTACACTTGGTACATGTATACCTTGTTGCTGGTCAAAGGACTTCCTGTAAGTTAAACCATCATTTGTGATCTGAAATAACCTCACAGTGCCATCCTCACACCCCACCTATAGGTGGAGAGAGAACAAGTAGGTCACATGTGTTTTAGACACTTTGGGTCAGGTTACCATCCAAAATAATGATCCATTTGTTTCTCACCATCCTTTAAGTGCCACAAGACAGATGGCAATTTATAGGTCTACATGCTTCATATAAAGTCTTTTATGTTCCTTCTCTTTGCAAAACATGTAGGTGATGGGGCTACTTTCCCATTTGGTCATAAAAGTGTCATGAAGAGTATCATAAATGAAGTGGTCTTTGGGCCTTTGTGATCTGCGAAAGAAGCTCCTCTCCATATTTCAGTCAAGGAAATAGGGGGAATTTCTCTGACCACAAATCTGAGGACTGGTAAAATGATTCTTTCTGAGGACAGACTTTGTACCTAATTATATTCAGTATAACCTTGACTAGGTGCAACCATTTTATTCATTTATGACTTTTTAATCAATAATTTAAGGAAAGACTCTAGGTCATACTAACAAAGCCATTTATGTGAATACACTTTATTTAGATGTAGCAAGAACTTACAGCTAGATGAGATCTTTCATGATTAACTGACAGACACCACACTGCACCACCAAAAGAATCTACTGTTGTCTGTTGGGTAAGTAAAAAAGTTAAAAAAACCACTCACTCATAAATTGTAGTCTAAATCTACTATCTAGAATGCTCTTAGTAGCATTGAGTATTGCTTGCTTGGAGATAAGTTTTGTTGTCAAAGGCGCCGGTGCTGTTATACTACTTTTTCGTTTGGAAATTACAAAACGAGTGTTATATGTCATAATGCAAATACTTAAAACGTAAAAATTGCAAGGAGAGACAGGCTGTACATGTTAGCTTCACACTGGTGTGAAACCTTGGAAAACCTTCTGCCTAGTGATATTGCTCCAGTGAGGAGAACTCGTTCAGGGATTTAACACTAAAAAAATTGAACGATGATTTTTAGGAGTATCAGGAGCCCATGACTCTGTCAGTATAAATGTAGATAGCAGGGCTGCAAATAACGGACAGCAGGTTGCCGGTCATGTTGACCGGCCAAATATTTTTTAGCCCGGACAAACCCCGATTCTGGCCGGTCAAATAATGAATACTAATAATTTTTTTTGCCTAAGGAATATCCAGTTATGCTGGCAATAGATCGTTATTACTACATTGACGTTCACATTTTTGACAGGAAATTGGTGAAAAATGCATTTGCGCGTTGTAGAGTTCCTTTCCGCAGTTTTCGCACGTTTTAATGTTACGTTCTACCTTGAGTATCATTGCACGGCGGTGTCTGAAGTCTCTACAGGTAAAAAGTGAAGCGTAAATCCTTTTCAAACTCCCAAGGTTCAGGAAACGGAATACACATTCAGTTCAGGAAACTTTGGAAATTACGAAAAAAAAGAAAAAAAAATTAAATGGGTTATTTTACAAAATCTGCACACGCTTGTTTTACGTTGATGTTCCGAAATGAAGATCGGTGAAACTTGATCTTTTTCCTTTTGCCTGGCACGTGATCAAAAGTCACTTCCTCAAAGAAGAATCGTCGCTGATATTTTCGGCAAAGAAGTTGATTTGCATTAGCGAGAAGTTTGTTCCACAAACAGCGCGTTGATGATCAGAAGTCAATAAATAAATTTGGGTCATCGCGCAACATTTTATCGCAAAGGGCTCAAATGTCAACAGAAATTTGCATAAAGTTGTTTACAAGAACGAGAATCTAGCGCCGCGATAGACGATGGCCTTCCCTCTTGAGTAGCTTAAATTTTTATCAGACCATTCTGGAATTGATTCTGCAAACGAGATTCATGTTCGACATGAAAGAAATTATTATTAATCGATGCGCTAACATTTATTCCCGGAGAAACACAGGACGACCTGTTGAATTTTAATCACGTAAATAAAATAGAGGCAAGACATAAAGTGTTGAGATTAAACATGAAGTTGAGTGAGGTTCTACTTTTACGCTTACATGCAATCTTTCATTCATTGCCTCTATATTATTTGCGAACGTAAATTTCATGCACGTTTGCCCGTAAAAAATACATGGCAAAGGAAATCAACTGTTAGACAGGTAGTTGAAGTTGCTTCCAGTAGTAAATACTTGATATCTCAAGTATTTATAGAGTGCAACATGACTTCACATCTTAACAACTGCAAAAATCTATCAATTAAATACATACAACAAACGGAATCTATTTAATCGTGGCGATCCAGTAATTGTAACAATATTCTGAGAAACGTAATGCCTCAATACACCACAATACAGGATTCCCCCGCTATAATATTTTCTCATCCTACTTGGGTTATTTACTTTTTTATACGCGTGCATGTCATGCATAATTACACGAAAAACAAAGGCCTCGATTTGGGAAAATTCACATCATCGCCAAACTTAACTTACATGCATCATTTCAGTCATTGCCGAAATAAACTGCATGCTCATCATGAGACTCATTTGCATACAACGAAAGTTGTCATGATTCTTAACCCCAGTTTCCATGGTCTTTGCTAGGAATACCTGGCCTACAATTTAGCTGCCACACAAAAAAACGAGAAAAAAAAAAGAAACACCTGCATTTTAAGAGTCTTGCTCTGCTAAAGCAAGCTCAACTAATTACTCATAATTTACGCTCTAAACAACTGCAATAACGTTTCTTACTACTATTTTACACCACTTGTAGTAGCACACAAATGCAAATGTTCTAAAAGTTTCAATCTGAAAAGTGAGTGCTGACAGTGATTCCGAGGAGAGCTATAATATTGGCATTTTTTTAAAATGAACTTGTATAGAGAAGAGTATTAAACTTTCCCTTATTATTGTGTGTACATAGATATTTATTAGTAGATAAATACCCTTGGAAATAAATTGGTGAGATCCCATTCAGTAATATCAGCTTTGAGTCCTGCAGTAAAAAGTCTCCCTTTGCACCAGCCCAGAGCTTCCACTGACAGACCATTACCACCTGGAATTACCTATATTTTACAAAAAGATTCAAGCAATTGCCTGTCAATTACAAACAAGACTGATATGCAAGTTAACTACCCCTGGCCAGGCTAGTACTTTATTCATACTGAACTAGAAAAACTTATCTTGCAAACCCTTACAAACTAAGCCCTACCAGGGGGTGACCAGCCCAATTGTCCTTCTGTTTTCTCATGCATTCTTCTTTTTTTGGTTCAATGTCTTTTGTGATTCTTAAATTAATTTTCATTGCAAAGCATATTCAGCATTATTTCATTGCTGGATGGAAAAAAGGTAAGTTTGCAAGCATGTTCAACAGCCAATTGGTGCACAGAGTTGAAAGCAGTCTTTGATCCATCAGCAGGGACGGAACCAATTTGTTGTGGGTTTGCTTTTGCGTAACATGAATTCAAAGGTAGATTCCATGAAAAGGTAAGGTTTTGATGGTAAAAAGCTGAACTGAAATGCAGACATAACCAGCAAAGTAAGCACACTCATCTATGACAAAAACATTCGTTTATCTCAGTTTTCACTCTAATTTGAAGCTACTGGTCCAAATTGCTTTCAATGAATGTTCTTTGTAAAATACTTCTGTCATGAAAATTTATCACCAAAAGCTTTTCTTGATCACCAACGTGGCCACAAAAACAGTCCAAACAACAGAGCTAGTTTAAAGCTTGATGATGTCCTTGTGGTCCCCAACAGATATATAGCAAATTATTCCATAAAGGTTGCTTTGGGCATTGGGAATTAGCAGTTGGGTGTTGGGCATTTAAGCATACAGAACAATGTAATGATTTGCCTCAGTGACCACCAAACAATAGCTTCCTAATGCCCAATTCCTAATGCCCAAAGCAACCTCCATTGAATCAGCTATATACATTTGTAAATACACTGTACAATGGAAATAATTATGTATGGGCCAATTGAGTCTGCTACTGTACTACCCATGCAAAATTCTTGTGAGAACATGATGGTTGCCTGTTTCAACAATCTACAAGACTAGGAAACTGTTGTGATACAAGCAAAACAAAATTCCAAATGATTTTTGGCTATTGTGAACAACAACTGGAAGGAAAGGTAGAGCTCAATAAGAAAATGGTGTTGTAAGTTGTGAGAGAAAAAAGAAATATTAATATCTTCAAAATGTGTGGTTCCAGAAAATATCCATACCCCACCCCCCACAGAAGGGATTGGATTTTCCAGGGGGGAGGGGGAGTCAATTTGCCTCATTTTCCAGTGGGGACGGGGGGTCACCATAGGGAAATATTTCCAGAGGGTTCTTGTGACGCGTAAGAGAGTAATTACAAAGAAAAAACACAAAACTTTACCATGACAATTTATTTGTGAAGATATAAAACACAACGAAAGTGGATTAAATGGACATAACAAACACATTTTGTCAGTCCCTTGGCGTGACCTCTCATGCGAAAACGTTCCTTACGGTTTGCCGTTTTTGAACAGATTTGGTATCCGTTTGAACAGCTTGGGGTGTCCGTTCAAAAAAATTGTCATCTGTTCGAACGACTTGGGCTATCCATTTGAAAAAAGTCGTGATCCATTCAAACGGCTTGGGCTATCCGTTCGAAAAAGAATTTGTGGACCGTTCGAGCTACCGAAGCTATCTGTTCACAGATAAATTTTAGCCGAGTTTCCGTCCCAAAACCATTTCGTCATTAGCCACTCACGTCGAAGGATCTGTTATTCTCTGGGTCACGCACGTTACGAATTTTGTTCACAAATGTATCATATATGAATAGTTACGCATCTCTGCTCCTTTGTAGCAATCTTTGCTTCCACATTATCAATTGATTATCAACAGTATTGACATACTTTTTAGTCAATACTTAAGTTGTTTTTTTTTTCAACAAGTTTCCCGAAAATAATATTTTTTGTCTTTTACGCTTTTGTAGTTTATGAGCCAGCGGAACAAAACTTCAGTTTCCTTACATGTTGAGAACACAAAACATGAAAAATAAATTTTTTACCTGGTTGAATTTCTCCTTCTCTTGACTGTTTCTCTATCACAAAGAAGTTACCGAGTCTTTTCCAGCACGTTAAACTTTGACAATTTTCTTATCAATGAAATCGGCGACGCGCAATTTTACCGCAAACTCAAATATGCAAATTTGGTAGAACGAAATTCGATACTCACACTATCTTATCATGCGACAAGGTCCTGATCTCTTTAATTATACCTCTTTAAGTGTTGCTTTCTTCTTGACGCAGTGCGTGAAAAGTACAGTTATGTTCGCTAGGTGATCTTGCATTTCATTTGCAGAATTGTAGAATTCAACAGAAATTACATGAAATGCACAAAATTTGTCTGTGACTTGAGGGCAAAAGTTCTCATATTAAAGGAATTCACTTGTCTGTTATACAATTCAACAGAAAATACATGAAACTCACAAAATTTGGCATCCTAGTGAACAAAACTACTTCTTTGTTCATTTGAATTAGAGATAGCAAAATTTCCAGGGGGTGTGCGAAAATGTTGGAAATTCTGGAGGGAAGGGGGGGGGGTAAATTTTGGGGGCCAATTTTGGAAAATCCAGAGGGGAAGGGGGGGTCAAACAGCAAATCCCTTCCGTGGGGGGGGGGGGTATGGATATTTTCTGGAACCACACAATAGTAAAATAAGCAAAGACTACTGAAGCCGTAGAAGACATTTGAAGAATAGCTGGGTCAAAAGGGCATAAAAATCAAATAAATAAATTACTTATATGTAACAGGTAGAAAGACATAATTATGCTTACAAAGCAAGTACACCTATACAACTGTACAGCATGCATAAAATTATACTGGTAGCTAAGCTGTGGGCTTGGCTTATCTACATTTTTTAAACACCTAATCAATACTATTTTTATTTATTTTATTTGATCTTATCTTAACTACATGTATAAGGCAAAAAATAAATAGCTTGGAATCATAAAATCTAAGATTAAAATTTAGAGTATATCAGATTGAAAGAAAGGGTGGGAGTACATTAATACTATTGATCATTTTTTGCCAGAACTACCAACTCACAGTTTCTTGGAACCAATCATCTTTGATATTCCAGATTTCTACACTACCATCTGACCTGAAAAGAAAAATAGTAATACAACGACAATAATTACAAGCAGGGCTGTTAGGGAATTTCAAGACAGTTGCCAGATGAATATGCCCTTAGTAAGTGTCGTTTTCGTCACCTAGGAAGGTATTTGCGTTCTATTTTTGTCTTCTTTTTTTTTTTATTCCTTTATTTTTCTTTTTCTTTTCTTTTCTTTTTCTTTTATAGGGAAATAGCCAGGGCAGGGATCATGCTGATAGTGGCCAGGAGAAACAGACAAAAAGCAATGAACATTCCAAATAATTAAGTTAGGCAGGAGATACTGGTAAATACAATACTGTCTTGCTCCTTTAACAGCCATCTCTCAAGCTTCCCAAAAAGGAGTAGCTAGACTTGGTCCTTGCTGATGTTTAGTCCTCATGAGGACCTGCATACGACTTTTTTTTGCACACCACAGGACGCTGGCATTGTTACGGATGCTAGTGTGTGAGTGACAAGCAATAAACTTCCTACTGCGAAAAGCAACTGATTAGTTTCTTTACCATTTGGTCCAATCATCAGTTGTCAGTTATTCCATAAAGCGTCACATTTTTTAACAAGATTAAGGCAGAATCTGGCAATAGAGTAATTGAGAAGAGATTACAATTTAACATACGCCAGAGATTTGCGTTCTTAGCTCACGAGTTATCCAGAATAATCACGCGTGGCCTACGACTCAAGCGATGTCTTTCTGGTCTTTGCCAGTATTAAAATGTAGCGTAGTGCCATATTGTTTTGAATATACGTATTAAGATCGCAGAACTCAAATAGAATCGGACGAATGTTGCTACATAAAAAGCATTCATTCAAAATGTTTATTATGTAAAACCCGCAGTCCATGAACAAACACCATACTAGTCATACTACTCATCATAAAGGAAAGATGGATGCCATAGCAAATTGTAATAATTGATCTCTGAGGCTTTGTGTGTGCACATTCAACAAATTTCTTTGGCGTGAGCTTGCTTAACTGCAGTTTCCGAAGTGAATCGCGTGTCACGCATGCGCTGGTGCGTTGCGTTCATATTTTTATGGCATCTCTCTGATGGAATCTTGTACATTCAATGCACTATAGTTAAAAATTCAACCAAAACAATGGAAATAATAATTGATTTTTTCTTTATATGGAAGTAGTGTGACATTATGATTTGACCTCTGATCGAATACATGTAAAGCCAGCATTGCATTCTTGAGATGTAGATTTAGATGACATCACGAGAAGAAGATGGTCTTCCTATGCCTTCAGAATGTTTCTGAGCCTAATGACAAGTCATTACGATTAATGTGTAGATGATCTAATCCGACTGCATTTGTTTGGTGACTATTATGCATGATTTGCTGTTAATGATGTAAGGCGTGTGCAAACAGGCTACATAAAAAATTTCCGCTATTTAATGACGACGGTTTACGAAATACTGTTGTTAGGTAGATGAAGGCTGCTGCTATTTAACTCTTTATCCAGTCAAGAAAAAGCTATGTACTGCAGGATTTTAGAAAATTAGGTATGGGAATGGAAATCATTGTTAAGGGAGTCTTTTGATGAAAAGCTGCTTGGGGGAAAAAGGTGAGTTTCACTTTTGCCTTTAGTATTCGTAAGATTCTTGTGAGAGGACTGTATGGAAATTAAGAACAAGGAATGGAACGCCGGAAGAATGCCGGAAGAGAAATCACTAAGAAGCACCTCAACATATTTCAAGGGTGACTATTTTTTTAAAAAGACAATGGCTTAACTCTTAAGTGCGGCGAGTTTTATTTTAATGCCATGGTGTTCTAACTCCCAAGTGCGATTTTTAAAGCAACAGAAACACTAGGCGGCGCGCCTGTGTTTCTGTGACTTAGACACCACGGTATTATTAAATTACTTGCGCACAGAAGAAAACTAAGTGTTAATATGTCTGATATGTTTTAGCTTGAGTACGCGAGTTGTATTGTAATTCCATGGTGTTATAAACTCCTAGGTGTGATTTAAAGCAACAGAAACACTAGGTGGCGCGCCGTGATTCTGTGAGTTTAGACACCATGGCATTATGAAATCGCTTGCGCTCCAAGTGGAAATTTAAAGGTTAAAACGATTTAGCTTGAGTAAGCGAGTTTTACTGTAATTCCATGGTGTTCTAAACTCCTAAGAGCGACTTTTAAAGCAACAGAAACACTAGGTGGCACGCCAGTGATTCTGTGAGTTAGACACCATAGTGTTATGACATCACTTGCCCACAGAACAAAACTAAGGGTTAATATGTCTGATATGTTTTAGCTTGAGTGAGTTCTATAATTGTAATTCCATGGTGTTCTAAACTCATAAGTGCCATTTTTAAAGCAACAGAAACACTAGGTGGCGCGCCCGTGATTCTGTGAGTATAGACACCATGGCAATATGAAATCACTTGCGCACCAAGTGGGAATTAAAGGTTAATATGTTTTAGCACAGGTGAGTGAATTTTATTGTAATGCCATGGTGTTCTAAACTCCTAAGAGCGAGTTTCAAAGCAACAGAAACACTAGGTGGCACGCCCGGGATTCTGTGAGTTAGACACCACAGTATTATTAAATCACTTGCGCACAGAAGAAAATTAAGAGTTAATATGTCTAATATAAATATGTTTTAGCTTGAGTAAGCGATTTTTATTGTAATGCCATGGTGTTCTAAACTCTTAAGTGCCATTTTTAAAGCAACAGAAACACTAGGTGGCGTGCCTGTGATTCTGTGAGTTTAGACACCGAGGCAATATGAAATCATTTGTGCACCAAGTGGAAATTTAAAGGTTAATATGATTTAGCTTGAGTAACGAGTTTTATTGTAATGCCATGGTGTTTTAAACTCCTAAGTGCGATTTTTATCGTGCAACAGAAACACGAGGTGGTATGCCCGTGATTTTGTGAGTTAGACAGCAAGGTATTATGAAATCACTTGCACAATAACTGGAAAATTAAGGGGTTTACAAGCTTGTACACAAAAGCTATATGTGTGTCTTAGAGTGTTTTTTAATAGGAGATTTTCTTGTAGGAGACCCTCCGCCAGTTATATTTTTCGGCATTTATTAGTAAAAGATTTGTTTTCTCGTTACAAATACAACATGTGTGGCAAAATTCCAATTTCCGGCACTTTTAGTACGTCCTGGAAACTGGAAAGCACAGTATGTAACCATTTATTCGGAAGAAGGCTTTTCTTTTTCTTTTTGATATTTATTTAGAACAATACTGTTGTGATCCGTTCACGTAGTATCTCTGCTAATGCGGTTACATTTCGAAAACAATATTTTTGTGGTCTCGCGTTCTCCTCGCGCGCGTTCTTTTGCTTTTAATCACCTGGAGACTTTGGTTTGGTTTTGGTTTTTACAAAGTAGTAGTTTGGTAGTTACAAAGAAACATTTCGACGCGGCCCACACAATGTAAATAAATCTAAGTAAAGTGGCCGAGTGTTCTGAAGTTGCTCTGTTTCAAAGACATTTGTAATTTTTAAAATAAAATCGATGATGTATTTACAGAGGTTCCGGTTATCGTTTGGGGACAAAAGCAAATTTTTATTGTGTTAATTGCTCCTGTCGGAATAAAATGTCATATGAATTAGCGAGATGACGTGCGAGTAATGAGTTCCAGGGATTTCTTATGGTTCCCAACCTACGGTCCTGCACTATGTTATCAACACTTCCTTTGTTTTATATTGCACAATCAGTCAATTCAGATGACTGTCGTGCACGTTTCTAAGGCTTGCGGGTCATCATGTTCCAAGACTATGCAAAAGGCAGATGTCTCTAAGATTGAATCCACCACGGGTAGATAGGGAAGCCAAAGTTTAGAGCACAAAGTTCCATGTCGATTTGGTCTAATCAAGGGCTACAGCGCTTAAAACAACAGTTTCTCTATCTCCTTGCGGTGGTCAATCTACCATATCAACTCAACGGATGAAACCAAATCTCTGTATTTTAGTCTCCCACTGATGCAACACCAAAGTTTCTTTAAAATTTTCATTCCTAACAGAATTAGTCACTTACTTTGCCAAGGAGACCGTATCATAAAAGTTTAAGCAAACGTATGAATATCATAAAACAAAGGTAATGCAACCAACTATAACTTCATCTGAGTTTTGATGAGGACATTAGTTCGTTAGTTCTCGCGAGGGTTTCGATGAGTGGTTATAAAGCTTAAGCTTGCATGTATGATGGGGTCTGTGTTTTTCAGACACCCGAGCAGGTAAAACATTAAATTGACTGCTGGCTATCTCATTATTGCTACACCAGCCCCCACCGTAAAACGTATAGCGACGGTTATGATTACAACAGTTCAGCGTGATCTGCAGATTGCATGTCATGCAAAACAACAAAGAGATTTGTACCTGGAAAGAGCAAGTTTGGACGGCTCGTTGGTGTCTTCAACTGCCAGACAATGGATTGCTTGCGGTACATAGTCCACAAACCGAACCCTGTGAACTAAAAACTTCATTTAAAAGCTGTTTCATTCATTCCATACACAAGAAAATTATTAGATGTCAACAAAACTACATGTGTCTCAAGACCAGACCAAGACTCCACGTGTTGCAAATTGATACGTCATGTAGGAATCACTGTTTCTTATTATCAACGGCCTGGCTGCTCAGCCAACATTGGTACCATGTGGTGGTAGTTTTTCTAGCTGGGCCAAAATTAACTTGTCTAATTTGGATTGTATGTTGGACGACAGATGGCAAGGAAACGACGGGTAGGATTTTTTTGACGCTTTAGGAAACCATCCAAGAAAGTGTCTGCATAGCATCATGCATTTATCATGCTCGCATTGACCGACTCAGACTCTAGATATATTCACGTTACTCTTTCGCTACACCAGGGGGCAATTTAATAAAACTTCTACATGTATACACACGCATGTAATTCACAAGTGTGCCCATTGTTGTAAATTACACTTGTAATAGTTTTTTTAAATTGACCCCCAGTACAGTACTTCGTACATGAAACAACGCTTCCCTTTGTTGGTAGTTTCTTTCATTTCTTTAATGAAAGAGGTGTTTTATTCCTTATTCTTACAACATGCTCAGCCACAAATTGCTATGTTGTAAGTTGAAACACTATTTTAGCTCTCATACATTGGGTGCGATCCTTAAGGAAAACCAGGATTTGTCTAACTTGGCTCTCATTTGGACCAAAAGAACGGAATTTGGGTTCCTAATTGCCAATATTACCATGACAGCAGGCGCAAAATAAAACTACAAATTTTGTCGTGGAGGTTTCTTCCACAAGTCAATGCACAATGTTATATGCCACTGAAATTCGTGATTAGACTGAAAGTTTACGCCCAAATCATGAATTTTACACGCCAATCAATTCAAAACTTCATCATGACCCCCCCTCTTGGCAACTCCCGCACATTTACATTTTTCTGACAGACCTCAGTGTTACAGTGTGACATCTGTAGCCATCGATTTCAAGAAAATAACAATACATTCCAAGCAAGTTTGTTGTGGACCAATCAGCAGCTCATTCAAAGAAAAAAAAGTTATATCAAGTCCCAATTATTTTTATTATTATTGATAGCAAATGTTTTAAAGAAACTACAATGTTTCACCAGAAAATGTTTTTCCACTCAAAACTTTACATATAACACCGAGGACACATTATTAATTGTTGGATACAAGCTGTTTATTATTTTTGTCATCTACCTGCAAGTCCTTCACTGCCATTACTTCGCTTTGTAATGACATGTGACTTCAGGTCAAAATATGTTCTAATGACTGAGACACAATCCTCATGATGTTGGTCAGCAATACATTAATGACTGACCACTGACTGGTGTGCTAAGAGTACACCTCCCAATGTCCAAGCAGCCCCCCATGCAGTTTTTAGGGTCATTTATAGGGTTTTGTTTTAGATGCAGACAGAAAAATACAGTCGATCACTCTTTTCAATAACCTTAACTAGCTACCTTGATTTACATATTAATTGTCGTTAACTAAAATACTCACTTTAGTTTATAACCACTTAGATAACAACTTTAATACCCCTATTTACGTAAATATTGTATTAACTAAGAATTCGGACATCCATCAAAGAAAGCGTCCCCACAGGTCATGTTATGAGGCATGTAAATGTAACATTTTATTTCAAAAAATTTTCATCATTAATTTTTTAAATATATTTTAAGCTTTCGGTAGACATTTTTACTGTTTAATATATATAGAGTTAGAATTCTTATAATGCTGATTTTACTTCTTAGATGCTTTGTACAGTGTAATGAGGGTCACAAATTTATCAGTGTTTTATTAACTACTGTCAAGTGTTACCCTCAATAAATAAAGCCTTTACTTACTTACTTACTTTACTTTGTCATGAGTTCCTCCCCCACAACAGTGAGAGGGAAGCTAATGTCTAAGTCGTTGCAATACATGTAGGAAAAGAAATACATTACAATGTAATAGAATACAGGGGTGGATCCAGAAAATTCTGAAAGGGGTGGCTGGGATACTTAACAGTTCTATTCTAGGTTCTTTTTTATTTTTCTGACTCAGAATTATATAAAAATTATACAAAATTTCGAAGGAAAAGGGGTAACCACAGCTCCTTCGGCCCACCCCTAACTCCACCCATGGAATGCATGTGAGATGAGTTTGTACACCTGGAGCTCTAGGACTGTATTAAGTGGCCACTCTTGGAAACTGAAAAGTGGTAAATTAATGTGATCAGTAAGATAGTAAGTAAGATAGTAAGTAAGTATCAGTAAGTAAGATTTCAGTTTTGTAGGCTGTATAATTTTAATGTGTAATGTTAATAATTGTAATTTTGTCAGTGTCTTACCTTTCTAGGGGTATGTTATGTGTACATTGTTATGAATTTGGAATAAAGGTCAGGCTGTGGTGGTTGGCTTTGCATGGCTACCAGTGGTGTGTGGGGGACAACATCCATTGGTGCTATCCATTTTCAAAATGGATCATGAATCCAATGATCTGCTTTTGGATTTATTTTGTAATTTTGTAACTTTATTTGATTTATCACAAAATACAAATAACGATAAAACAAGACAGTTACACAAAAGCAAATGAAAGTGGCGAGGAAGCCCAAAAAGAAACCATGAGGCTTATAGACATTGGGCTCCCTCAGAGTAAAAATAAAATTAACATTAACGGTAAGGCCAGGATCGAAAGTAAAATACAATGAAGGTAAGTATAAATTAACTAATTACATAGACTGAGTTCACAGAATATAAAGTATGGTACAAGTAACAATAAGAATGAAAATAATATCAGACATCTGAAGAAATATAACCATTTACTACAAGATTTATAACTAATAATTCATATATATATATATTTTCAATTTCGTTTTGAATAAGTGGAGAGAATTAGATTCTTTAATATCATTTTCTATAGAGTTATAATAAGTAGGTCCTTGGAAACTGACAGAAAATTTATGAAGGTTTGTTCTACAAGAAGGAAGGTGAAAATCGTTCGCGTGTCTAGTGGCATAGCTATGGACTTGTTTGTTTAAAGAAAAATAATTGTTGAACTGTGAAGGCAAAAGAGAATGGTTAAGAGCAAACATAAGTTTACCCAATTCTAGCTGTGCAATATCGGAAAGTTTTAGTAGTTCTAATTCTTTGAAAATAGGGTCTGAATGAGAATCGAAAGTTGATTTAGAAATAATTCTGATAACTCGCTTTTGCAAAGAGACAGGACGGCGAAGATTGGTTTTGTAAGTAGATCCCCAGACAATAATACAATAATGAAGATAAGGATAAACAAAACAATAATAAAGAGTTTTTAGACACGGTTTAGGTAGAGAAAATCTTGCTTTATTAATGACACCTATTGATTTCGAGATTTTACGAGCTACTTGAGAAATGTGCGGTTTCCAAGACAGATGTTCATCAAGGACTACACCGAGGAAGACCGTTTCCTTAACCTGTTCGATTCTCTGGTCATTTATGCATATTTGCATTGGAAAATGATACCTTTTCTGTCTAGGCTTAAATAACATAAAGTTTGTTTTCTTCAGGTTTAAGGAGAGTTTGTTTGCCTTAAACCAAGTGGATAATTTATTAAGTTCGGAATTGAGTGATGCTGCCACGTATACAGGATCTTTATGGGACATAAATAAATTAGTATCATCAGCGAATAAAATCAGCTCGACGAGCGTAGATACGTTATTTAAATCATTAATATAGAGCAGGAAAAACAAGGGGCCTAAAATGGATCCCTGAGGGACACCACAGCAGATAGTTTGAGGAGAGGAGCATTGACCGTTAAATTGAACGAATTGCAACCTGTTGGAGAGGTAGCTTCTAACCCAGTCCAGAGCCACGCCACGTATACCATAGTGTTCGAGTTTGTCAAGTAGAATATTATGATCGACGGTATCAAAGGCCTTAGAAAGATCAAGGAAAGTGCCAACGGCATGTTCATTGCGATCAAGAGCAAGGGAGATTTTTTCATGTAGGTCAATCGATGCTAACGAAGTTGAATGATTTTTCCTGAAGCCAAATTGATTATCACATAGAATTTCTAGTTTACTTAAATAATTATAAAGACGATTACTCAAAATTACTCAAATTAGTGATCAAATTAGTGATTAGTGATCACTGATGGTGTAATGGTTTATAGTTGCCAGTTACCAGAGTGCTGATAAACAAAATAATGTTACCAGCAAATCACGGCAAACATCTGGAACCCGTAAAGGGGGGGGGGGAAGGGGGCAAGCTTAGTTTTGTGAAGCTCTGATCAACCATTGTTGGTGTCCATGAATCGTTTTGTACTGAAAGACTGTTCTGTGAATCATGATTGAAGTGCACTCCATGAAACATGAACTACGAAATTCCTCAATTATGTACATGTACATTGAAATAAACTGAAGAAAATAATTCATCAATTTATCCAAACAACCTTAACTAGCATCTTGCAGCTTGTTTTAACTTCAATTTTGAGTCTTTTGATATAACTTCACAATTTAGTGCAATAAGACCCACCTATAGCAGGGCTTTCCTATACCTAGGGAATTTATGGCCATGCAGAGATCAACCAAAAACGTGACCAAGAAAAAATACAGCATTCATTTTGTGACTCATAAAATGCTAACTTGTTGTTCGCGAACTCATGACAAGACCCCCCTCTGACCCCCCTCTGTAACAACTGATCATATTAATTTGCCACTTTTCACTCCCCAAGCATGGCCACTCACTACGGTCCTAGAGCTCCAGAGGTATAAACTTGTCTCGCATGTATCTATGACATCGAACTGTATTTCTTTTCCTACATGTATTGTAACAACATTAACTTCCCTCCCATCCTTTTTGGGAGAGGAACACATGACAGAACCCTAGGAACTGCGTGGGAGACTAGTTGGACATTAGGAGGTGTACACTTAGCACACCAGTCAGTGGTCAATCACTTATGGGCCTTGTAAATATATATTTTTCTCTTTAAGGAGAAAAGAACAGGCAGGAGAAGAGCACAGTCTAAAGTTCAGGAGTGGATAGAAGTTGTTAGAAAAAATGAGTTATTTGAAAAGTATTATAAAGTAAGTAGTGTATTGATAAGTGAAAGGTAATATCATTTTTGTGGCTTACTGCCTCTTAAAGGTGATAAGCCACTATGTTATCACGTTAAGTGAGTGAGTGAGTGTAATAATAGAATCCAAGCCCACAACGAACTCACTGCTGATTTCGATCCAATATTTCCCGATCTTTGCCCCTTTTTATTTTGGAGCATTTGTCGAGGATAGCTTTGAATGGCCTTGAATGTTACTCGGAATTAGCACATGATCACACGAAAAATCTTCGATTTTCCATGTGCTCTCAAAGCTGCCAAGTCATTTGATGCATCAACTGGAAGACGAGTTCTTTTTTCATAATGAGTGTAAACCATTTAAGTGTAAGAATCAAGCACAGCTGTCTTCGCATTTATGGAGAACTTGTTAGCAAAGAATTCAGTTTCCAGTGTTTCAGAAAATGTACGAGTCCATCAAAGTGCAATTGGGTGTTTACTGCAGCTGAACATCTTTGCCTCGCGGCGATCTCAAACCCTTATAAAGAGTCATTCCTCCTTCAGGCATGTTCAAAAGTTGTAACTCGAAGAGAAAGAAATCAAGAGCTGTTCAGAGTATGATTAAAAAAAGTTACATAGTCACTGAAAGTTAGAAAACTAAGACAGAAGTGTAAGAAAATGCTTTAAAAAACAGTTCCTGGTTTACATAGTATTGCGGCAAGTTACAAACTCTGGAAAACAAGATTCATCTGGAGAGAAGATAGTTTCTATAGCTACTATTGTAAGTCAACAAAAAAGTCATAAGTGGTATATAATTCATCTGAATGAAGCCATTGTTATTCCTCTAGCTTTGTGTTCTGCTTAGTTTTGCCATGTTTTTGAGTGAGATCGTAGATCACAACCTTTCAGTTTGACCTCATTTAGCTTTTGTGTTTTCTTCTCTTGTTTCATATCATACATGTATGACTGTTGACACGAGTTACATGCTATTTGTCACGGTTGTTCTTCTTTGGTAACCTAGCATGTTTCTTCGCATGTTTGTTAAATTTTTACATTATAGAGTAGTTTTACTCTCCTTAGTGTATTGTTTAGCCGTGTTAGTAATTTTTAGCATCATTGTTTTCTTCTAGCACTATTGCCCTGTCTTATTAACAGTGTTACTTGAAATAGTTATAGTTATTAATTCTTTTAATATTGATAGATGATTTACATATAATACTTTAACCTTAAAGTATGAAATATACAATATTGTTACAAGCATCTCAAATACGAACTATTAGGTTGCATTTAACACAACTCTTTATTATAAATTCTGGCTTACCTTTTGGAGTGGTACCTATTAAACATTAGCAGGACATGTACCCCTGTATCAATATGTCACACTTTCAGACTGTATACCTATAGTTTTCTTGCTATTTGTTCTACTCTGGTTTCCTTGTGGTTGATTCCATTATGATTTAGCTTAGTATGAAGTCTGCAAATGTCAGCTGATGTTGTCCCTTATTTAGGTGAACTGTTATACAGTAAGCCACATGCAGTCATAGAGTGCCTATTTTAGACTTTGGAAAACTTAACATCACTTTCATGCAAAACATGGTTCAATGTTATGTTTTGTCATTGACTTACAATGCAGTATGTGAAACGTGTCTGTACTTGGCGGGGCTTAGTGCAGGTCACAGGTCACAGGTCACAGGTCACAGGTCAGGTCACAGGTCAGGTTACAGGTCACAGACCAGGTGGCAGGTCAGACCACAGGCCACAGGTCAGGTCACAGGTCAGATCACAGGTCACACACAAAAACAATAGGACACTGGACAAAACTGTTCTTGATTGACATTTTTTTATGCAAAAATAAAACAAGCCAAGGAACCTCGATTATATTTTTTCTGTTCTGAACTTTACCAAATCCCACACATGAGAAAATATATTCATGTTGATCACGCAAGGAGGACATGCGGTACAGCGTAACCAAAGTTGGTAACGAAATCACAAAGGTACGCAAAATCACGTGATTTGTTAGAAAAAACGAATCTCAAAACGAAGGGTTGTTGCGTTAAGAATATCATGACGTGTTTGTGGATAACGAAAGAAAAACTTAAAGGACAGTTGAAAACTTATTTGACCACTGAAATATGGCAACTTTCTACAGACTTTCCTCATCCTAAACTCTTCTTGCCACTAGATCGGTCTTCCATCTCTTTTGAAGATGGCGGCCCACTGCTCGCGCTTCGTACCACTCACAAAATACTGCTGTGTTAAAGTGTAGTCGGCTAAGAACTTCAGACACTGCTATTTGGGCCTCTCGAATAGTTGCTGGACCATATTTCTCGGCTCTTCTCCCAAGAGCTTGCCATTTTCTCATGCACAACAGCTTGAAAACCTCTGTTGGATTTGCCTCGTGGGCCTTAGGTGGGAGCATTCCGCCATTACAACTTGAATCTTTGACTCTGTAAACTGCTGATATATCAAAGGATTACAGTGCTGCATTTCAATGACTCGCTCCAAGTTATTTTGGCTGCATGGTTTATTTGGAGATGACATTCTAATAACACGACAACACTTCGTTTTCAGTGAAAAACATGTGATTTGTTTTTTGTTCAAATCACATGATTTTGTACACCTTTGTGATTTCGTTACGAAGTTTGGATATGCCGTATGATCAGCATGAAAATATTACTCCATGTGTGGAATTTAATATTGTTTAAAGGACAAAAATATCATCAAGGTTCCTTGGCTTATTTTATTTTTGTATAGTAAAACGTCAGTCCAGAACAGTTTTGTCCAATGTCCTATTGTTTTTTTTGTGACCTGTGACCTGTGGCCTGTGGCCTGTAACCTGTGAGCTGACCTGTGACCTGTGACCTGCACTTTAGCCCCGCCGGTCTGTACTTTATGAAATGTTTAATAAACGAGCAGCAGTGTTTTATTTTGGCTCGTGATTTTACACCCGCTAAAACACGTGCCACGAGTTTGTTAAACATTACTTCAAGGACAATCCTGGAAAAGCGTGTCTCAATGGAGTTGATAACAATGACGCTATTGTGAACGTTGGAAATTAGTATATGGAAAAAAACATTGCGCATGAAGTTATTATCCAAGACAATCAAATCTCAGACATGTTTAGAAATTTTCCAGTCTATGAACAACATTAGCCAAAGAGGACATGGTGTCTTGTTCCAGAGCTTTTTCGGAAGCCTAAAAATGCCAAGGAAGAGGGGAAGTTAATCAAAAATGGTACCCCAAAGTCAACAAGTGCAGTGAAAAAGTAGTCTTTGAAAATATTGTTTCAGTATTCGAAGTCTTGAGTGCAGTGCTTGCTATAGCCAACATTACTGCTGAATGATTGAACATTTGTCTGATTAAATTGGTGAAAGAACAAAGTTTCATTTTGTGCAGTAGTAAATTTGCTGTGTGTGTTATTCTGAAAGAACATTAAATATTCACCAAGAATTTGTTGTGAAAGTTGCTGTGCTGAAATTAATATTCATAAGTCACGGGCAGTGACACTATATCTGATAAAACACCGCATACTAATAAGGGGAGGTTTTATCAGAAATAATGTCACTGCATATATGATGTATTATCGATCATTTGATAGGTCAATGGGGTTATGAATTAGTAATGACTTTTTGAAGTACATGTAAATTGAAGATTTATGTACCTTGTGCATAAAATTAATCCTGGGGACTTATTTAATGGAAATATTTTACTGGAATGAAAATAGATATGAATGTCAGTAATGCTAGAATTAACTGATTATTTGATAGATTCAGCAAATTGTTCCTGATGATGAGTTTGCTGATTTTATGGAAGCCATTCAGAGGGAACTTCCGAGTACATTCCGCATCACTGGAACCAGGAGGTAAATAAGCACTGCTGATCTCAATTTATTTGTGATATTCAAATTTGCTCAAGCAGTCAGCTCATCATGTGCATAAAAAATACACATGTACACCTCTGTACCTTTAAGTCTGTAGTACAGTTTGCATATTATTTGGCACTTGTCACAGTAATTTTTGATGCAGCCATCATTCTTTAATTCTAGGAGTACAAAATGGACATGTATCAATAAAGATTAAGGTGTTGAATTTTATGCTTGGTAAATGTAAGGCATGTGTGCGCAAAGACTAGGACTCAATTTGTTCTTGTTACACACTTGTTACATGCTGATTGTCATGTTTCTTCACAACTGAATGAGTCTCATTCAAGCCTGTTGATCAAAAACTTCAATCTCACACCAATTCATGCCTGCAGACAATTATTTCTCATGTCTGGTGGAAAATTGATCATTATTTTTCAGACAATGGAGGAAAAATTAGATTTGATTTCAATGGAAACTACATACAGCTGTACTGTAATTTTGCTGGGAACTTAATTTCACGCTTATATTGAGAAAGTTTTTTGTGCAAGTGTTCTCTATTCATTTTCTTTTTCAAAAAGTCGGACCATTTTTACGTTTAAAAACAAAATGGGACAAGCAAACATACCAGAAACTTCCACCTATCAGCCCTGATCCCTCCCCCCAAGTTAAAAGCCCTGTATCCATCTATAAACATAAGTGACCAGCACTTCTTACATGATTGTATCTTGTTTTAAAGCACTTTTTCTGATCCCACTAATGACTATAAGTCACTCCACCTTTTCTATTCCTTCTATGAGCCACTCCATTGATAAAGCTTATAAGCGGCAGTAATGTGACCTTTCATGCGAAAACGTGCTATAACGACTTTCCGTCACATGGGTGAAACGAACGGCCATCGAACGGGTTACAAACGGGTCACCAAGCCGTTTTAAACGGGTTTCAATGAGTGTTCAAACGGGTGATTAAGTATTCCGAACGGGTAGCTTACCCATTCGAACGGCTCGGGGAAAATTGCGAATGGGTAGCCTAACCGTTCGAACGGGTCGTAGAACATTCCGAACGGGTAACCAAACCGTTCGAACGGCTCATAAACAATTCCGAACGGGTAACCAAACCGTTCGAACGGCTCATAAAAAAATTCGGAACGGATATTTAAACTGTTCGAACGGCTCCGAAAAGAATTTCGAACGGGCGATCTAATCGTTCGAACGGCTCATGAAATCTTTGAACGAGCAGTCACGAACGGGCGTCGATAGAACCTGGAACATGGAACATCCCGGAACATTCCGGAACATTCCGGTACATCCCGGAACATTCCGGAACATTCCGGTACATCCCGGAACATCCCGGAACATGAAAAAATTAAATATTTTTCATGAAAAAAAAATTATATAAAATAATAATAATGAAATAGTTTTTGCAAAAATTAATAAGAACGTAAAATAAAAAAAAAACGAAAAATAAGGAAATAATCAAGAAAAAGAAACTGGTATCCTCTCTGAGTATGAGAAAACAATATTTTGTCGCAACAAATTAAAATTTGTTGGACGAGTGAGGGTTCATCCAAATGACAGTAATGAGTGAAGGCTTGCTTCTAAATTCAAAATATATTAAAATGGGTGGCGAGGAGGGGGTTTTCAAGCTTTCCTCACATAACCACCTCTTGTAATTGTTTGCCATGAGTTAATCATTTGGCGGTTATCCATTTACGGTTCTGCGATGGTCTGAAATATCAGTGCAGTATTTCATGTCAAGCCAAGTCGGTAAGTAACTCATGTCAAGCCAACATATAGTCTCCTAGTGTATAACCGACATTTGCTTACTTGAGGTGCTTTGCTTCACTTGAGGTTGACATGAATTACTTACAGACTAAGCGGCTCTGTAAACTTAAGAAGAGTATGGGGGCTCCTGTCTTTGGATTTTAGTGGACAACACTCACATTCTTAGTAGGTTCTATACTGTTTACAGTCTGCATGATATTTCAGAGGTCTCCTCGAGTAGCAAGAGGAGTTTGCGGGGAGACAACTAAAATTCAGGCTAACTGATAACAGTTAGAAACTACCGCTGTGCTAGCACTGCCACTGCAACTATTCTGCGGCGAATGTGAACGTTTAATTTTATTATCCAAGTCCAAAGTGACGAGCCCCTAAGCTCTTCTTACGGTCGCAAAGGCGTAAATTGATAACCGTTAAACCGCATGGCAAACATTTACAAGAGGTGGTTATGTGAGGAAAGCTTGAAAACCCCCTCCTCACAACCCATTTTAACATATTTTGAATTTAGAAGCAAGCCTTCACTCATTACTGTCATTTGAATGGACCCTCACTCGCCCCAAAAATTCATTGCGACAAAATATTGTTTTCTCATACTCGGAGATGATACCAGTTTCTTTTTCTTTCTTTCTTTCTTTCTTTCTCTCTTTCTTTCTCTCTTTCTTTCTTTCTTTCTTTCTTTCTTTCTTTATTTTTCGTTTTTATGTTATGTTATTTATTTTGTTATTATAAATTTTTGCAAAAATTGTTTTCTATCTATTGTTCTTTTTATTATTATTATTATTATTATTATTATTATTATTATCATCATTATCATTATCATTATCATTATTATTATTATTATTATTATTATTATTATTATTATTTGATTAATTAATTATTTTTTCATAAAAATTTTTTAAAATTTTTTCATGTTCCGGGTTGTTCCGGGATGTTCCGGGATGTAACGGAATGTTCCGGAATGTTCTGGGATGTTCCCTGTTCCCGGTTTTATCGACGCCCTCACGAAACGGCTTCCTCTAAGCGAATAAACGGGAGTTGTAAACAATCCATCGACTTCAAAACTCAACAACAGTGAATGGAAAAACGCTGTTTTGAATCCTTCGAAGTCTTTTCTTGCCTGAAAAAAAGTCAACCATAGGATTTGGTCGACTTTTAAAAGATCTTCTTTAAGAAAATGGGGGGAAAAAAACGAGCTCATACATTATCCACTCGCTAGGAGGTGAATATTGTTGAATAGTCCGAGATAGCGTACCAATCAGATTGCTTAAATCACCAAGATCACTGAGTGTGTATATACTAAAGGGTTTTAGCGCGGGCGTCAATAAAACCAGGAACATGGAACATTCCGGAAAATCCCGGAACATGAAAAAATAAAAATAATTTTCATGAAAATAAATAAATAAAGTAATAATAATAATAAAAAAATTTTTTATAAAAATTAATAATAACGTAAAATAACAAAAAACCGAAAGAGAAAGAAATAAAGAAAAAGAAACTCGCATCATCTCCGGGTATGAGACAACAATATTTTGTCACAAATAATTTTTGGGGCGAGGGTCCGTGGAAATGACAGTGATGAGTGAGGGTTTGCTTCTAAATTCAAAATATATTCAAATGGGTCGCGAGGAGGTTTTTCAAGCTTTACTCACACAGCTACCTCTTGTAAATGTTTGCCATGCGGTTTAACGGTTATTCATTTCTGGCTTTGCGACCGTAAGAAGAGCTTAGGCGCTCGTCGCTTTGGACTTAAGTAACCGGTAACTTAACTACCTACTCGGCTTGACATGACATACTGCACCGACATAGCAGACCATCACAGAACAGTAAATGGTTAACCGCCAAATGATTAACTCATGGCAAACAATTTCAAGAGGTAGCTGTGTGAGTAAAGCTTGAAAACCCCCCTCCTCGCGAGCCACTTTAATATATTTTGAATTTAGAAGCAAGCCTTCACTCATTACTGTCATTTGCATGGACCCTCACTCGCCCAACAAATTATTTGCGACAAAATATTGTTTTCCCATACTCTGAGATGAGTTTCTTTTTCTTAATCATTTCTTTATTTTTCGTTTCTTTTTTTTTTTGTTATTTTATGTTATTTTGTTATTATTAATTTTTACAAAAACTATTTTATTATTATCATTTTATTTAATTCATTTTTTTTTCACAAAAATTACTTTAATTTTTTCGTGTTCCGGCATGTTCCGGAATGTTCCGGAATGTTCCATGTTCCAGGTTTTATCGACGCCCGTCACAAACGGCTTACAAACTTGATGATTGCAATTTGTTTTGTTTATTTCGAATGGTGCCGTGCCGATACACATCTCACTTAAAATTAATTTCGAACGGATAGCTTTCAATCGTTGAAACTGCTCCTGTTTATTTCACCACTGAAAGCCAAAGAAAGTAAACTTGAAACACAGAGAACATTCGTAACTGAGTTTGCTGAAGCGGAACTCGAAAGAAAATCAACAGCGAATGCAAACTTGCTAAATATTTGCGGTGATGTTTTTCCTAGCTTTCTTACAAAACAAATACCCAACTTTTTGTTTCTAACAGTTCCCGATACATTTTCAAATTGTATGCTATGCCCTTTACTGTTGACTACGACTCAAACGCATTCCCGTCAGTTCAGTTCGGTTGCGTGTCACTACACCGATGTCGATAAATTTGCATACAAGTTACACAACAGTGACAGGTAACACAACACCAGCCAATCGCATCAATCACTTTGACAGTCGGACGCGTTGTCATAACTACTCTCTCGCAGGAACTATTCTATACAGTCAAAATCTTCATCATGGCTGAATGCGATCTGCTTGACGTGCTCAAAAGCGAAGAAATCATAGCTAAAGTGACAAAATTTCTACAAGAAGGATGCGGGTGCTCTCGTGGCTCGAAAGGCGGCCAGTGTTGTGAACAGTCTTCGAAGGAAGTTGTTCTTTCCAACTTAAACAATTGCCTGGAACTGTCACATGGAGAACTCAATCTTGTTATCTTGGCAAACATTCAAGCATGCACGAACAGTGAAATCATTGGCGAAAAAAGGAAAAATTGTTCTTTGCCTTTGCAAAATAATAATTGTCCAATGTAACTGTAACTGACTCGTTGATTCCTCCTCAGCGAGAGATTCTCACGCAGATCGAAAAAGCTGAATTCTTTTATACACAGTTCAGTGGATTCTCTTCGAAATAAGAGGAATGCACAAGGCAGACTCATGAGATTTCGGTGTTCAGAAAATCATTTATGTGCTTATCACAACCATAGTTATACCGGTAATGTTTATTAACCCATTCGCTCCTGGAGATTTTGCCGAAAAATGCCTTTTGAAGCTAGTCGAGTGGTTTTCTGGTCACTGTCATGCTATAAAGAGCTAAAACTTACCACAAACCGGTTTACAGGTGGTACACTTCGCGGCCTTCTGATCCAGATGCAAAATATCAGCTTGTGAAGTTCAGGCATGCACAGAAAGCAAAATTCCAGAAAAAAGTATGAAAGAAGTATATTTGGCAAATGTACTTCATTTATACTTTTTTTCTGGAAGTACAAACGAGGTATACTTCAAATGTACTTTTTTTCTGAGAAGTACATATAAAGTATACTTAATTTCTTCAAGGGACTATGACTGTCTCATACTCAAGTCGTTTGAACGGATGGATGTTCCAGCGAACGGGTGAGCAAGTCGTTCAAATGGTTGGATGTTTTTAACAAACGGGTGAGTAAGTCGATCGAACGGTTGGACGTTTTTATCGAACGGGTGAGCAAGTCGTTCAAACAGATGGATGCTTTTACCAAACGGGTGAGCAAGTCATTCGAACAGCTGGACGTTTCTATCGAACGGGTGATCAAGCCGTTCGGAAGGATGCAAATTTTTTTGAACAGATGACCCAGGTCGTTTGAACAAATGCAAATTTCTTTCAAATGGCTTTCAAACGGGTTCTAAACGGAATTCCGTTCAAAAACGGAAAGCTGTTATAGCACGTTTTCGCGTGAAAGGTCACAGTTGAGTACTTAGTTTGTGACTTTGTGGCTTGTTTGCCTGGGAGGGATACCCCAGGGAAGTTTGAGTAGAGTTGTGCCTTGGGTTCCTTAGAACACTGACCCTGTTTAAGACAAAACCTGTTCATAGTCACTGCCCTAGCCTGTTCAAGACAAAAGACGGCCTTATTTATTTTATGACATTGATTCGTTTTGTTTTTCATGCATAATAATAATAGTAATTTAATAATAATTTACCAATTTATATAGCACGTATTTACATATTCTGATCAAAAGCGCTTTACAATCATATATTTAAGAGGAAACGAAAATACATTACTATGAGAATAAAATAAACTAAGTTACACACTATAAAAATACTTCTTAAAAAGATAGGTTTTAAGTCGAGATTTAAGAGTGTTAAGCGATGTTGCTTGACAAAGCTCCACAGTTAAGCCATTCCAGAGTTTAGGAGCTGCTAATGAGAATGATCTTGCTCCCAATGTTGTAAGCATCTTTCCCTTGGGATGGTTTTTTTTATGCATGATAAAGTAATTTTTTAATCTACATGCAACATCATGTAATTAGCTGTTTTGGAAAAAGTTTCTTATTAGAATTTAAGTACATAATTATATATACAACCTTCACACTTTGTTAAATGCCTCATCTGAAAGGATACCCTGCTCATGATGCTAAATAGTGAAATTGTATATACTATGTTTAGGACCCTAGATCCTGAAAACCATATCCTGTTCAGTGGCATATGCAATGTACCCATGTAGGCCAAAGAAGGGTGTGTTCCTCCCCCTGGGCTCGCTCTCTTGTGCTGATATTTGCTCTGATTGGTTACAACTAATCATTCTCGGGCGTTCACAGTTTTGTGACTTTGACAATAACGTGGATATTTTCACCTCAATATATTATAACATTTATAATACCTTACTAAACCATGATGTAATATGAAAGTCCCTGGTGTAATGAATGGCATTAACTTGTAGTTATAGTAAAATGTATGGCCATGACCCAGTATAAACATCACCCACAATAATAATCTGAACATGATGCACTCAACATTTGTCTTTTTTTCTATCATTAACAGTCATGCTCAGGAGTTGTTAAATGCGATAAAGAAATTTCACCTTGCTGATCTTGAGACAGTACAGATTGATGGAGTCAGTGCTGATCCTCCAAAGCCTCTTCCATGGTAAACATGTACCTCCGACTGCCACTCTCCAGTTGTTCAAACGATAGATAGCACCATCCACTGGATGAATCACTATCAGACAGATTAGTATTAGGGAAACTGATTTCGTTGTCCACTGGATAGAGATTTATCCAGTGGATAGTGTTATCCATGTTTTCAACAACTTTCAAGGCAGCATGGCTACCTTTCGCCATTTCTTAAAAAAATTCCAGATTTTCATTTCCCAAAGTACAGATTTTCATTTCATAAATTACAGATTTCACAAAGTACAGATGCTCATTTTGTTTCATTTCGCAAATTCCACATGGGTTTGTGCTGAGAAAAATCAAAGGAAACAGAAGTCAGAATTTAATAACCTGTACAGATGACAGGTTCCGTGTTTGTAGTTCAGATGCATCTCCAGGTGCTTTCATTACATATCCTACCTGCAGAGCATAATTGAGTGATCAGGCTTGACCAGGAATCCAATCCTGACTTTGCGATGACTGGGTGCAGTGCTCTATCCATTGAGATACTCAAGCCAACTGGAGAGCAAGCCATTGTGAGTTCTTTTAAAATAGACCTGATGGTGGAAATGACGTGAAAAATTGAATTATGTGAAACAAACTCATTATGGCTTGTTCTCCATTTGGCTTGATTAGCTCAATACAGTGTAGATACTGTAGAGCATTGTGTGCCATCATTGTAAAGATCAGAGTTCCATTCCCAGGCAAGACTGAATTTATTCAGGTTCTTTTTCAGCCACTTACTTGCATTGTTTGTTGATCATGTTCACTTTCATGTATTTATCTGCAGTTCAAAATATGACTCGTTTCATATTATTTGGACTGATGTTAAAACAGCCAACTGCAAGGGAGATTGGCTTAGTCTACAGCGTCTCCTGTCACCTTTGCTCTGCCATTTACATTTGCAAAACTGGGCGGAAACTGAGACAATGTTTCAGCAAGCACCTTCAAAGCGTTGAGATGGTGGTTTTTTCTGTCCCTCAGCATCTTAACCCAGCTACACGGTCACTCCACTAACAACACTTTTGTTCGTGGAATTATGCTCTGTAAGGAAAATGCACGATGGAAGCACTTGGAGATTTGCCTGATCTTCAAATTTGGCAACCGACATCTGCATGGGTTAAATAATTAAACAGGTATACAAAGAAAATTTCAAATGATTTACATATGGTGCGCATTATGGGATGTGTGTTTCCTTCTTTTTTCCTTATTACTTCGTAATAGCGTAATAGCCTGATTACTCTAAGAAAATAATAGCACTGCCAGCAACAGCGTAACGACGTAATAACAAATAAAGTAATATCTTGGCCAGTACAGTAATAGTGTAACAATGTAATAAAGAAAAAATAGCACCACCGTGGACCATAACATAACAACATAATAACAAAGAAGATGATTATACTGCCGTAATAGCGTAACAACATAATAAAGAAAAAATAGCACCGCCGTGGACAATAGCGTAACAAGGTAATGACGATGATTACACCACCACGGACCATAGTGTAACAACATAATAACAAAGAAGATGATTATACTTAATCACACTCATGAAAAAGAATTTGCGTTCCGTCAGGCATTAGCACCAGACTATTTTGTCTCCCTTATTATTGTTCCTGAAAAGCCTCAATGGGGAGGTTCAATCAAGAATTTATGTTTGTATACAGAATGTATGTTTGTATACATGACGCCATGATGCACTTCTTTGGCAGCCATATATGATGCAAACCACAGTCGAACTTGATTGTTCACATAGTATCAAGTTGAGGAACAAACGTAATTGCTCTTCCAAACCGAAGTCAAAACTTTGATTCAGACATTGTGCTTCTGCCGTCCTTTTGTCGAACAGAAGCACGACATATGAACTGTGCCTAAATCTTCATATTTTGTTCTTTTGTTCAGCTCCCTGATTGGTTACTTTTTGACATCCGATTGTACTGCTTTGGCCACCGCTTTTATGATTGGCCTTTTGAAGAATGTCTGTGTGAAACGCTCATCACGGTTCCTTGTTACAGTTCCTTGTCACGCACTTCATGCATATTCTGGGCAGGTTGCTGGTTGTATTATTGATTGCTCGCAGATCGTGGAGCAGTTTCATCCAGGGAAATGATTGGTTTTGTTTGATTGATGCTTGTTGTTTTATTGATCGTTCGCTGATCGTGGAGCAGTTTTGTGCAGGGAAATGATTGGTTTTGTTTGATTGATATTTCTAGTAGCGTGCCTGTGTATTCTGTATTGATTGCTCACACTCTGTGCTGATTTCATCAACGGTAACGGTCAATTTTGTTTGAGTGATATTCTGATAGTAATAGTGTCTGTGCTAGTACGTTGGAAAAACGCTATGTCGAAAAAGCGGCGTTTAGCAGAAGGCTTCTCGCCAGATGCGATTGCGGGCAGACTTGCCGAAAAAACGCGTATACAAGAGGAAATGGAAAATATTGTTTTGAAATTACAACGTTCCGACTGTTCATACATTTTAAGGAACAATACAATACATTGCGGGAAACCGTCACATTCACAGGTAAAAAGAAAATCGCTTATAATTATTCAGATCCAGGAGGTACTTTGGAGAAATTAAGCAACCTAAAATCCTTATTTAGCTGCAATGAAGAACTTTACATTTCAAAACAGGTCAAAGAAAAAATTCTCTTGCATCAGAGGGCAAATCATGCCGACCAGAAACAATGACCGCAGAAAATCAATTTGCGTGTCATGACCTCTCAGTTTGAAATAAGCGGCAAAAATCACATTTGATCAGTCAAAACGTTTTCCTCCAGAGCATAATCTACCCGTCAGAAAAAAACATAATTGGAACAAGCAGCATTTTAGCATGAGGTAAAAGTCGTGTGTTGCAACTTGGTGCAGATTGGTGCAACATGGTGTAGTTTGGTGCACCTTGGTGCAGTCTGGTGCAACTTGGTGCAGTTTGGGCAACTTGGTGCAGTTTGGTGCAGATTGGTGCAACTTGGTGCACTTTGGTGCAACTTGGTGGAGATTGGTGCGACTTGGTTCAGATTGGTGCAACTTGGTGCAGTTTGGTGCAACTTGGTGCAGTTTGGTGCAACTTGGTGCAGATTGGTGCAACGTGGTCCACTTTGGTGCAGCTTTGTGCAGTTTGGTGCAACTTGGTGCAGATTGGTGCAACATGGTGCAGTTTGGTAAAACTTGGTGATTCTGGATTCTGGATTCTGGCATCCCAGAAACCTTGGTCAACGCAATCCAGGTGCTATATACCAACTCTAGCAGTTCAGTGATGGTTGATGGAAGTATCTCCAAACCATTTAGTGTTACCACAGGAGTGCTTCAGGGTGATGTATTAGCTCCATTTCTTTTTATTATCTTGGTAGACTACCTGCTGCTAAGGTTTACAGATGGTGACTCTGGAGTGCTGACTTGCCCTCGTAAATCAAGTAGGTACCCTGCAAAAGTTTTAAATGACTTGGACTTTGCAGATTACATCGCCTTGCTTGAGTCCTCCATCTCCCGTGCTCAGTCCCAGCTAACCAGAACTGCCAATGCTGCTGCTGACCTTGGACTTGTCATCAGTACTCCCAAGACTGAGTATATTACGATCAACTGCTGTCCACAGCCTGCACTAGAAGTATATGGTAGTACAATCAGCCATGTACAAGACTTCAAATACCTTGGCTCCATGATGGCATCTAGTAGTGGGGATCTCAAAAGAAGGAAAGGGCTTGCATGGACAGCTTTTTGGAAGCTGGAACGTCTGTGGAGACGCCCTTACGTCTCTATCTCCACCAAGATCAGTCGTGGGTCCTGTCGAAAGCAATGGAAAGCGAGACCAATGCCTTTGGTACCTCATGTTATAGAATTATGCTCAACATCAAGAGAATTGATAGGGTGTCCAATGCTAAAATCTATGATCTAACTCAGACTGCTCCGCTAGTAGAAAATGTCAGAACCCGCCAACTGAGGTTTCTGGGTCATGTACTCAGGATGCCTGATGATGAGCCATGCAAGGAGTACGCACTGTATATTCCACCACATGGGAAGAGAAAACCAGGAAGGCAACGAACCCTGTTTCTCAGATACATTCAACACCTTTTGGGAGACACAGACAACATGATTGGCCTGGGCAAGCTGTCTGAATTGGCACAGGATCGTTGTGGCTGGAGGAAGCTCGTAGTCGCCTGCTCTGCAGCCGACCGATGATGATGATGATGATGGTGGTGATTCTGGTGCAACTTGGTGCAGTTAAGTGCAACGTGGTGCAGATTGGTACAATGTGGTCCTCTTTGGTGGAACTTGGTGCAGATTAAAGTTGGTGGAGTTTGGTGCAACTTGGTGCAGATTCGTGCAAGTTGGTGCACTTTGTGCAACTTGGTGCAGATTTGTGCAACATGGTGCATGTTGGCGCAACTTGGTGCAACATGGTGCCGTTTGGTGCAGATTGGTCCAATATGGTGCACTTTGGTGCAACTTGATGCAGGTTGGTGCATTCTGGTGCAACTTGGTGCAGTTTGGTGAAACTTGGTGCAGATCGATGCAACGTAGTCCACTTTGGTGCAGATTGAACTTGGTGGAGTTTGGTGCAACTTGGTGCAGATTGGTGGAAGTTGGTGCAGATTTGTGCAACATGGTGCATTTTGGTGCAACTTGGTGGAGATTGATTGATTTTTGTTTGTGAAACCAGTCATGCAGTCATAGCTAAGCAGAGAGTTACATTCTTCTTAGAACGTAACCATGACACTTATAATCTGGTACCAAAGAGATCACTATCATTTTGCGTACACCGCAGAAAGCCTGGTTCCGTACTTAAAACTAGGCAGTCTTTTGACTCAAACAAGCATATTCTCAACCAGCTACCAATTGCAGATTAATGGAAGGAAAGCTTTCCGTAGGACTTTTTAGTCCTAGTTCGTTATCCTTCAATGACAACCCAATCGTAAGCAATTTCTATTCTAAGAAATTTTATGCACTTTTCGAAGCTTTTCAAAGATTCGCCACCAACTTGAAGGGAATTTGAATATGATCACCTTTGATTACAGAACCACGCTTGCCCATTAGTCAAGCATATCATTCTGATTACAGTGTAACTGAGCCAATAAAGTAAATGTTACTGATCATTTTCACTCCTTCTAAGCAGCAAAAGTTGATCTAAATTCTTCGAACGTACAAGCTGAGGACTCGTAGCCTTTATTATAACCCTGGTGGAGGTGCAGTAAGGCTATCTTTGTCGACAAAATTACTATTGATTTTCCTATTTTTCTCCTATTCTTTGATACAAAGTTTCCTATTTTTTCTATTTTCTCAATCCTGAGTTTCCTATTTTCTGGAGCAACCATGCCGCTGGACACCCTGAAAAATTCCTTTGACTACAGAAACAACCTCAATTAATTAGCCTACGTGGCAGGCATTCGATAGGGAAGGAAAGGGAATTTCAGGCGCGTGAGAAGTGTGAAGGGCGGGCGAGGAAGCAGGCTACCACTTCATTAAAACACTTATTTTTGAGAGGTCATAATAACACAACATGTTTAGTTTTTTTCTTAATCTGCTTCAATGCAAAATCTGTTGGGGAGGAAATTTTCAAGTACTACTGGAAAGGATTTTATCAGGAAAAAATGGTCTCCCCAAAATCTACAAGGGAGAAAAGGAGCACCTTGGCTCGAGGAACCTCGAGGAGCTGCCAAAGTCAATATATAGTTTGCTGTGGTTTCAGCTTACTGTAGAAAACAAGCTTTTCTCCTCCACAAAGACATTCGTTAAGGGAAGATATAAGTTTTAAAAAACACCTTGTTGAACAAAACTGTCACTCTTATTTATTAGTATCTTATCGGGAATAAAGTGCGATAGAAATTGACGAACTTTTCATTAGAAAACCTTTCAAATTTCCTTTTGCTTTATTCTTATTTGAAGGAAAATTAATATTTTACAGCAATTTTCCTGTTTTTAGTTAGTTTTCGATGACTTTACTTTACTTTGTTTTACTGCAACCTACAACACTATCCCAAAAATAAAAAAATGTTTCCTCTGACTTTGCTTGGCTGGATTAACACGTATAACACTCTAGTAATTCCAGCTTTGGATAACCAGCACGAACTTGTTAATCTCTCTTTTTATAAGAGTCTTCGAACTCTTCCAGAAAAGAAAGTGCTTACATTTTCACGAAATGCTTTCCAAAAACTTGAAGCAGAAGAGGATCGAAATACACACTCCGTAATTGGTTACATTCAGTAGCCAATAGGAAAACAAGAATTTCGATCTGCCACGTAGGTATTAATTAATGTTCAAGTTCAAAGCTACATAGACAGAAGGGCTGTGCCGTTCTCGCCATGACAAAGTACAACTAAAGTTGCTCTTGTAAAAGCAACTAAGCACAAAGCCAACCCAGCAACTGATGAGGTTCGTGTGGAGAACCGAAACCATGGTCTTGCCTGATCAAAAAGTGGCAATAACAAAACAGTTTAAAGACTGTTAAGCTTATTCAAAAGCTACCTCCAAGGGAGAAATTACGTGCTCCAGTGAACAGAATCACACTATCTTTAGAAAAACACTAAGCTGGAGTTTACTGAGTCACAATTCAATTCTCCATAGTAAGTTGATGTAGCTTCAGTTTGAGCTACACTTCATTCTTATATTTTTCGATCTGTAAATCACTATCCGTGATAATTTAACATTCTGCAAAGAAAACGAACGAGCTGGGCCCAGCATGATATACAGCATTGCAGAAAGACATTACACTCACGGACTAAAGAATATTGCTTAGTTATTCAGATCCAGAAGGCCCTTTTGGAGAAAACTGGAACCCTTATTCAACCGTAATAAACAGCTTTACGCTTCAAAAGAGGTCAAAGAAATACGCTTGCATCAGAGGGTAAATCCTGCTGACCAGAAACAATAACTACAGTAAATCGATATGTGTGTCATGACCTCTCAGTGTGAAACATGTCGCTAAAATCACATTTGCTCAGTGAAAATGTGGAACCTTCCAGGGCATAATCTACCCAGCAGAGAAAAAAAATATTGGAATGAGCAGCATTTTGGCATGAGGTAAAAGTCGTGTCGGCCTACCACCCCCTTTTATTGCCAGGATAACTAAGCAACCTCACTGTGGTCATAAATGACCTCAATGACCGCGAAGTACTGATTGATCAGAAGCAGATGATGATATCACCACTTGTAACTTTGCCTTGAAATGTTTAATAGTCTTGTTACGGCTTACTACTTCACTCATCTTTCCTATTGGCATCAAAGCTACAGTCTTCCTTATTATGCTATTACGCTCTTTATTGGGAGCAAAGCTACTGTAAAAGGTGTTTTATTCTTCACTCATCTTTCCTTATTGGCATCAAAGCTACTGTAAAAAGTGTCTCTTTTCAGTATTACAAGTGTTTCATCTTTATTTCTGCTATCAAAGCTACTGTAAAAGCAAGGTTTCATCTTTGCTACTCTTCTTTCTTATTGGGAGCAAAGCTACTGTAAAAGCAAGTGTTTTATTCTTATTACGTTGTTACACTATTACGGCAAGGTACTCCACTCTTCTTATTGGCAACAAAGCTACTGTAAACGCAAGTGTTTCTTTCGTATTACATTATGACGCTATTACGGCAAGGTACTTCACCCTTCTTTCTTATTGGCATCAAAGCTACTGTAAAAGCAAGTGTTTTATTCTTATTAGGTTATGCTGGTACGGCAAGGTACTCCACTCTTCTTATTGGCATCAAAGCAATTGTAAATGCAAGTGTTTCATTCTTATTACGTTGTTACGCTATTACGGCAAGGTACTTCATTTTTCTTTCTTTTTAGCATCAAAAGACTTTGATTTCCTTCTTATGGATCTTTTTGTAAGCGCCAATCAAGATGGCAGCCGTTTGTGTCTGTATTTGTCGTTTCATTTCGTTTCTGAACTTGCTTTATATCTTACAATTTTGTATGGTACGGCAAACTAAAGGCCTCTGCTACCAGGTTATGACTAAGTTTAACGCAAAGGCATCTTTTATCAAGAACAACCAAGAACTAAAGTTTCCAAGGCGGCCAATTTCGATCTGGTACAAGCATGGTCCGACCTGTTTGGTTTTACCAATATATTTAACTGTCCACATGGATGTTGAGCTTCATCCTGGTCCCTTACAGAAGAAACCAATTTATTTGCTGACCTGTCTACTTGCGATTTCTGTGATATCTGGCCTGGTCTCGCATACAAGTGATAAACTGTTGTCTATGAATTATGCTGACACCCGCCGTGTTGGATTTTGTGGTTCTTACTATTCGGATGTCTACCATCAGTTTTCTTAACGGCCTTGTTCATTGCCATTAGCATCGACCTACAGGAGGTGCCGCGCTGGCCATCAAGTTAGAGAAAGGAGAGCTAGAAACATTGACTGAATTGAATCCCTGGTTTCTTATCCACGCACTAGCCGAGGAAGTGATAATTTGCATAAAGGATCCATTTCAAATAACCTCTGCGTCGTTACACCTGTGAATATAACAATCACTTATCTTCTATCGTTACCTCGACTAACTCTTCACTTCATACAAATTTGTTCGTCAATCCACGTTCAACTTTCCTAAACTTTGCTGTCTTCAAATCTAGATCTGTTAGGAACAAGATCGAGAGCATTATTGACCACGTCGTAGAAAATGACATTGGTCTCTGCACCGTTACCGAGACCTGGTTAAATGACGCTGATTCTGTCAGTATTGCTCAGTTGTCTGTGGCCGGTTATTTCTTCTAGAATTGTTCTTGACAATCTTTAAACAGTGGTGGTGGAACTGGGATTCTGTTTCGAGACTTTGTCAACGTTTCATTACTGGATAGGAAGGAAAACAAGTCCTACGAATATTCTGACTAGATTGTTAAAGTGCACGATCGCTCAATGAGACATATTCTTTGTTATCGACAACCATATTTTCTTTTTTATGATCCTGTGTTTTAGAGAATGTTTTATATTGATGAATTCTCTTATCTTTGGAGAGAATGTTTTAGATGACCTCGGTGACAATGACACCAAGAAATTTATGGATTTACTGGAAACGTTTAGTCTTTCGCAACACGTTTCCGGCCCGACCCATTTATTGGGTCATACATTGGATCTAATTATTACTCGTTTGTCAGATGATGTTGTTCTTGCTTCTCCTAAAGGTACTTTTCCCATCTCTGATCATTTTATTATTCAGTGTCCTATTGGCTTCCCGTGACCAGCTTTATCATGCAAAGAACTGACTTTTCGTAAACTCAAAAATATTGATATTGCCAAATTCTCAGCTGATATTGCCTCTTCTATGCTTTGTGCAAGCGTAAACTGGGACAACATTGATGCACTCTCCGACTGCTTTAACATGACACTTACTGACATTTTGGACAAGCATGCCCCGCTTAAAACAAGGATTACGATAAATCGTCCAAAGATCTCGTGGTTTAATGATGATATTAAACAACTCAAGCATAAACGTCGTCGCCTTGAAAAGAAAGCCTTGCAAACTGACCTCCCTGGTGACTGGAATAATTACCATAAAGTTCGTAATCAGTACTCTGCACTTCTTAATTTAAATCTGCATGTGTGAATTATTATTGAAACCTAATTGATCAGGGTGCGGGTGACTCTCGCAAGCTATTTCGTGTGGTTAATTCTTTGTCCAGGGAACCACTTGAGATGGCTCTTCCAGAGCACAATGATCCCACTAAGCTAGCAAACGAATTTGGGACCTTCTTCCTCAAAAAAATTGAAATCATAAAGGAAAATCTTGACAAGTTTCAAGTTCAAGAGCCTCGACTTGCTCCTGTTACTCCAAAGAAGAATCTGGAGAATTTTTCTTCGCTATCCATAGGAGAAGTGTGTAAGATTGTTTGGGAATCCTCCAATGCCTCTTGTCGGTTGGATCCTGTTCCTACATGGCTAGTAAAGTCCTGTCTTGATGTATTAGTGCCCTCTATCACTGAGATGATTTATCTCTCTCTTCTCAGTGGTTGCGTTCCAGAAAATTGGAGAACCACTGTTGTCATCCCTCTATTGAAAAAACCTGGACTTAAAGTGCCCATCACCTAAAATTTTTTATTTTCTTATCTGAAACTACACCTTGTTAAAATAACTTCTGAGAAAAAATTTTGCGATTTGAACCAAAGACGATTTTTTTAGAATTTTTTAAAAACGTTCAAATTTGCCGCCATTTTGGCACACCATTCTTCTTAGTCTTCTCTCGGAGTATGACGTTTACATGACGTACTTTAAGGAACACGTGACCTTATCGACAGGAAAGCATTAAGAATTCTGATAGGTTTTTCTTTTTCAGAAAAACTTTCTTCTTGCCAAGACATTGTGATTCAATTCTTACTTGTAACTGATGTTTTTTGTGTACAACCGGTGAAGGCAAGGTGATGCGAGTTCCTTAATTTACGTCATATGTGAGCCTGCTAGTTTGCATGATCAGCGGCGCAGGTGTACCGCAAAAATGTAGACAAAAATTGGTAAAAAAATCGCGTTTTGTTCAAACCGGAAAATTTTTTCGCAGAAGTTATTTTAATGAGGTATAGTTTCAGATAAGAAAATATAAAATTTTAGGTGATGGGCACTTTAATTTGGTCTACAAAAATTTCCGTCCTGTCAGTAATCTTCCATTCATTTCCAAGGTAGTGGGAAAGGCTGCACTTCAACAACTTCTCATCCACTGTGAGAAAAATGCCCCTCTTCCTATATTCCAGGCCGGCTTCCGTAAGTATCACTTAACAGAGGCTCTAATAAAGGTTCAAAACGACATCTTAATGAGTATGGATAATAAGGAAGTGACACTTCTCGTACTTTTGGACCTAAGTGCTGCATTCCATTCTTCTGAATATTTTGCAACAGGATTTTGGAGTCGTCGGAACTGCTTTAAATTGGTTCGACTCATTTCTGTCTGGTCGCAAACAACATATACTTGTCGGTGATAAGACTTCTGACAACTTCAATCTGAACTGTGGAGTCCCCCAAGGCAGTTGTAATTGGCCTATTTTATTTACTCTCTACGTCTCCCGCCTCTTTAACATTATTTCTCAGCACCTCCCTTCCGTCCATGGTTATGCTGATGACAACCAGATTTACCTCTCCTTCCGACCTTGTTCTATCCATTCGGAAATTAACACTGTCTCTGTGATCGAAAAGTGCATTGCTTATGTTCACTCTTGGGTTATTGGAAATTGTTTAATGATTAATGACAAGAAAACTGACTTTCCAATTATTGGCACCCGTCAACAACTTGAAAAAACATCTATTGAATCTATTATCATTGGTGACAGCGTCATCAAACCTTTAGAAAGTGTCCGGAACCTTGGGTCCTGGTTAGATGCTCATATGCGAATGGATGTTCACATAGGCAGGATTTGAAGCAAGGCTTTTTGCGGACTATACAACATAAGACAGATCAGAAAATTCCTTACCGCGCAATCCACAAAGACATTGATCCATGCCTTTGTATCTTTGAACGGTGATTACTGTAACGCACTTCCATTTGGTGTACCTAAATATCAGCTTGATCGTTTACAGAATGCCACACCTAGAGTGACTTTTCAGATTGCGAAATTTGATCATATCACACCCGCTCTTATCGACTTACATTGGCTTCCAGTAACGCGCTTTTGAATATTCTTCTATAGTTTTAGCTCTGTACAAATTCATTATCATTATCATTAAAGCTACCTTAAAAAGCAAGTGTTTCCTTCTTATTACGTTCTAACGCTATTACGGCAAGGTTCTTCACTCTTCTTTCTTCTTAGCATCAAAGCTACTGTGAAAAGCAAGTGTTTCATTCTTATTGCGTTGTTACGCTATTACGGCAAGGTACTCCACTCTTCTTATCGGCATCAAAGCAACTGTAAAGGCAAGTGTTCATTCTTATTATGTTATTACGCTATTATGGCAAGGTTCTTCACTCTTCTTTCTAATTAGCATCAAAGCTACTATCAGAGAGTAATTGAGCCGGTGATATCAACCCCCACTAAAAACCCTTAAAGACATCTTTCTAACCAGTGTAAACAAGAGGTAATGGTCTTGTACAGTAATCAGTTTCTTATTACGCTATTCAAGCGTAATAAGAAAAAAGAAGAAATGGCTATCACACTCTGGGCATGGTATAATGATTTAAAGGTAGCACATCTACATAGTGGTTCTTCGTCTATCATTCCTTGTTGAATCCTTGTTTTCCTCGTCCAATGGTATAGACCCCAACAGACAGCAACTGAGACAAGGAATCCTTTAATAGCTTTAATAAAGTAGCAATTCCGAAAATCA